TCTTGTACTTATACCAATCAATCAAAATCAATTGAAAAGTTAATTAATAAAGAAATAATTAATCTTATGAGCTTACTTATGTAATAAATGATACTGTCTTGTAATAAGCTTTAAAATGATATGTAACATGCTGAATATATTTCCCAAAAAATCTTTTCATATTTTTCCAAGTGTATATTAATTACTTATTTAATTAGAGTCAAATTAAAATATTTTCCCCTCGATGGATTCACTAAGACTTTTAGTGTAGTGTTCACTGATTTTGACTGAGTACAAAATAGCTGGATTTATTTCTGTTGCAATTTGTTGAGGGTCAAACTCCTGGCCAATTAGTCTTGTATAAATGTCACTAGATATCTTTGGGCTTGTAGTAGATGCAAGAAAGAAGTCCTATAAAGCAACAAAACCCTTTCCATAACTATAACAAGTACATTATTGAAGATATTGTTATGTCATCGTATCCCAATTGCTGAGTGCGGCGTTAAATAGAGAATCTCACCCTCGTGTCTTTTGATATCAAATATATCAACACGAGTTGATAAAAGTGGGAAAACTCCGAGGCTTGCCGAGGATGTTTGCCACTTTTATCAATCTCATCCAAGCGATATCTCCTGTTGGAGCCAGTTTTGGATGATAAACAACAAACAAACAATCTCAGTGATCCATTCATATACGTTTCACCGCTATTTTGCCTTTTATGCCAAAAGGAATCTATTTCGTCAGACTATCGAGACAGGTTATTTTCTGGGGTTAACGTTTGTTATTTACAGCATAGTGAGTACACCACACTCTATGTAGGCTAGGGTATTTACACACCTCTGTATGACAGGAAATATCTGAATATTTAAACTATGAATTTAATAATGGTCGATCTCGCAGGCTGATGTCGGTTGCATGGTTGTGATGTCCGTCAATATGAGATACTCAAGTATGGACCCAATAATTACTTTTTCAACACCAGGACCAAGGGCTTTTTAATTGATTTTTTAAAGCGTTCGACAGAGTAAACCATGATTTTATTCTTGAAAGTTTAAAACGAGTTTGAGTAAATAGTAACTTCTTACGGTAAAAAATTATATCTATGTTCGCTAATCGATCATCTTGGTTGTGTTCGAGTGAAGAATGATCAACTGCAACATCGGCAACCGTCGCAAAAACTGTTTACAATGTGATTTTTAGAAGGAAATTGTGATACGGGAATATTTTTGCATTAAAACTACTTGAATGAAAGTTAATTTAAATAAAACTAGAGGTATTGGATTTCGAAGGGGCGGGAAGAATAGTATCTTAACGGACAAGGTATCGATGTATCGATTGATATCTACCAAATACAGTTGGTTGGTTGGTTGTTTAACTCCTCACTCTACAATATTCCAGCTATATGACCGCGGTCTGTAAATAATCGAGTCTTGACCAGACAATCCAGTGATTAATATCATGAGCATCGAGCCACGCAATTGGGATCGATGACATGCATGTATCAACCAAGTCAGCGAGCCTGACCACCCTATCCCGTCAGTCGCCTCTTACGACAAGCATTGTCGCCTTTTACGGCAGGCATGGGTTGCTGAAGACCTATTCTACCCCGGATCTTCACGGGTCTCCGGAATACAAGATCCCGGTGATGTTGAACTATTTCTACATGAATTTCTCTATCAGAGCATAGTTCAGTGAAATAAACCTCTTGGTGTAATTATATTCACAAAATAGAACGCTACTTAATTTTGGACATTTCTCAGTATACAAAGCTGTATATTTATAAGTTTAGATGTCACAATTTCCTTTAAACATGTTTGTGAGTGGAACGGCTAAGTGTGAAAAAGGGCCGAATTATGCACTTTGAGTTAAAAGTATGAAACTTTGTACAATAAAACCTTTAACCAGGGTGATTAATTTTGGCTGTAGGTCCAAGCAAAATGGCCGCCATTTTCAAGAACTGACACAATTAATACTATGAAACCGAATAACAACTTTGATATGAATAGGTATGTTGAAAAGTGCACATTATCAGCTCTAGACAAGATGAATAATTTTGGCTGTAGGGCCATGAACTTTGTCAAAACATTTAACGATGGTCGCCTTTCTCAATATGGCCGTAATGTCAGGTCAGGCCTGGAGGTGAGGTGAGGTGAAATTGGGTTTAACGTCGCGTCCAAGATTATCGCACTTATACAGCGTGCGTGTGTGTGCGTGTGTGCGTGCGTGCGTGCGTGCGTGCGTGCGTGCGTGCGTGCGTGTGTGCTTGTACTAGACCGGACTGATTTATAGTGCTAGCCCACTGAGATAGGTGCCGCAGTTTAACAGGAATACCCCACTCAGACACAGTATACTGACTCCGAGCCGACCAATTCTTGTTTTAGCACCTTAATGCCGAGCGCCAGACAGGGTAACAACAAGTACCATCTTTTAACGTCTTTTGGTATGACGCGGCCGGGGATCGAACCCCGGACCTGCCGCTCTCCAGGCGGACGCTCTACCACTAGACCACGGAGGCGGTCAGGTCAGGCCTGGAATTCTAGCCGCGCTGTTATACAGTTCATCGACAGTTTTCTCATTGCTGTTGGAAGACAGAAAGATTATTCGAATGCTGCCAACAACGAAGCCACAAATATGTTGAAGGTGAATACCACATGATGATTATATGCGAACAATATTCCAGTATCCGCAGTGAATACCTTCTATGTTTCATGTGAACTCTCACGCAGTGTCGAACTTTATACGGTTGATGAAAGAGAGGATTATCCTTCATAACATTGGTATATTTATTTTCATACATTGAGAAATACTTCTTCAACTATAAATACTCAAACATGGGCGACGTACGTTTCCTATAAGTGTATATAAGCCGGGGGCATATTTACTGTATAAACATATCTGTCTGTATCTTACGCAAGCTCCAAGCTACTATACTGATCAAAATAATACTGCGTTCCCTCGCAAATTTTTTTTTGTATTTATTAACGTTATCGATTTACTTATTATTAAAGTTTGATACAGTTATAATTCCCTTGTCCCTTCGGCCATAGTCAGACCCGTGAAGATTCCGGGGTAGAAAAGGTCTTCAGCAACCCATGCTTGCAGTAAAGGGTGACTATGCTTGTCGTAAAAGGCGACTAACGGGATCGGGTGGTCAGGCTCGCTGACTTGGTTGATGCATGTCATCGATCCCAATTGCGTGAACGATGCTCATGATATTAATCACTGGATTGTCTTGTCCAGACTCGATTATTTACAGATCGCCGTCATATAGCTGGAATATTGCTGAATGCGGCGTTAAACAACAAAACAAAATCAACCAAGTTGCGCGTAAATAATGATTCATTTGTACTTTGATCATGTCTATCAATTTCATTGAATGACTGAAAGTACAGCGGAGGCGAAGACTTCATCAACAGAGGCTCCATATATGGTCTGTATAGAAGGTTATACAAAAGCAAATGTTTTCCCATAGACTTTTATAGAAACGTTATTTATATTGGAAGTGTTCGGGAAACACTGTATTCCTTAAATAAGTGTAAAGAACTACAACAAAAAATATCACAAAATAAACTTATTAAAAGTAAAAGACAGTGCCAAAATCTGAAACAGATTCCTACTAGGGCTTCTTTCTCAAATGGAAAACAAGAATGTAAAACAGTACAAAAGTGTAACAGACCAATTTGTGCTACTTGCCCTCATGTTTTACAATGTTCTTCTTTTACATTCAAAGACGGGGAAGACTGTGTATGTCCGTGAAAATATGAATTGTGCTTCGAAAAACTTGATTTATGTCATACAATGTACTGGATGCAAGGCCGAATACATTGGACAGACAGGGGACACCCTAAGAGCGAGAGTGAGGGTCCACAGACAACAAATTAGGGACCCCTCTTGCCGGTGTATCCCACTCAGTCAACACATTGATCAGTGTGCCGGGAATAAAACACCAAATTTTGTGATATTCCGGTTTAACAAATGGGACAGTGATGCACTGGGAAAGATAAAAGAAAGTTATTTTATTAATACTTTCAAACCAAATTTAGTTGTTTGGAAATTTATATCTCCAAACTTGCCAAAACTTATAAAATGCCTTAGCTACGTTACAGTTAGACACCGATTTTCAGTATTTTAGACTGCTCTTCTTATAATGATAGCAATTATCCCTGTAGTTTGTCCAGATTCCCGATTGTTAATTCTGACTCGATCGCCGAATGACAAGGGCGACGCCATGTTTGTTCATAAACACTGAAAGGAGTCCCTACTTGACCTTTGATATTTGTATCTCTGTCCGTATGTGACCCCAACGGATATCGTTTTTATCCGTTGGCTTTATCCTGCCGAGACACCTACCCATTATATGATAAATATATATATTGAAATAAACAGGCATTAAAAAGTCATAAAATGTACATGTATGCAAAGTCTGGCATTAAAGCTGCAACAAAAACAAAAAATGTTGGCTAGCTTAGCCTGTTCCTTTTCCGAGTACAGGAAGCTAAACACACCAACACCTTCTTGAAATATCTGTGGTCAGATTCAGCATAAGTTATCATGTGTAAAAGGACACGTGGATCGATGCTCATGATGTCAATCACTGGATCGTCTGGTCCAGACTCGGATTATTTTACATACCGCCGTCATATAACTAGAACATTGGTGAGTGCGGCGTTAAACAACAAACAAACAAAATAAATCATTTTATTAACATCCTTAAAGAGGCGGCACATAATGTTGATATCTCATAAGAAATAAACGATTCGCTGCGTCCCTCGTGGTTTATTCTCCCCCCAGTGTTATATTGTTCGATAAACAACTCCCACTCGTCGTTTATTTCTTTAATATATCATATGTATTATACATTCATCAATATAACAATATACATTAACGTGGTCATCAAACGTTGTACTTAGGCACACATGTATTTCGTCGCAACCGCGGGGTTATTAAACATGTTCTAAACGCACTTCAAACTCGACTCGGCAGCTGTGATCACTATTTAAACGGAAATAGGCGGACTTTGCCGATCGACAACTGTGTCAACATGTTCTCCGGGAAGTCACGGCAGCCATTGTAATATTCGACTACCTGGTGTGCTATCACTGATAGTTTGGTTTTCAGGCTCTGTTGGGGCTTAGTAATAGTCATCTTTGTTCCTTACTTGGATGACAGCCAGGAAACGCTGAAGTCAGCGATTACATGAGATCACACGAGAAGATATTGCAGACAGGATGAGCGCCAGCTCAAGAGCTAAAAATAGATCCGGAAAACCCGACCGTATCTGAAGCTTACCAACAACGCTTGGCTGAACGGTGAGTGATTTGATTTGAAACTTTCTAATATTTCCATGTTCATGTCTTCAACTTATGAATCCGCAAATTATCAAACGTTTGATTAAGTTGAAATGACAGAGTGTCTGTAGAGTCTGGTTAATTAGGTGATGTATATGAACCAGTAGATCTAGACCTGACCTTCATGTTCCTGTAACCGAGACCCGTGTGGTGGGTCTAACACTCAAGACAAGACCCTGTGTCACCCAAGTAATAATATCGACCCAGTCTCACGCATCTTGTATTGGTTTTAAACCCCTTACCTCCGTCGGTAGACTAACATAATCTTTTTTTACAAGATATTTCTGTGATTTAGAAAATATGAATATTCTGAAACAGAAATCGACGTCGTGATGCAGGATGAGGATCACGGCTAATATTCATGTCGATAACACATCTACAAGGAATTGTGTCACTTTGTTAATAAACATTTAATTAAGTGGTACCTCACCGAATGGCTGTTAATATGAATAAGGTAAAACTGCTGAAATATGCTTTGATTGATCTCGAATGTGAAAGCGAAACTAGGGAACGTTTTGTCATCGACAATAAATTTATCCAGGTTCATTTTTTTCTAGTTCTTAGTCATGTTCAACTGCGTTGTGTTGTGGATATAACTTGTTCACAGGCGTGTCTTGATTGCAGATCCCTTGCACCAAGTCTTGAGAGAAGATACACGCATGGGTAAGTGTGTATGGGGTGGGGTGGGGGCTCTACTGTGTTAGGTAACTGTAGTCCCTCGCCATGTTTAAATATGGAGCTGAATTATTTCCTTCTGACTCTTGTTGGGCCGGAGTGTGTGTGTTTGGTTTAACGTAGTCGATAGATTGGAGGTTACGGGTGTGGGTACTCGATAGATGGGGATGAGGGGTGTGGTACACCATAGATTGGAGATTAGGGGTGTGGGTACTCAATAGATGGGGATGAGGGGTGTGGGTACTCGATAGATTGGAGGTGAGGGGTGTGGTACTCGATAGATTGGGGATGAGGGGTGTGGTACTCGATAGATTGGGGATGAGGGGTGTGGGTACTCGATAGATTGGGGAAGAGGGGTGTGGGTACTCAATAGATGGGGATGAGGGGTGTGGGTACTCGATAGATTGGAGGTGAGGGGTGTGGTACTCGATAGATTGGGGATGAGGGGTGTGGTACTCGATAGATTGGGGATGAGGGGTGTGGGTACTCGATAGATTGGGGATGAGGGGTGTGGGTACTCGATAGATGGGGATGAGGGGTGTGGGTACTCAATAGATTGGGGATGAGGGGTGTGGGTACTCGATAGATTGGAGGTGAGGGGTGTGGTACTCGATAGATTGGGGATGAGGGGTGTGGTACTCGATAGATTGGGGATGAGGGGTGTGGGTACTCGATAGATTGGAGGTGAGGGGTGTGGTACTCGATAGATTGGGGATGAGGGGTGTGGGTACTCGATAGATTGGGGATGAGGGGTGTGGGTACTCGATATAATGGGATGAGGGGTGTGGGTACTCGATAGATTGGGGATGAGGGGTGTGGGTACTCGATAGATTGGGGATGAGGGGTGTGATACTCGATAGATTGGGGAAGAGGGGTGTGGGTACTCGATAGATTGGAGGTGAGGGGTGTGGTACTCGATAGATTGGGGATGAGGGGTGTGGTACTCGATAGATTGGGGATGAGGGGTGTGGGTACTCGATAGATTGGGGATGAGGGGTGTGGGTACTCGATAGATTGGGGATGAGGGGTGTGGGTACTCGATAGATTGGGGATGAGGGGTGTGGGTACTCGATAGATGGGGATGAGGGGTGTGGGTACTCGATAGATGGGGATGAGGGGTGTGGGTACTCGATAGATGGGGATGAGGGGTGTGGGTACTCGATTGATTGGAGGTTAGGGGTGTGGGTACTCGATAGATTAGGGATGAGGGGTGTGGGTACTCGGTATATCGAGGATGAGGGTGTGGGTACTCAATATATGGGGATGAGGGGTGTAGGTTCTCGATAGATTGGGGATGAGGGGTGTGGGTACTCGATAGATTGGGGATCAGGGGTGTGGGTACTCGATAGATTGGGGATGAGGGGTGTGGGTACTCGATAGATTGGGATGAGGGGTGTTGGTACTCGATAGATTGGGGATGAGGGGTGTGGGTACTCGATAGATTGGGGATCAGGGGTGTGGGTACTCGGTAGATGGGGGCGAGGGGTGTGGGTACTCGATAGATTGGGGAAGAGGGGTGTGGGTACTCAATATATGGGGATGAGGGGTGTAGGTACTCGATAGATTGGGGGTGAGGGGTGTGGGTACTCGATAGATTGGGGATCAGGGGTGTGGGTACTCGATAGATGGTGATGATGGGCGTGGGTACGCGATAGATTGTTGGTGAGGGGTGTGCGTACTCGATCGATTGGAGGTGAGGGGTGTGCGTATTCGATAGATGGGGATGAGGGGTGTGCGTATTCGATAGATTGGGGATGAGGGGTGTGCGTACACGATATATTGGGGGTGAGGGGTGTGCGTACACGATAGATTGGGGATGAGGGGTGTGGGTACTCGATAGATTGGGGATGAGGGTTGTGGGTACACGATAGATTGGGGATGAGGGGTGTGGGTACTCGATAGATTGGGGATGAGGGGTGTGGGTACACGATAGATTGGGGATGAGGGGTGTGGGTACACGATAGATTGGGGATGAGGGGTGTGGGTACTCGATAGATTTGGGATGAGGGGTGTGGGTACTCGATAGATAGGGTGTTTTGGGTGTGGTACCCCATAGATTTTGGGTGAGACGAGTGGGTACTCGATAGATTGGGGATATCGGTACACAATAGATTGTGGGTGAGGCGTGTAGGGTAATCATTGATTTGGGTGAGGGGTGTCGGGTGTAGAGGGGTATTTAGGAGGAGTGTGAACATTGGAGAGCGTGATCAGTACATTAATGTCAATCTGTCATATAGTTTATAGTTTACTGAGGACATGTTATCATTCAAATTATCGATACGACCAATGTAAATAAAATACCATATACTTGCTTGTACATATGGCCGGAAGCAGTGTAAAGGATTCACAGGTATCTTTTTCCTCATCAGTGATGACTCACAAGAAACCAAATACGCTAGGAAAACTGTTTATTACGACTATCAACGGCGACACATGGATGAGATATGACACGTTTATGCACTATCCAAATAACCCGAAAATCAGTCGCAAATACCTGAAACCCTACTCTCGTGACGCATGCATTAATTTATGCACAAATGCGTTCTCACACGTCGGAGATGGGCTTCGATTCCCCCACATGTAAAATGTATTAAACCCAACCTGTTCAATTTATTAAACCCAACATGTACAACATATTAAACCCTACATGGTACAATGTATTAAGCCCAACATGTTCAATGTACTAAACCTCACATGTACAGTGTATTAAACCTCACATTTACAATGTATTTAACCCCACATTTACAATGTATTAAACCTCACATTTACAGTGTATTAAACCCCACATTTACAATGTATTAAACCTCAATGTACAACGTATTTAACCCCACATTTACAATGTATTAAACCTCACATGTACAACGTATTTAACCCCACATTTACAATGTATTAAACCTCACATTTACAATGTATTAAACCTCACATGTACAATGTATTAAACCTCACATTTACAATGTATTAAACCTCACATGTACAATGTATTAAACCTCACATTTACAATGTATTAAACCTCACATGTACAATGTATTTAAACTTACATGTACAATGTATTAAACCTCACATTTACAATGTATTTAACCCCATATTTACAATGTATTAAACCTCACATGTACAATGTATTAAATCCCACATTTACAATGTATTAAACCTCACATGTACAATGTATTAAACCTCACATGTAAAATGTATTAAACCCAACATGTACAATATATTTAACCCAACATGTACAAATTTGAAAACCCTACATGTACAATTGTCAACACTTTCTTGGTATCTCGCAGTGATGCAGCAGACATGATCGTAATGCCATGCTCTCTAGACCACGTGACAATTATGCATTGTCTGATTGGCTGCAGCTTCATTAGCTAGTATGTGGGAGTGTCCAGCCTGCACCCTGATCAACCTGCCGGACAAACGCTACTGCTCCGTGTGCTATGCCCCAAACCCCGCCCACCACGTGGACCCTCCCCCAGAAGATGACTTCCTGTTCGGGGGATCGGAGACTAGTCTTCCTGGAGGTCAGTGTTCATAAGCTACATATTCTTGACAATAACACGCAATCAGATATTTAAGAATAATCCCACTTTGTTCTCCATGAAGATCATTTTTACCTGTAGATATGACGGCTATGATTGAATCTGGAACAGAACTTTCCGTTCTGAATTCAATTTTTCGCGGTTACCTATAAAACAGCACTTCATTTTGAAAATGGATATATTTTTTATACGTTATATATTTTGGTCTCTCTGGATACCTATGATTCTTTGAAAATATCTGCTTGTATATCATTTAAATTTTTGTATTTTCTTCAGACATGGAACACAAGTTTTGAAGCAAAAATATGTGCAATAATTTAAGTGGAATAACATCATTTAAGTGGAGACCGCCTCCGTGGTCTAGTGGTAGAGCGTCCGCCCGGAGAGCGGAAGGTCGGGGGTTCGATCCCCGGCCGCGTCATACCAAAAGACGTTAAAAAAGATGGTACTTGTTGTTACCCTGTCTGGCGCTCGGCATTAAGGGGCTAAAACAAGGACTGGTCGGCTCGGAGTCAGTATACTGTGTCTGAGTGGGGTATTCATGTTAAACTGCGGCATGGTATCTCAGTGAGCTAGCACTATAAATCGGCATCAGTCCGGACTAGTACAAGCAGCCACACAAACACACACACGTACATGCACGTCGCTATATAAGTGCAATAATCTTGGACGCGACGTTAAACCCAATTTCACCTCACCTCATTTAAGTGGATACGTCCGAGAGAGAAAAATCCAAAGAGTGTGTGATGCACTGGTTGTAATTTGTGATGTTATGTGTAGGTTAATTGGTAAGGGAGGGAAATTTCACAAATATATAAAGTAACATGAAGGGTTGACATCCCATCCCCACAAGATGCACGGTTGATACGATTATCAAAAGATACAGAGGGTATCGGTATGACGCGGCCTGGTATCGAACCCCCAACCGTCCGCTCTCCGGGAAGTGAGTGAGTGAATACGCCGCTTTTAGCAATACTCCAGCAATATCACTCCAGAAATGGGCTTCACACATTGTACCCATGTCGGGAATCGAACCCGGGTCTTCGGCGTGACGAGCGAACGCTTAAACCACTAGGCTACCCGACCACACCCTCTCTCCGGGAAGACGCTCTATCCACCAGATTCCATAGTTAGGGAGGCATATGGGACTCACACGTCCAGTCATTCGTCACACGACGTGTTGTTACCATGAGAGATGTCCTTTAACGGGTTTCCACCGCAATACACATTCTAAATTCAATCATGCATTTCTTGGAGCCAGTTGAACCGGACACATCGATATCATTTCCAAGTCAATTCCATTTCAGAGTGGACGTGCGGTCAGTGTACCTACATCAACACGGACGTAACAGACCATTGCGGTATTTGTGGTACAGTTAAACCAGGCCAGAACCCAGACAGGGGACCTGTCATGGAAGAGACGGAGACAGATTCGCCAAGTAACCCTTTCACGTCTCAAACTTATCAAGGTAAACTATTTACTGAGCGTGGCTGATTGATGGATGGCTGACATGCCTTTTTGACCAACTGCTTTAGGCTGATACGGGCCGTCGGGTAGCCTAGTGGTTAAAGCGTTCGCTCGTCACGCCGAAGACCCGGGTTCGACTCCCGACATGGGTACAATGTGTGTCTGGTGTCCCCCGCCGTGACATTGCTGGAATATTGCTAAAAGCGGCGTAAAACCATACTCACTCACTCACTCACTTAGGCTGATACGTTTCAAAATCACTTCATCGAGTTATTAAACCTTTTTCGAGGCAATTTTATCGTCACATCCATAACACAGTATTAGCTAATACCCCACGTAATTAAATGATGTGGATTTCCTGTATTCCAGGCACCGGGATCAACCAAGGTGGAGCTTCGTTCTTAAACAAAGAGACTCGCATTGTTCTCATCGGACGGACAGGGTCGGGGAAAAGCGCCACGGGCAACACACTTCTCGGTGTGAACATGTTCCAATCTAGGGCCGGGGGGTCGTCTGTCACCAAGAGCTGTAGAGGGGGGAACGGTCAAAGGATGGGGCGCAACATCAACGTGATCGACACCCCAGGGTTGTTTGACACAGACATGACCAATGCTCAAATCACCAAGGAGATCGTCAAATGTATCGGAATGACCTGTCCTGGCCCTCACGCTATCGTCTTGGTCACCAGGATTGACCGGTTTACCCAGGAAGAGCAGGATACCGTGAAACATTTTAGAGACGTGTTTGGAGAAGGCATGATGGAGTATATGTTCGTGTTGTTCACAAGGAAGGACGATCTGGACCATGAGGGATCTCACATAGATGAATATGTGAGGAATGTTCCAGATAAACTTAAAGATATTCTCTCTGCGTGTGGCGGACGATACGTCGCCTTTAACAACAACGATAAACAACATGAGAAGGATAAGCAGGTCAATCACTTTCTGGACATGATTGACCAGAATGTCCAAACTCATGGTGGGAAGTACTACACGAATGCAATGTTTAGGGAGGCCGAGGAAGTCATGAGGAAGAGGGAGGAAGATTTCAGAAAGGAATTGGAGGAGAATAAGAGACGCGAGAGGGAGGCTATTGAGAAGGAGTTTGAGGAGAAATACAACAAAGACATGTCGGAACAGCAGGAGATAATTGAACAGCTGCAGATGAGTATAACGGCAATGGAAGGGGAGCAGACGACAAGGAGAGGTAACTCTGATGTTGCAGATCTCAGGAAACAAGTCGCGGAAATGAAGAGCGAAGCCGAGAACGAGCGACAGAGACGCATACAGCGCCACGAAGAGAGGATGGAGAGCCTGGAACAGGAAACTAGAGACTTGGAGAGACGAGCACGGGAAAGAGCACGGGAAGCAGTCGAACAGGAAGAAGAGTCATCTCTCGGGGAGATATGGAAGGGGCTCAAACACGTTGGGAAGGGGCTTTGGAAAGGAATTACAAGCATTTTCTCATAAATATATATATATATGTCATATTGAAAATAATATGACTTACACATTATCAATGTTCGCTGAATATGGGGCTTCTGATCTTAGTTATGTATATCCGTTTGATTTTCAATGCGCATAGTAGAGGTATCAGTTATAGGGTTTATTGCGATCTGCACATGGTGGTTTTTGGTTGCAAACTTTATCAATATATTATAAGAGTCGCTTTGGTCTGGACACGGTTCATACTTGGATTAACAGAGTTATAGAGTGCATTACTATTTATTTCGGGTCATTGATTGGTACAAAGAAAGTCAGACTTGTGACATTTTAGACAAACGAGAATTTGACACATCCCTCTTTAAGTCGTTCGACCTATCCACTGTGACAAAATATATTCTTTTATATCTATGTGATATATGTGCACCATTGCTACTGTCCATTTGGTATTACAGTTATATAACGAAGTAGGAGGATGTTGCTGAAGCCAGTGAAACCCCTTAGTCTGGAACCCGCATCTTCGGACAATTAATTGAGAAACATCTTAAGAATGCATAGGGACATTGTCAGAACCAATGCCCTGCCAATAAGGACATGTGCTGATCCTGAACATTTCAAACGTCACTGTCCGGAATAACGAGGTTTCATTGTATGTGTTATGCCAACGATGTTTTGACGCTATGCTACCACGGACATTAAGACCAATACATATGCCAATATCAATGCATGTATTACACGAATGTCAACCATTACATATGTTTGACCGTCAATGTGAAGACACTGTTACGTTTCTAGATTGATATGTTGAAATAGATATATAACTTTCTACTCCGTTGTAGATGGAAGATATAAGTCTATAAATGTTATTTTTATGCTCTTATCTCTGCCACAAGAACCTGTTAGCTGGGACTATTTCCAGCCAGACAACAATGCAGTTCATATAAATATCAATTATTAATTGTGTTTTCGTATAGTAAATGTCATATAAGGAATATAAAAATATGTTACCTTTTGGCGAGGGTCATACAAATATTATTTTTCTATTATAAAATATATTTTATGATACGAAAACAAAATAGGCTTATACTTTCTTTATCATATTATGTCATTGCTGAAACATAAGTTTTAAGACGTCTTTCGATTCACTAAGGCATGTTTGGAACAGCATAGGAACACAGTTAAAGGCGCCATTCATGATATAGTGCCACCAGATTTGCAGCCATGTTTGTTTACAAATTCACACATCGGCTGACCTCTATCTGCCCCTATTGGAAACGTAAGTCGTTGGCTTTTGGGCATTGCATCAATGTATTGAGCTTATTAAAAGAAGTGAACTCATTTGCATATTTACATGATACCAAGTGTAACGGATTGGTTTATGACACCGACAATACCATTCATTATGATAACACACATATTACGTCATTCCACTGTACAGTTAAGTTCAGTGTTTTTGAAATCTTTCCTTGGAAATGCTTACAAACTGCGGGGACAACCCTCAGTTACTTGAGCGCCATCCACCCTTGACGTCTGACAGTTATAAATAGTGGAACCCCATAAGTCCAGACCCCGATAATCCGGACACGACCCCGCCTTCCTGGTTGATACTGATGGAAACAGACGACATATTATTGTCCTTCCACTGTCCTGTTAAAATAGTGCTCACTTGCCATCTGTCATATTGTACCATTAGTATCAATTTTGAATTATGATACATTCTAATATTAATATACTACTCATCATTTTCTAAGGACCAAAATAGCAATATTAGTCAAATATGTGACCCTTGGCAAATGTTGAGTAGTATACATGCAACTACTGAATTGCACCACTGTGAGTGGTTTGGGTGAAATAGAACAGCCTCGTTGTGAAGTCAATCTCAACGTTATCACTTGGAACGGGACTGTCTGGATGAACGAGGTTACCTTAATGTTATGATACGGGAACTATGTTCCATTCTACTATAGGTTCCAACAGTGGACGATGAGTTGCAGTGTTGTTGTAATATAAACATAATATAACTTTTGTAACATATTTATGATATGATATACTAGTACCATGTACTATCTTCCGTTCGCTGTATTAGAACCAACTCGTGACGAAACAGAAGCTGCACGTATATGTTGTAGTTCGTCTGTAACGTCCATTTGATGGATTGTTTCATTAAAGTGTTTTTATTAAAGAACCAAATATATCTTTGTGTTATTCTTTCATTTAACATGAACCAACACAATAAGATGTTGGTAAAAGGAATTAGAACTAGTGATTTTTATTATTCTTTCCAAAATATCCCGTAAATGTACAACGTAAGGGCTAGAAAATAACCAGTCTCGATTAACCGACGAAACATTCCATTTTTCGTAAATGGCGAAATAGCGGTGAAAATTATATGTATGGAAAATTGATCAGTTGGAAAAGGCTGGAACATGTGACCTAAATATGCCCTACTGGAATTCCCTTTCAGCACAGGGGGCACGGGTGGCCCAGTCGTCTAAGGCGCCGCGATTCGCTGTGCAGAGTCGCATCCCTTGGACACGCCAGAAACCTATAATTGTGGGTTCGAATCCCGGTTCGCCCCGATTATGTTTCTAGGTTTGTCAGCACCATACCCGTGATCGTGGGTTTCAGCGAAGTGGTAAACGTCTGAGACCTGCATCACTTCGGGCTTTCCTCCCACATTAAGCTGACACGCCGCGATATAACTGGTATACTGTTAAAAGCGGCGTTAAACCCAACTCACTCACTCTCTCACTCACTCCCTTTCAGCACATAGTCAATACTCTGGTCTTTCGACTTATGCGTCAAGCAAAACAGTGACGCTGAAAGAGCACGGTATTGAAAGCCTCGTTTAAGAATTAAATACCGGTTTGAGTGGTCACTCCATTATTATCTTCAATACATATGAGACAAAATGCTGCATATACGTTGCGCCGGGAATTGACATGCAAAATTAAATGAATGATAACTTTAAATATGATATGTACAGATAGTTAAAACTTATTTTGTGACACTTACATAGTTTAACTGTCAGTAACTACAGAAATACACTTTTAAGATATGGATCTTGGTTGTCAAGTCGGATGAGTGAGTGAGTGAGTGAGGTTTTACGCCGCTTTTAGCAATATTCCAGCAATATCACGGCGGGTGACACCAGAAATGGGCTTCACACATTGTACCCATGTCGGGAATCGAACTCGGGTCTTCGGCGTGACGAGCGAACGCTTTAACCACTAGGCTACCCGATCGCCCCTAAAGTCGGATGAAAACACAAGAGAGAAATGATCTCTCTGAAAAAAACCCTGAATATGTATCCAAGATGTAAATGAAATAAGAACACGGTACATATAACCCACACATACATCAAGCATACAAGCTATAGGTGCTCTATCTTAATGGTACCTGAAGTGAACGTGCACTGTCAACTTGACTGTTTTATATACTTACACTGTAGTTATGAAATGTAGTGAAAATGTGAGAATTGATGGAGATTAGTATATGCTAATGACTTCATTAATACGAAAGTTTGTTGATCACGACAATATTATCTGCAACGTTACTGTCCAGAATAACGTTATGCAAACGATGATGATTTAATGCCAATACAGGTAATAAAACCAGCATTGGTATGGACACATTATAACACTGATGCTATTGTATTATCACCTGGATAGCGCGTTCTCACAGCAGCTTGTGAATAATCGAATCTGGACCAGGCAAACCAGCAATTTACTCCATAGGAGTGATACATCATGAACCTATCGCCACCTGTCAATCAAACTACATGATTGACCAATCAGATAGTCTCACTTGATACGCTTACAGAATCCGCCATTGTGTCCGACAACTTTAAATATGTCTGAATTATTCAGCAATGCAAATAGAGCATATCTTAAATACATGATTATACCTTGAAAAATAATTATTTCAACATCTTTTCAAGTTTCTTAAGGGATCACATTATCAGTATCACGTTGTTTTTTTCGTTGTTTCTTACTGATATATTTTCTGTACAGTATAACTGCCTACCTGCCCATAACTTCCTATAAGTAGAAAAAAACATTTTAAAGCAACTCGAAAGATGAAAGTAAAGTTACTTCAGTATATCCAAACCGTATAAAGGAAGACGAAATGCATTCGAAATTATCAGCCCTAATAGTTTACTGCCGCCTGAAATACTGGGATCTAGTTTAATGACGCCTGAAATACCTAAGACCCAGCTTACTGACCCACAAATACTTGAGACCCGTGAAGATTCCGGGGTAGAATAGGTCTTCAGCAACCCATGCTTGCCGTAAAAGGTGACTATGCTTGTCGTAAAAGGTGACTAACGGGATCGGGTGGTCAGGCTCGCTGACTTGGTTGATGTATGTCATCGATCCCAATTGCGTGGATCGATGCTCATGACATTATTCACTGGATTGTCTGGTCCAGACTCGATTATTTACAGACCTCCGTCATATAGCTGGAATATTGCTGAGTGCGGCGTTAAAGAACAAACCAACCAACCAACCACAAATACTTGGGACCTAGTTTGATGATGCCTGTAACAATGGCGAACTGGTTTACTGACGCATGATATACAATAGACTCAGTTTACTGACCCCATAAATATTTGGGAACTAGTTGGATGATGCCTGAAACAATGGCGGCCTAGTCTAATGGCGCCTGAAATACCGGGGACCTAGAGTGATGACGCCTGAAATACTGGGGACCTAATTTACTGACGCCTGAAATACCGGGGACCTACTTTACTGACGCCTGAAATACCGGGGACCTAATTTACTGACGCCTGAAATACCGGAAACCTAATTTACTGACGCCTGAAATACCGGGGACCTACTTTACTGACGCCTGAAATACCGGGGACCTTATCTACTGACACCAGAAATACCGGGGACCTACTTTACTGACGCCTGAAATACCGGGACCTAATTTACTGACCCCTGAAATACCGGGACCTAATTTACTGACCCCTGAAATACCGGGGACCTAATTTACTGACGCCTGAAATACCGGGGACCTTATCTACTGACACCTGAAATACCGGGGACCTAATTTACTGACGCCTGAAATACCGGGTACCTAATTTACTGACGCCTGAAATACCGGGGACCTAATTTACTGACGCCTGAAATACCGTGGACCTAATTTACTGACGCCTGAAATACCGGGGACCTAATTTACTGACGCCTGAAATACCGTGGACCTAATTTACTGACGCCTGAAATACCGGGACCTAATTTACTGACGCCTGAAATACCGGGGCCCTACTTTACTGACGCCTGAAATACCGGGGACCTACTTTACTGACGCCTGAAATACCAGGGACCTAATTTACTGACGCCTGAAATACCGGGGCCCTACTTTACTGACGCCTGAAATACCGCGGCCCATATTTACTGACGCCTGAAATACCGGGGACCTAATTTACTGACGCCTGAAATACCGGGGACCTAATTTACTGACGCCTGAAATACCGGGGCCCTAATTTACTGACGCCTGAAATACCGGGGCCCTAATTTACTGACGCCTGAAATACCAGGGACCTAATTTACTGACGCCTGAAATACCGGGGACCTAATTTACTGACGCCTGAAATACCGGGAACCTTATTTACTGACGCCTGAAATACCGGGGACCTACGAGGGGTGGCTGAAAAGTTCTAAGCATAAATGTAATGGATGGAGTTCATTGCTAATTATTTTTAAACATACTGTCAACGCTACTGGAGTTTCTGTATCCTACTGGTGAAGAAGGCTTCCTTAGCAGAAGTGACGCCATCATCATTTACTTTTTTACTTGCCAGACAGTTTCTTTGCAATCCTAGAAAATCGAAGCCATAACCTTGCCAGGTGATTTAACAGACTCTGCCATCTTCGGAGAAGGAGACATCAGATATTTCCAATGCTTTGGCTGTTGTTTAGTCTCAGCAAAAACGAAGTAAATTCTCACGAAAGATGATGTCCCTGGAGCGTTCTTTATCAGGGTCAGGACGCCAACGTGCTGAAACCTTTGACATGCCTAGTTAATTCCAGTATATGCTCTCTCGTGACAGATTCCTTCGGTATTGGCTGTGATAATCAAATCATGTATTTTATCAAATATTAGTAGTATAAAATAATCCGTAGTAGTGGCGGTTGAAGGTCTTCCTCCCGAGGGCACTCTTCGCTCTTGAGTGAGTGAGTTGGGTTTAACGCCGCTTTGAACATTATTACAGTTATATCGCGGCGTGTCAGCTTAATGTGGGAGGTCTCAGACGTTTACCACTTCGGTGAAACCCACGAACACGGGTATGGTGCTAACAAACCTAGAAACATAATCGGGGCGAACCGGGATTCGAACCCACAATCATAGGTTTCTGGCGTGCCCAAGGGACGCAACTCTGCACAGCGAATCGCGGCGCCTTAGACAACTGGTCCACCCGTGCAAGCTGACACGCCCAGATGTAACAGGAATATTATTCAAAGCGGCGTTAAACCTAACTCACTCACTCTAATCGTAGGCCTAAATAAGGTACACATACATTACGAATCCTGCCTAGTTAAACGATAAACTTGTCTGCTCATCATAAAGTGACACTGAATGGTACCAGAAAATATATAGTCATTCGGTACTCCACCCAACCGATTCTAGGAAAATCCAGTTCCAATAAAATACTTGTCCTTCTTTAGTGTGTATGCGGCGAGATAACCCTTTCATTTGGCTTGAACACGGATCATTACCTACCTAAAGATACTACAAGGAAGTGATCGACTCTTACAAGATATGTTAATATGTTTCCACGAATTGCCGCTTCGTTGACCATGGAACTCCCATAAAGAAAGCAGGTGAATGATTGTATGGGGCCAGACTGTCAAATCACTCCATACGCCATACGTACCTCTCTGTGGTCTCGTGTAAGTACACCTTCATCTTGTTGGACTGCTTTTTTTGTATTCATATTGTTGTATATACTGATACTAATCCCATTTGAATGATGTGTTGCATTTAGGACTAACTCATCTATGTGGCAAGATTCTAATATCATTTTCGTTTTCCTTGTCTTCACCGGAACTTACGCCCCAGATACCTTCTGGTGTGGTGCGTTCGTCATTCATCCGTCCATAACCTCCCGAACCAACTGAAGAGATGAAGATGTTTTTTTTCCACTTACATGTAAAATTGTGAAGTTGTTTGGGGTTTTACTCAATGTTTAGTGATACTGCAGCCCTTTCGCTGGGGACACCAGCAATTGGTTTAACACATTGCTTCCTGTGGGAATAGAACCCGGACTTTCTGCGTGACGAACCAACTCTCTGACCACAAGGCTACAACTGTAACCAAAATACTTTTCAAAATCGCCTTTTCAAAAACTAACAAGGCACAGACTTTGATAAAACCTTCGTATGAAGTGATTTGTTCATGACGAAAAAAGGAAAACAATCTAAACTTTGAAAAATGCCTATAATATATATGAGAGAAATAGATGTGATTGATCATAACAATACTTTGGTGCTAAAATATACATTTACTATAAAATGTCGACCCCACAGATTAATCAGTTTCCCCAATAACATTTTTTAACCGAAACTACCCTCCTCATTGTGGTGATACTTTCTATGGATAGCAAATCATTAAATATAAAAAAACAGTTATATTTTGATGTCGTACTGTCCTTTCACATCAATAAGACACCACATCACTGCCAAACCCGTTAAAACTCATATACCGTTTATGATATAACTTTCAATATCAATACACCTCGTGAACCACTGTGGGTGCTATTTTCACTGCTTACCTTCTAGGTCATGAATCATTGTCCCCAAAGAGCGGTGAATCAGGGTTAGAGTAGACGTTAGGTGCGCCAGTATACGTCAATCGTCAGATCATCACAACACAGCAATATGTTATTTCTACATGGTAATTTAAATAAAACATGTCTTTATTTCAGATGACATCTTTCGTTGTTTTGCTGTATAGGTCATCTAAAGTCTGAAGCATGTGGGAGTGTTCATTCTGCACGCTGATCAATAACGACAGCGATGTACGCTGTGCCGTGTGCGATATGGAAAGACCAAACCAGTATCCAGATCAACACCCGGTGTTAAGCCGTAATTTGGGTAATGACCAATCATTTAATATTCAGCAGTAGGGGGCGGGGGTGCCTGGATGTTTTGCTATAAGAGACATATTTACAGCCAAGTCTTCAAGATACACACTTTTTCCCCAGAAAGAGGGAACGGACAATGTTTTCCACGACAAATTCTGTTCAGGACACAGTATGTCCAAAGAACAATTATGATTTTGTAAAATCATTTACTCCAGACTTTTTTTTTAATCTGACATCTGACATTTCCGTGATGAGTAAGTGAGTAAATGTCATCTAAAGCACTGTTCTAACTTTTATGTAATCTATTCTGGGCCAGCGGTTAATTCAATGAGCAACGATCAACATCATCAGCAAGGTCACACACTGTGACTGGCTCAGCTAAAGGTTACCCAACGAACTCCACCAGTTATTGACGTCAAATATATATTCAGACATAAATGTATGGTGCATGTAGCTGTTCGCACATCAACATTGCAACTGTTAACGTCTTATTGCTAATATGTTCCACTCTCAAGCAGGCAACCTTGTCAGCCATTCACATTATTCGATCTTTTTCAGCTGGAGGAGCGCATGTATGGCCGTTTTCCCCCTGTCCTCTGTATAATCCACTGCATGGGCATGTTTGCTTTCTCTGTATGGTAGCGAATCATGCTCACCACAGAGGAGGTGACTGGGACACACCCTTTTTCCAAGGTAACAGACAAATACATATTTATGTAGTCGCTTCCACTGACAATACCTAGTAATATCATGGAGCAATTGTTTAGTGTAGTGAAAGAGTTTAATAGTAGCAAAGTCCCCTGTGAGCTGAGAAAGCAATTTTGACTTATTGTTATTTGTTTGCTTGTCTGTATGTTGATTGACGTCGAACATAACCGACTCTGGACCATGAACATCGATTTACGCAAGTCAGTGAGCCTGCTCACTGGATCCCGTAGGATGCGATAGAGCAATTCTAAACCGGATCTTCATTAGGGTGGGGATGGTGGTTGTGGTGGTGGTGTGGGGTGGTGTGGGGAGTTGTATGTACAGTAGTAGAGGATTATTATTGGTATGTGTAGAATGGAAAACTGGACGCCCAGTGCCACTGCATGCATGTCACCACCCGAGGGGATTCCAGATCCTCACCAACTAGTGTTGGTCGTCAGAGGAGACGGAATGGGTGATCATGTTCAGTGGCATGGTTGATTGCGTGTCATCGTACCCCGACGTCGGGGATTGCTGCTCACAATATCAACCATTTGAATGTCTGGTCCAGACTCAATTATTTACAAGCCGACGTCTTAGAGCTGGAATAATGCTGAGCGTGGCGTTACACAACAAACACAAAGGAACTCATATTTCTTGGAGTCGCTCTTCCTCATGATTGTATTACATTTACATATGATAATAGTATTTTTTAATATTTCTAGCATTAATATATATAAAAACAGTTTAAAAATATGTTGACGGTTTCCACATGCACTCAGTGTTTTTTCTTCAGGAAGACAGTTGCAGAGATATGGAGGAGAGAGGGACATATTTTCAGGCTTTGCTACCCCTCTTCAAAATGCAGGTAAAACTACCTAGGTTTCATTTTCTTAAAGGGTAATTTGTACTCAAGACATTAAGATGTTCATTCACATAACATTCGTTGTTAGTCTTAAGAAAGAGTCAGATTGTTTATGTTACGTTACTTGGCCGAGCCAATTGATCTGATTGTGAATTTTGGTGTGTCATCACCATCCCCGTAATGGCGGTTTCCTGCATGACTTCGGGTTTTCCTCTCACTTCGAACTGACATGCCATTATGGAACCCAATTACTGTTTAATTCGGCGTTAAACCCCACTCACTAATAGATGAATAAAGACAGATATAAATGCCACATACTAACACTAGAATGCACAGAAGCTAAATCAACTTCTTCATCGATACCTCTAGCCGAGAAGAGAGCATCAAGCAGGCAAATGGCGTCTCCCAGAAATCCCATGCCAGTGTTTGCAGAGACTCCAAGAACATCAGCTCAAGGTAAGTCAGTCCATATTCTTTGCGTTTATACTGAAAGTTTCTTTATAAGGCCAGTTTCTTAACTGAGGAAGAAATCTGCCAAAACCTTCGATTTGGTTTTAAAACCTGAATACATTCCCATTTTTATTTTGTATTGGATTTTAAAGCACCATTAAATCCTTACACTGAGAGATATATTGCTGTGTCCAGTAAAAAGTACCACCAAATCCCTGTCTCAGTCTGACTATGTTCCTTAATACAATACAAACGAAGGGCGTTCCGTATAATCACGGAAAGTATTTGAGACAGCGGAATATATATCATGTGTAGTCTCAAAACTCCAAAGATTTGCTTAAATATTTGGAAAGAACCAATTTCAATTATGTCAAAAAAATCTTATTTCATAACTGTATGCGCTACAACACCACAGGACAATATCATTTCGAATTATACAGAGAGAAGCTAAATTCACTTCTGTATCGATTCTTCCAGCCGAGAACAAAGCACCCAACGGGCAACATTCCACCACAGCGTCTCCGCAAAGTCGCGCCATTCAAACCTCGTCAAGCATTGCAGTCGCTCCAAGAATATCAGCTCCAGGTAAATCAGTCAAGATTTGTTGCGTTTTCATTGAAAGCTTCTTTTATATCCTTTTAATTCATGGACATTTGATTTTAAACCCCTCAGTAGTTTCTTGATCTACTTGGAGGCATCAGAAATGCAATAATACATGCACACTGCCTCAATAAAAAATGGTAGTGATGTCTACAGCAAGGAATTTGAGAACGCATCCACTCTATACTACCCATTAGTGACAGATAAAAAAACACCTGATACATAATGATACTTAATGAAACAGATGAGGAGATATTGTATCTGCAGCTACTTTAACACAGAACAGCTGTGTAGAGAAAATCGGTGTGATAAATTACTCTCAGTATCTGTGACCATACATGAAATCAGGGTTTGACTATCCACAGTTACTGGACAAGGAACACAACTTGCAGCAAATTCAAAAAGTGAGAGAAGAATTGTGTTGATGGGTAGGACTGGCTCGGGAAAGAGTGCAACGGGAAATGCAATACTTGGGTATAAAGCGTTTGAATCGAAAGCCTTTGGACTATCAGTTACCAAGACTTGTAAGAGAGGGACTACTTTCAGATTTGGACATAGATTAGAAGTGATAGACACACCAGGTCTGTTTGACACAGGAATGTCCAATGCTGAGGTTTCCAGGGAGTTGGTCAAGTTTCTTGGGATGACGGCACCAGGGCCCCACGTCTTTGTCCTGGTTCTCAGGGTTGATCGTTTCACGAAAGAGGAGCAGGACACCATGGAACACTTCAAGAAGATGTTCGGAGAAGGGATGCTGACCCACATGTTTGTGGTGTTTACGAGGAAGGATGACTTGATACATAATGAAACAACTTTTCAGACATTCCTGAATGATGCATCAAAGGAACTTAAACGATTACTCCAACGGTGCGACCACAGATGCATGGCTATAAATAACCAAAACCCATCGGATGTGGATGTTAAAACGTTCCTTCAAATCGTAGATAGTATCCACATACAAACCGGAGGCAGTTGGTACAGTACTGAAATGTTCAAAGAGGCTGAAAAGGCAATAGTTGAACGAGAACAGGAACTAAGGCAACAATTCCATGATGAAGCTCGCGATGAAAAAGCGAAACTGAAACGAGATTTTGATGAAAAGATTCACAACTTCACTGAACGATGTTCAAAAGAGGTTTCAAGTTTAGAACAGTCATATCGAGAACAGGCAGAGATACACGGTCTAAAGAAACAACTGCAGGAATTAAGGGCTCGTCAAGATGAAGACAAACGAAGACTTCAAGAAGAATATGCAGTCAAGGAAAAACAATATCAAGAAATATTTGCAAACATAAATCGTGATTACAGAGAAGAAGTACGGAAGGAAATACAAACTGAAAACAAAGATACGATGCGAAAAGTTGGCAGAATGATTTTAAGAGTTGTGAAACGTCTCATCCCTGTTATAGTGGGTGCCTTGGTAGCTCTATAGTGTTACTCATTGTCAAACTCAAACTCAAATTGAACAATAATGTATTATTATACCAACAAAAGGATTGGCAATTTAGCATCCTAGTATGATGGACCAATACTGTATGAATCTACATCTACATCGAGAGTATTATGCCAAGAAAAGAACAAACACAGTAAACAGTGTTCTACCAGGTTATTGCCTTCATAAGTACTTATGGCTTGGATCATAACTTTCCATAAAAGTGTATTTATATTAATGCCTATTTCAAGCTATGTGTACAAGTGTGATATGGGACCGACCATTTTCTAGAAAAAAAATCGTTCTCAAAAATACTTGATAAGAATAATTATGCTTCAAACTGTTGAAAAGAAATTGCATGCCACAAAAAAATACATTCTTGAAAGGTGTACTTCTTGGAAGGAGGCTAATGGTTTTGTAGCTGTATGTAATCCTGGTACAAAATGCCAGCCCCCCTCCCCCTACCCACTTACGTATAAAATGGTCGGTCCCAAATAATATTATTCTCGAGGAAGGTGACCTTCATCATATTGCCATTGGTCTTGGATGTAACATACAGGCTGAAACATCAACGTCTTTATCATTATTTGCACTTCACATCTTGTCTTTCAACAATTTGACAAATGTAAAGGACTTGAAATTCGAGGTGTTTCTTGGGCTCTGCTTTCAGCAGACATTTCATATGTCATATTTCATTATTTACAGTCATATCCAATCATAATCTATATGTTAATATACATCTATTAATGCCATATCTCTTTAAAGCCACACATAAGATTAACCATACTTTTACCCAAAGATTTGTTCTTACAAAGTTTAAAAAAATTGTATTATCGTACCTCTACATTTGGGAATAGCTTGATAATGTCATACTCAATATAACATCATTGATCATGATAACATTTTGGCCTTATTAAAATAGTTTGAGGTATCTAGTAGTAAAAACATTTCTTTGTATTTGATGCACATCCAGACTTCGACATTGACGCTCTTCTGACCACGGAATCATCCCTGGATAAAGAAGTTCGTATCGTGCTCATCGGTCGCACTGGATCAGGTAAAAGCGCTACTGGAAACACCATCACAGGACAGAAGCTTTTTGAGTCCAAAGTGGGAGGTCAGTCCGTCACTAAACAATGCAAACGTACTTCCATCCAGCGATACGGACGCAGAATTCAGGTAGTGGACACGCCGGGATTGTTTGATACAGGAATGTCAAACGCTGAGATAATTAAAGAGGTAGTTAAATGTATTGGACTTTCATCTCCGGGACCACATGCCATTATTTTAGTAACTAGAATAGACCGCTTTACACAGGAGGAAAAAGATACAGTGGAACACTTCAGGGCTGTGTTCGGGGAAGGAATGAATGAATACTTATTCGTGCTCTTCACTAGGAAAGACGATCTTGACGCTGACGGGAAGAAGATACACGACTTCATACAAGATGTCCCTGACACACTGAGACAACTTCTTTCTGATTGTAAGAAGCGATATATTGCCTTCAACAACAGACTTCCACAGCAGGATGGTGCCGAGGTGCGTACACTGCTCAACATGATCGATGCTAATATTCAGAGAAACGGTGGAACGTACTACACTACCGAGATGTACCAAGAAGCAGAGATGTTGATGAAACGGAGAGAGAAAGAACTTGGCCAGCAAATGGAGGAAACTGTAAGACAGGAACGACAACAGTTACAGTTGGATTTTGAGGAAAGGATCGACAAACTGAAAGAAGACAACGAGAAACATGTCAATGATCTTCAAGATAAACTCAAACTGTTAAATACAACGTCAAGTCAATCTGATGAAATACAGGCTCTCAAGAGGGAGATTGAAAACGCAAAGAAGGATGCTGAGATTGAAAAGCAACTGAATGAACGAAAACACAGGCAGGAAATGAAGACATTGGACAAGAAGCTGAAAGAGGTTGAGGAAATGGCACGTGAGAAAGCACGTGCAGAGGTCGAGAAGGGGGAATTGGGTGGTATCTGGGATGGATTTAAGCAAATTGGCCGTGGAATAAAGAATGCGTTCATGCGTATCCTTTCATGAAAGTGACATTGCATGTTTCACTGTTCTGTTTTGCGCAGTAAACAAAAGCACCTATATGTTGTCATATTTTTAGGAATGTAGCAACAATGTCAAGTTGTATAGTTGAAGTACTTAAGGTGACATATACAGACTATATTTATGCCATATCTGTAAATACATATTTTGTAGGTTGGTGTAAAGCAAAATAATCCCTCTTTTATTGAAAATAGTATCCAAGTCCAATCATTATGAAAGCGTTATTGTTAAGACATAGTCACATGGGTGTTCCAAAACCTACCCCAAAGACGACCAAAAGGTTTTAACGTCAGTGTCGACGTTTAATCTTAACCATCGAGTGCTATGTCTATCATACAACACAAGTTAACCATTTTAACAGCCACGTCATAGAAAATTTGTTACCCAAATGTTAGATAAAAACAGACGTAATTAACCGGAACATTTTAAGACGACTCTTAACATCCTATAATTTCAACTCAGGTGTGTTCCTAGAGATACGATATGTGGTGATTAACACCGCTCGACATGTACAAACGAAGCCGAGGGATGATAAGTAGACTATAAGATTGTTAGTTTTGACAATGCTAATGCAGCAGCAGACATATTGAATATATCATTACATGCTCCGTTTTTTAAAGAACAGTAAAACTTTACTTGACATTACAAACATACATATTCATATGCATATGCGTACCTTAAATGCCCGTAATGAAGAAATGCTATACCATGTATATGAAGGTAGTGTATTATGTACAAATAGGTTATATTATGCTCTAATGTGTCGCAGTGTGTAACAATAAACATCAGTTAGTGACCACATACATTCTGGTATACTTGTTTGGACTATTATCAATATACGAGATGACATCATATGGTACAAGAGGCACAGAAGCTCACCTTCAGATTTGTATCAAATGAGTGAGTGAGTGAGTTTGGTTTAACGCCGCTTTTAGCAATATTCCATCAATATCACGGCCGGGTACACAAGGAATGGGCTTCACACATTGTACCCACGTCGGGAATCGACCCAGGGTCTTCGGCTTTGCGAGCGAACGCTTAAACCTCTAGGCTACCCAACCACCCGGGGTACCTGCAGCCTCAGCTTTCTTAAGTGATGTAAAACACATTCACTTTTTATCTTTTAGTGGCGAAAAACATCCTCTCACCATATATAGTAGCCATATAATTATGACAACTCGAAATTAAACATTAGTACTGAGATTTTGGTTCAAAATTAAAACATACTATATCTTTAAGAAAGGTGTTATAAGTTTATAAGTGGTTTCTCACTGCGTATAATGTAAGCTTGATGTGGGAGGAAAGCCGAAAGAGAGCGGAAAGGCGGTGTTTCGATCCCCTGGGTGCGTCATATCAAAAGACTTCAAAAGATGTACTTGTTGGTACCCTGCCTGGTGCTATGTGAAAAGGCTATACAAGAAGGACAGGTCGGTTCGGAGTCAGTATACTGTGTCCGAGTTGGGTATTCATGTTAAACTGCGTCAAGGCATCTCAGTAGGCTAGCACTTTAAAATCGGCATCAGTCCGGACAAGTACAGACTCAAACCTGTGTCATAGTTCGAAAATATGTCATATCTTCTTCTATTTTTCATAAATAATTTTGACTTTATAAAATAAGACTAAACAACATATTTTGTGTATATTACTCAATGACTTGTGTACTAAAAGTCTATCTCAGTCGGCGATGATATGCGCCGGCCTTCATTCACAAGGTTTGGTTGATAGGCATTATGTATTAAGCGTTAAGACTACATGCGTGTAGTTGATAGGCAGTATGTATTAAGCGTTAAGACTACATGCGTGTACCGTCCGAAGTCTACTATCAGTCGGTTTTGATATACGCCTGCCTTCATTCCCAAGATTTAGTCTATAAGCGTTATGGGCTAATCGTTAAGACCACATGTCCAGCGAGAGAAGTAAACATTACTCTGATAGTATGATAACGCGCTGTCCGAGAAATCTTACGTAATTTTAGTCATTTCTGCATACTCATGTCCTTCAAAACTGCGAGGTAATCTCTAAATTCAGATAGTCAGCACGTTAGATTAGCAACATTGTGTAGGTATTGTTAAAGTAAGTAATAATTGAAAATGCGACCATATGATGACTTAAGAGCATCGGTGGTATAAATAACGGCCTTTGTTCCGGGTACCTCACTGATGAGATACACGGAATAAAGACTGGCCACTAACAGATGCTTCTCTTGGTTGTCTTAAGGTAAGATATGTTCACTTCATATATATTGTATGTTCTTAAACTATATTCCTATTTTTCCTGTTTTCTGTTGCATTCTATGTTATTAGTTGCTTTGAATATAATCAACATTTTAAATTCGGCATTATTGATTAAGGTAATCAGTAAAGTTAGTATTATAGTTAGGTTAGATCATGTAGCACGAGAAACAATCTAACAATATAGTGTATATTCAAATAGTATAAAATATAATGTGATAACGTTTTTAGACATTGGTTCAGCAAATTAAAATTACACATAATCGGGCTCGTGGAAGCAAAGTAATTCATGTGCATCTGTTGTCATTTGTATATTTTATTGATTATTTGCAGTTGAAGTGTATGTAAATGAATGTATCTTTAAATGATTACTGTGTGTGTTCCATTCAAATGATTCAAACTTATGATTCAAACTACCCTTGATGTAATTTATGTTTAAACAATGTACTTATTAAGCGAGGCAACTATACTGTACACGCAAAAACCCGTGAGCGGACATAACACTTGTTGTTTAATTCATTTGCTGATGTATTGCTATATTTTCAGTATTATTAGTCTCTATTTATGTCTACATTGTACACATTGCCTTTTGGTTATTAACGGTAGTTAAGATATAAAACATGTGGCCATATTATTTAATAAGCAGACTGAAATCTTATTAACATTTGTGTATTCTTATCATTCGGTTTACGTTATATTCTGTAAGGTTGTATTGAAGTAAAGCTCATCATTACGTTTCCCATGAACATTAAAAGATCATGTAAGATTATTTAAGTTATTGGTGAGATATTCATTAATATTTGTGTATTCTTATTATTCGGTTTAAGTTGTATTCTGTAAGGTTGTATTAAAGTAAAGCTCATCATTACGTTCTTCATAAACATCAAAGATCATGTAAGCTTATTTTAGTAATTGGTGAGATATTTATTAATATATGTGTATTCTTATTATTCAGTTTAGGTTATCTTCTGCTAGGTATATTAAGGTAACGCTTATCATTACGTTCTTCATAAATAGCTTAGATTATTTTAGTTATTGGTAACACATGTAGTACGTGTCTTACCAAAGAGTTAGCCTATTTATTTAAAATACATGATGCTATATCACGTGTTTTATATTTTCAGCCAAATGTAAAGTGTCTTCGTTTCATTGTTAAATGCAATTGTTTATTGTATGATACATTGTAAGATTTATACTGTAACTGTTAATTCATAATTTTCGGAATACTTTAATTGTCTTAGGTTGTACTTTGTTTATGTTTTATTGTGATATGTAAATGACTGATGAGATACACAGAATAAAGACTGGCCACTAACAGATGCTTCTCTTTGCTGTTGTAAGGTGTGCGGTCCAAGCTAATTCCCCGACAACTAATTCTAGGAATAATAATCAGCCTAGACCAAACATAAACCGTTAAAGGTTATTATAGGTCATAAGGTTTATTATACCTGCATGCACGTCGCCACATAAGTGCTATAATCTTGAACGCGACGTTAACCCCATATCACCCTACCTCGCTGGCAAAATTCCTCAATCTTTTCATAATGAAAGCGTCTTTGCCGGTTGGCTGGGACTGTACTGTGTCTGAGTGGGTAATGTTAAACTATACAACCGACTTTACTCCGGACTAGTACAAGCAGACACACACAAACACATACAACCATTCGCTATAAATCCTAAATGCCTTTGAACGCAATTTCACCTCACAGCCACATGCACAAGAAATGTATTATTTACTCCAAACATGAAGCAAACAGATTCTGACCTCCGCAACATTCCTGTTCCATTGGTTCACAAAGCAAATGTACTTCGCGATGCGACACCCGAATACATGAACAAGAACTATTTACCATGATCTATTGTGTATGTACGCCTAAATATTCAACTTGGATCTCACGTGGTGTTGACAGATAATGGTGCATATTTATCACTGATATAAGGGTAAGTGTACTGCGTTGTTGATCTACTTTACCTTACCATGCAAGTGATCGACACTTGTAGATTACATTGCGTCTTTGTGTCGCATTTGTGTGTTGTTGTGACCAGGGGCAACGGATTATATGGTAAACCGAATATGACTAATGTGAATTTCGTGTTGCTCCCGTGTACCGAGTGTGTTTAGTGAACACAGTGAAACAATTTCGATAATTCGGAGTTTCATTTTGGGACCACAATATACTGTGAGTGAGTTCGGTGTAACGCCATTCCGACCCGTGAAGATCCGGGGTAGAATAGGTCTTCAGCAGCCCATGCTTGTTGTAAAAGGCAACTATGCATGTGTCAGAGGCGACTTACGGGATCGAATGGTCAGGCTCGCTGACTTGGTTTGATGCATGTCATCGTGTCCCAATTGCGTGGATCGATGCTCATCATGTCAATCACTGGATTGTCTGGTCCAGACTCGATTATTTACAGACTGAGGTCATATAGCTGGAATATTGCACACAAGCAAAAACAAGCAAAAACAGTTATATCACGACATGTCAGTTTAATAAGGGAGAAAAACCCGAAGTGATGGATGTCGCAGACGTTTGCCACTTTGACGAAACCAATGGTGCTAACAAACCTAGAAACACATTTGCGCCAAACCGTAGTCGATCCCTGAGATCTTCAATAGTTCCTGGCACGCCTAAGGGACGCAACTCTGAAAAACTTATCCGGGAACCTCAGACACCTGGACCACTCGTACTAATATACTGTGAATATCAAATTAAAATGTGAATGAATTTTCGAATTCTATGGTTTTTTTAATTACAGTTACCGTGAAATGAGAAGATGAATAATTCTGTGAAGCGAAATAATATATAACATCATAATTATCATCAATTTTCAGAGATCAGTAAAATTATAACATTTGCTACTGTTGCTTTATCAGCATTGCTATCTGCAGCCAGTTATAATTCTTCGCATTTTTCACGACAATCAGAGCGTGTTATTTGAGAGTTATGATTTGATTGTTATTTAACGCCGCACTCAGCAGTATTCTAACTATATCACGGTGGTTTAGGGTTATGAGTGTAACTTCAAATACTCCTTCTTTATCCCTCCCCCCAAAAACAAAACAAAAACAAAACAACAACAACAACAACCAAAAACAAAACAAAATAAAAACAAAAAAACAAACAACAACAAAACAAACCCCCAAAAACAAACAACAAAACGAAAAACAAAAACACACAGAATACAACACTGGTTATAATTTGATTGTTATTTAACGCCGCACTCAGCAGTATTCTAACTATATCACGGTGGTTTAGGGTTCCGATTGTAACTTCACATACCCCTTCTTTATCCCCCCCCCCCCATAAACAAAACAAAAAACAACAACAAAAAACAACAAAACACACACAAAAAAGACAAAAAAAACAACAACAAAAACACACAGAATACAACACTAAGTAACTGCAACAATAGCTAATGTGCCCCGAGGATCAGTGCCTTCAAGCTATATTCAGGCTTAAAATAGCCGTCCAATGAAATTACACTTGTGAGCGACATAAATCATGTGCCGAGTCAGTGACAAGTCATGTAGAGATGGCGACGTGACGTTTGAAAAAAAAGACTTGGATGAATGGAAATAAAATACCCTTGATAATCGAGGATGTGAAGATCACTGCGTCAGCGTTTCCTTGTATGGTACGTTATATTTATTGTATATGAAAAAACTACATTTACCTTAAGGATACACGCCAATATAATGTCGTCTGAAGGATCTTAAAGAACCTAAAAAGTCAAAACTCTTTGAAAAAATATTTATTCAAGAAATGAGTACGGGCTTGAAAATATATAAATACAAAATGTCATGAGTGAATCAGTTGCATAATGTATACGTTGATATAAACCTGTCAAAGTGAAGCACAAATTCATGCGTGGCAAGATCCATTGAAACCTCAGGATATGTTATGATCTTATCTTGAAAATAAGTTTATAGTCTCTCGGCATATTTTTCTCTGCCTTGAAGATAGGGTCCAGCCTTGGCTCAACACCATCTTCTGGGGATATGTGGAAGTTCTTCAGTAGTCCGGCTAGGACGAGGTGGAGCTCTGGCTTGGCCACGTGCTCCCCCAAACATGCTCTGCGTCCGACAGCGAAGGGGAGAAAGTGAGTGAGGTTGGTCTTCACCTTCCCTTCCTCCGTCAGGAACCGTTCTGGTTTGAAAGTCTCCGGGTCCTCCCAATGGTCTGGGTCGTGGTGGATGGCCCAGTGGTTTATCAGGACGTTTGAGTTCTTGGGAACATCATATGGCCCTGCAGAAACACCGTCAGAGACTTAATTAGCAAATATATAGAGGTTATCACACGACTGCGTTTGGGGATGGTAAATATCCTGCATTAGGAATAAACATTGTATTTAGCGAGCCTTGGCGAGGCCTCGTGCCCTCGCAAAATTGTTTCGAACTTTATATCTCCAAAGTTGCCAAAGTTATAAAATGCCTTAGCTACGTCACAGTTAGACACTGATTTTCAGTATATTAGACTGTTCTTTAGATAATGATAGCAATTATCCCTGTAGTTTATCCAGATTCCCGATGGTTAATTCTGACTCGATCGCCGAGTGACGAGGGCGACGCCATGTTTGTTTATAAACAGTGAAAGTAGAGATATTTGCATGTCTGTTGGCTTTATCCTGCCAAGAAACCTACCCATTATATGATAAACGTGGTTACGTGGTGTAAAGTATTTCGACATGTCAGCTTATAGTGTGTCTGTGCGTGCGTGCGTGCGCGCGCGTGTGTATGTGTGCTTGTACTAGTCCGGAATATAAGCTGTAGTGAAAAGTACAGAAGGGAGAGAACTCTGATTATGGAGTACTGCTGATCCACACATAAAATATTTATAGATACACCTATCATCTGAAAGGTGATACCGACATACCAATAAACACAACCAGACTGAGTGATTCTAACCAACGATCATCGGATTCTGGCACGACCAAGGGTTGCAACTCTGCACAATCTTAGATGACTGGGCCACTCGTGCCCCCATTAAAATTGGAACAGACATGCAAGTTCCATGAATTGCTATGAACTACTATGAATTACTATGAATTACTATAAATAGGTAGTTGTCCGCAGTCTTTTGTTCTGTAAGTTAGATGTTTAAAAACTAAGTTTAAAAATAATGCAGGTTAACTTTGCGACATATTTCAAATTGAGAAATAAACAACATCTACTACAAAATACCCCTATACCGGCGTACCACCATTTAATGCATTCCACTGGTCCCTGAGAAAACGCACGAGCCCGGGGCCAATGGACCAGCGTAAATGTCGAACATTGCATACCTATTGTAGCGTCTGTTATAGCCCTGTGGGGTAGTCCGAAAGGAACGACAGTGCTAAGCCTCATGCTCTCGTATATCACAGCTTGGAGGTAGCACAGATAGGGGCGGTCTACAAGGTTGGCCATGCACCGGGACTCTGGAAACAAAGACATTATTTCAAAAATATGCGGATAAAAACGCTTTTATGACGCATACTTTCACCAAAACATATGGTCGGTAGCGAAAAACAGTAAACTATGTTTATAACGAACACGTTTATAACGAACTGACAGATATAACGATTTGTATTTTTTTGTAGCGGCAATTGCTGTATATTTTATCATATACAACGAAAAACGGTCATAACGAAGTCAAGATAGTGGTTCCTTTGAGTTCGTAATAACCGTAGTTTACTTTGAGAATAGACATCAAATGCCAGAAAAATAATTACGGGTATTGTGATGTCTTTTCGGTTGTCCGAAAGACATTGGGTTTATTAGGCTCTACTTTCAGTCCATAATGTCTAAACTATGCAAATAAGCAATCAATTTGATAAGCACATATGAAATAGCTTAGTGATCCATGCGTTTTTGCAATATTCCACTTTCTATCTTCGAAACTGAAGTTCAAGCAAAACACTGGAATTGGTCAGCGGTCCCATACCTAGCACCTCGTCCAGTTCCTGATGGACCTTCTCCTGAACGTCCTGGTGAACAGCCAGATACAGCAACGTCCACGACAACGTCAATCGGACAGGATCGTTACCCGCTAGAGCAGAGAGAAGAGACATATTTGTGAGTGTTGAAATTTTTCACCTGTACCATGTATGGTGGTAATAAAACGTGTTATATATCTTCAAATGACACTTCAGAAGCTGTGCTGTCAGTGATTCCTGGTTAGAAAGGGTCTCCGTAACCTTCTGATGGTCTATGAGGCGACTAAATGGATCGGATGGACGGGCTCAGAGACTTGGCTGATAGGTGAGGTGAGGTGAAATGGGGTTTAAGATTGTTGCACTTACATAGCGACGTGCATGTACGTGTGCGTGTGTGTGTGGCTGCTTGTACTAGTCTGGACTGATGCCGATTTATAGTGCGAGCTCACTGAGATACCATGCCGCAGTTTAACATGAATACCCCACTCAGACACAGTATACTGACTCCGAGCCGACCAGTTCTTGTTTTAGCCCCTTTATGCCGAGCGCCAGACAGGGTAACAACAAGTACCATATTTTAACGTATTTTGGTATGACGCGGCCGGGGATCGAACCCCCGACCTTCCGCTCTCCGGGCGGACGCTCTACCACTTGGCCACGGAGGCGGTCACTTGGTTGATTGAGTGTCATTGTACTCCAACGGCGTTGATTATTGCCCAAAGTATCAATCACTGGATTGTCTGGTCCAGACTCGATATTTTGACATAGCTGAAATGTTGCGGAGTGCGGCGTTAAACAACAAACAAATAAACAACAAAATATCAGTTAAGACAGACTTGACTGACGATTTGACTTGTTTGATAAAGATACAAACAGCTCTGTTGAAACCACGCACTGAAAGAAGTTGAAAGTCAACTATGCCCTCATTGTTTTGTTATGGTAGATGCAACAGGGTTGGTTGGTTTGTTGTTTAACGCCGCACTCAGAAATATTACAGCAATATGACGGCGGTCTGTGTAAACAATCGAGTCTGAGCCAGACAATCCAGTGATTGACATCATGAGCATCGATCCACGCAATTGGGATCGATGACATGCATCAACCAAGTCAGCGAGCCTGACCACCCGATCCCGTTAACCGCCTCTTGCGACAAGCATAGTCGCCTTTTACGGCAAGCATGGGTTGCTGAAGACCTATTCTACCCCGGATCTTCACGGGCTGTTAATAGGGAGATCGGTGTGACTTTTACGTTTCAGTTATGTAAATAGTAATCGCAACTATTAAGAATGATGCATTAATATCATCACGACCCATTGACTACGCTTTCTTTTTTCTTTCATGTGCTAGTATACTTCTATTACTCGATCGGTAGGTACATTGTCGATTTAAACCATGAGGCTTAATTTCACGTCGATATTGTTGAAAAAAATAATTTATTTTGCCTCGTATATTACAAAATATAAAACGTCAAAGCCAGAGAATAATTTTCTCGCGTACAAGATTTATGGGGGTAAAGGCAAAACAGAGGTGAAAATTATATGAATGGATCACTGAAACCCAATTCGCGAAAACGGTAGGCAAAGAAACTGTTCGAGGACATGATTGATGTCCTGCTAAAAAATGTGTTGTGAAAAATACAATTGTTTGTTTCCTCCTTGCACAAAAAGATTATTATGTCTTAAAGCAGTGGCCAAAACATATTCTGTCTTTATAACAAACTTATGATTCCAGACACCTTCTCTCCCTAGAATATGAAATGATCGGTCTCTGGGGCATAAACCAGTGAAGATCCGGGGTAGAACAGGTCTTCAGCAACACATGCTTGTCGTAAGAGGTGACTAGGTTCGCTGACTTGTTTAATGCATGTCATCGAATCCTAATTGTGTAGATCGATGCTCATGATGCAATCACTGGATTGTCAAGTCCTTCTCAATTCTTTTTCGATGACTGTCATATAGCAGGAATATTGCTGAGTGCGGCGTTAAACAACAACACCAACAAACAAACAAACCCTGAGGTATAATCAAGTGCGCCTAGACCAAGATTTGTTGGATGCTACAACCTCACTAACTACATGCACTGTTATATGTTTTTGTAAGCTTTCCACACCGCGTTCGTTACTGCAGGTAAACATGAGTAAAACAGCCCCTTCCGTTAATCCCAGGGGGCACGGGAGGCCCAGTCGTCTAAGGCGCCGCGATTCGCCGAGCAGAGTTGCGTCCCTTGGACACGTCAGAAACCTATGATTGTGGTTTCGAATCCGATTATGTTTCTATGTGTCAGCACCATACCCGTGCTCGTGGGTTTCACCGAAGTGATAAACGTCTGAGACCTGCATCACTTCGGGCTTTCCTCCCACATTAAGCTGACACGCCGCGATATAACTGGAATACTGTTAAAAGCGGCGTTAAACACAACTCACTCACTCACTCACGTTAATCCCAAACACCGATAACCATCATTAAGATATGTGGCACTTCGTTGACTCACCATTGAACATGTCCAGTATCGTATGCACCACGTGATCATCTGTCAGACGCTGAGATACTTCCACTTCCTCCTCCTCATCTTCAAGCTGGGACAACAAGATGGCGTCTAACACATCCCGTATGTTCTCTACAGTAAAACAATGATACATTGATGAACATCGTTCTGGAAATTTATATTTCCGCTAATACCTGATCTTATGCGAACCCACATATTGTACTGTGGTATTTGTCGGGTCCAGCTTAATAACACATAAACTCATACCTACAAACGTGTGAATGTATTCACATTACAGATAGGAACAGCCAAGTGAGTGAGTAAGTTAGTAAGTATGGTTTTACTTCACATGTACCACAATGCTAACCATATCATGGCGTGGGGCGATATCAGTCAATAAGCACCTTTAAAGAAAGATAATTCCCTTCAATAAACCAACCCGACCCCAAGTTAATCCATTAGCACTGCTATAATAGCTGCACACAGTCCTACAAGTGTAGCGGCCATAAAATCTCCGAGTCCCGTGATGGAAGGTGAACCACGGACCTTCTGATCAGAAGTCGGACGCCTTGTCCACATGACAAAAGAGGTTAACCCCGTCAGCAAGCTGACAAGGTAAGGATGTCATCTGTGGGAGGACTTCACGCCCTGCTACTTACTTCCCTGTCAACAGAAAGCACGTCCCGGGCCGCATAGTAGGGCACTGAGACTTATCTTGCTCAAATTTAATATGAACGTGCTCAGCCCCACGTTGGGCGCCAATGTAGCGGCCATAAAATATCCGAGTCCCGTGATGGAATTCGAACCACGGACCTTCTGATCAGAGGTTGGACGCCTTGTCCATATGACCAAAGAGGTTAACCCCGTCAGCAAGCTGACAACGTAAGGATGTCATCTGTGGGACGACTCCACGCCCTGCTACACAAGAAACATAACATCGATGCACCGCTTCCGAGAATTATAGTTCTCTTTGCAGGTACGGGTTAAGATTCACAGAGATTTTACTTGCATACAATACGATTAGTAATACTAAGTCTTTGTTTCAAGATACCAACAAAAACATGTAATGTACGTGCAGGAAGTCAGAATGTAAGTATAAACTAATGGGCGGTCTTACCTGGGTTAAATGTTTCTTTATGCATCTCGACTCTCTTTTCAATGTAATTCTTTAATTTCTTGACGGTCGTGAGCATCTTATTAAATCTTGGTGTTGGTAGCCACTTCAGAGGCGGGATAATATCCTCCCAGAAAAAAGATCCCGTCAGCTTGCTGTAGTCGTCCAGGAGCGCCATAAACTTTCTGAAGTCGTTGCTGCCTATATCATGCCTACAATAAACATGGCATTATTACAACTGCTGCACACAATCTTACAATAAACGTCACTACAGGTCCGTCATACAGTCCTTCAATTAACGGGACATCAGTACAGGTGCTGAAAAACGCGCGCAACGATCCTCACCATCGCTGAAATGCCTTATGACTCTACAATAAGTTAACTGAAGACGAAGCCCAGTGCTAGACGTCACACTCACGTCTTGTCGAAGCAGACACCACACATGATGTTCACGTCGATGAGGGACAAGTAGGGCAGGGGATCCACCGCCGTCTTCTCCGTCTTCAGCAGCTCCATCGCCTTCGTCACAGACTGGTGGATCTTGTCCTCAAGATGGAAACCCGACAAGAACGTGTAGGACCTAATAATAATAATAATAATAATAATAATAATAATAAAAACTACATTTACTGCTTCTTCTACTACTGTTGCAACGAAGAGAGTGAATGTTGTTTTGTGCCACATATCCAGGCCTAGCGTTTGATAGCATGACGAAAAAGGCACACCGTCGGGCTATGAAGCTCTCCCGGCGGACGCTCTACCACTAGACCACGGAGGCTGTCCACGGCGTGTCAACTTAATGTGGGAGGAAATCTAGAAGTGATACAAGTCTCAGACGTTTACCATTTGGGCGTAACCCACGAGCACGGGTATGGTGCTGACAAACCTAGAAACATAATCAGGGCAAACCGGGATCTGAGCCCATAACCATGGGCTTCTGGCGTGCCCAGGGGTCGCAACTCTGCACAGCGAATTGCGGCGCCTTATACGACCAGGTTACCCGTGTCCCTGTTTTGTTTCACCTATATCATTTCAGAGTATGAACGTTAAGATAAAGACATCTGCCGAGCAGGCATGTTACCACACCTGAGTGCCATACTTGTCACCTTCCGCTGGTGCTGCAGTGTGGGCGTGTAGTCTGAGAACAGGATGCCCTTCTGACCACAGGTCATCTGTTTAACTGCAACATAATATGTCAGTCAAAATTATACAAAGAAGTGACTGAGTTCGGATTAACGCAGCTTAGAACAATATTTCATTTAGATCCCTGATTTCGACTTCATGTGGAGCGGCGCTAACTATATAAACCTACTGCCACTTGTGCCTAATGTATTGTAGGTATCTTCCTATCTCGTAATAACCTCTTGGGAGGTTTTACTTTTTCCTAGTAAGACCAGGTTGAGGTTTTACTTTTTCCTAGTAAGACCAGGTATGAGGTTTTACTTTTTCCTAGTAAGATTTGGATTGAGGTTTTACTTTTTCCTAGTAAGACCTGGCATGAGGTTTAACCTTTTCCTAGTAAAACCTGGAATGCGGTTTTACTTTTTCTAGTAAGATCTGGAATGAGGTTTTACTTTTTCCTAGTAAGATCTGGAATGAGGTTTTACTTTTTCCTAGTAAGACCTGGAATGAGGTTTTACTTTTTCCTAGTAAGACCTGGTATAAGGTTTTATTTTTTGCTAGTAAGACCTGATGATTTGAGTAGCAGATGGAATTTGGAGTGTTTCAAACGTCAATTGTTCCCTGATCGAAGACAAGAAATGAAACTATTCTATTATGGATGACGGGAATCGAACCTGCGATAGGTTTTGTAACCCACTGTTTTGTCACGGAGGCACCGGGACAAGTGGTGAGGGAACGTTCAAGTTCTGATGGCATGACTTTTTCGGCTACCCTTTTGCCTCGGTCTTACGTCCTCGACCATAACCTCGGAGTCGTGCTTTATCCGTCATGTACAAACTCTGTGGCAAAACTCTCACCTGAGTAAGATTGTGGTCGCGCTGTGAAGGCAGACTGTTGCTTGACGAATGCTTCATCCACGGCCTGCCTGGTGTTGAGATACATGGTAGCAACACGGCCTGCAAACAGGGTAACAAACATTATATATATACAGTAAACTACGGTTATAACGAACACGCTTATAACGAACTGACGGATATAGCGAACTAACTTTTTAGTCCCGACTACTTGCTGTAGTCATGCTGTATATGTACTTATAACTAACTACGGTTATAACGAACTAAAATTAGTAGTCCCATTGAGTTCGTTAAAATTTTATGATGAAACATTTGTAAAATGTATACATATTATTCACTTTACTAGTCTCATGAATGACAGTTTCAAATATCAATATTCACATTGACAGGTTCCATTCCTATATGTACTTAACACGAAGCGTTAGGGATGAGGAATACTTTTGGAATATTTTTATGAAGATGTGTGCTCGGTCTTCACTACAAAATAGTATCCCCCATGATATTATGATCCCTAATTTTATTTTGTTCACTTGAAATGTATATCCACAAAGCCGTTGATGAATAAGAACATACGAGTGAGTGAGTGAGTTAAACGACGCTTTGAACAGTGGTATATCAGTTATATCGGGTATGTCAGGGGATATACACCGGGGTGTGCCTACTGTACCGACTGAGAAGCATTATGAAGGAAATGTGTGATTCCAACCCACGATCACTGAATTCTCGAACATGTGTTTGTTTGTTTGTTGATTATATTGTTAGATTATGATTGGATACGCCTGTAAATAATGCAATATGACATATATAATGTCTGCTGAAAGCAGAGCCCAAGAAACAACTCGAATTTCATATCCTATACAATTATTCAATTGTTGCTTGTTTGTTTGTTTGTTTGTTTATTTATTTGTTGTTTAAAGCCGCACTCAGCAATATTCCAGCTATATGACGGTGGTCTGTAAGTAATCGAGTCTGGACCAGACAATCCAGTGATTGACAACATGAGTATCGATCCACGCAATTGGGATACGATGACATGCATCAAGCAGGTCAGCGAGCCTGACCACCTGATCCCGTTAGTCGCCTCTTACGACAAGCATAGTCGCCTTTTACAGCAGGCATGGGTTGCTGAAGACCTATTCTACCCCGGATCTTCACGGACCGAATATGTGTTTGATATTGAAGAGAACCATAAGTATTGTTACCATAGTATTATGAATGGTGGCATTTAAAGTATTAGATATATTCTTTTATCTCTGACAATACCTTTGTAAACCGTCATGTAGGGTCCAAAATATCTTGCCCACTCATACAGCGTCTCAAGGGTATCATCTTTTAAATCTGCGAAAATAAACAAGATGCAATTGTCAATAGCACTGATAACTGTAGATTCGTTGTTGAAGAAGTCTTTATCATCGGCCGCATGGACGATACATGAAGTTGCTGAAATACACACAATGAAATACTGTATTTGCTGCAGTTGTTATTGCAACTGCTTCCCTACGAAAGCCTTGTGGTTCAACTTTGGTAGCATTAATTTATGTATATATTTTTTTTATAAAATTCTCGTTAATTCAATTATTTTCTCGAAGTTTTCGGGTTCGCTCATGTTATTATCTCAAAAGCTCGAAATTTCGATTTTTTTTCTCGTACATTCGATTATTTTCTCGCTACTCCGAGGGTTTTTTCTCTATCCTTCAATTATTTTCTCGCTATTTCAAGTTTATTTTGAAAAACCTGAAACTTCGAGAAAAGTAATCGAAGCAACGAAAAAATAATTGAAATAACAAGAAAAAAATAGGAATTTCGAGTTTTTTAAATAAACTTGAAAAAAACAAGAGCATCGAAATTACAAGAAAATAATGAATGTAACGAGCAAAAGTTCGAAATTTTGATTTCTTAAAAACATACTTGAAATAAGGAGAAAATATTCGAAATAACGACATTAAACTCGAAATTTCGAGAAAATAATTGAAATAACGAGAAATTTCCATTGAAATATTTTTACCAAAACATCATTAGGCTTTCGTGCTTTGTTCCTCAATGTTCTCTTGGGTAATTAATTACCTGTGAAAACGGTTTGTAAAACCTGACAATATATCAATATTATAATACTACACGTTAATTAAGTTATAATAATATTTCAGGGAAAATGAAAAGCATCATGACCCTCTACCGTATACACAAAGATATAAAGTGACTGAATGGTGTGAAACGCCACTGTCAGCAATATTCCAGCTATGTCACGGCTGCCTGTAAACATCCAAACCAGTGGTTGACACTATGAGCAACGACCCACGCTGTCGGCACACACTCAGTCCGATATTGTGATAGACCGATCCTATCCGATTGTTTGTTTGTTTGTTTGTGTGTTTGTTGTTTAACGCCGCACTCAGCAATATTCCAGACGGCGGGCTGTAAATAATCAAGTCTGTGATTGACATCATGAGCATCGATCTACGGAATTGGGATACGATGACATGCATCAACCAAGTCAGCGAGCCTGACCACCCGATCCCGTTAGTCGCCTCTTTATACGACAAGCATAGTCGCCTATCAGCATGGGTTCCTGGAGGCCTTTTGAGTAACCTGGAGCTTCATGGGTACGATCCTACTTAGTTGGCTCTCACGACAAGCATTGGGGACTGGGCATCTGTTGCCATCTATGCCCCGAGATCCTCATATATGAGCCGACCGCCTCCGTGGTGTAGTGGTAGAGCGTCCGCCAGGAGAGCGGAAGGTCCGGGGTTCGACTCGACGACATCAGTGGTCAAACTAAGCAATTGGACATGAACTACCCTTACCTAGAAGGCTGCCGAGTAACGGAAGGCCCCTGGGCCCCGGGGGTAGTCTTGGGAAAGGGCGTGTCCACCACAGGGTGAAGAGCCCCGCTGTGACGCCGATGATGGCGCATTGCCACATCTGGGACAACTCGAGGAAAGCTGCTAACATCTTCTTTTTGTTGAAATTAGCCCTGCATTAACTGCCCATGCGTGGTAATCTGTGAACTGGATTGATACATCTTTTAGTACAAACTATATTGTTAATTTTTATAGTGTCACGTGCTGTGGTCTTAAACTAGAACACGTGCACGAAATACCTCTCTGAAAATGATTTTGTTATTGACGCAATATATTCACCAAAACACAGGCACAAAGGATGAGGTCCTTCGAAAATATAATCCAATCAAAAGAAGTCAAAGAACAGCCAATTTTTTCATGTGACTTAAGTTACTCTGTCTTGGCCTATAGTCAAAGGGGAAGAGCGGGTGCTCCTTAACTTCTTAGGAGTAGTATATATCGATTTATCCGTTGTTCGTGAAAACCGAGTCAATATTTGACTAAACTAGTGCCACTCAGGTTGCTGTCGGGACCACACAAAAATATTTGTTACATTTTTTTTTAAATTTGACCAATTTGACTCTTATGTTTCCGGTTTGTTATAGGTTTGTTTGTTGTTTAACGCCGCACTATTCCAGTTATATGAAGGCGGTCTCCAAATAATCGAGTCTAGACCAGTGACTGACATCATGAGCATCGATCTTCGCAATTGGGATACGACTATATGCATCCATCAATCAAGCGAGCCTTACCATCTGATCCCGTTAGTTACGTCTTACGACCGGCATTGGTTGCTGATAACTAATTCTATCCCGGATATTTAGTTAAACACTTTGTTACGGGTGCCACCGGTGTTGAAGGACACGCACACCTTTTCGCGAACACCTGGCAAAATCACTACGTGATAATGATTCATAAACACATGCTTATGATATAATGAGTGAGTGAGTATGGTTTTACGCCGCTTTTAGCAATATTCCAGCAATATCACGGTAGAGGACACCAGAAATGGGCTTCACACATTCAGAACCCGGGTCTTCGGCGTGACGAGCGAACGCTTTAACCACTAGGCTACCCGACCGCCCCCTTATCATATAGTCGCAGTCGTACAACGGGATGTGCCTTCAGCAGAGATTCCGGATGATTAAGTAAAGGGTTTGTTCGCTTTTCTTTACATACATTAGGCAAATTGTTACTATGTAGTGCCTGAGCAACAGTCAAGTCGAATACATCCTCAATTATAACCATCATCATAGTCATTATCAATTTCTCAAAGAGTTTCCAAATAAGGTTGTTTACATGTTAGGTAACGCTACATTTATTGACATCTCAATTCGCAGTAAAGCTTAATACACGAAATACTTTTCTGAAAAAAGATTATTATACAAACATTTCGTTCTACAGCGAAAATTCGTTAACTGGATGCCCCGCGGAGCATTAAATATTTACAGATTTCATGGTTCGAGACAAACGGACATCCGACACTTGACCATTTAGTATATTCGCTTTAAACAATATAGGGAGATATCGGTGTGTCACTGCATTTCTACATGTGTATACAGTTAACTACGGTTATAACGAACACAAAAGGAACAATAGACGGAGTTCGTTATAAGCGTTTAATCTAAAGCATACCGCAAATGACCGGGACCAAAAACAACAGTTCGTTATATCCATCACTTCGTTATAAGCATGATCGTTATAAACGTAGTTTACTGTCCTATGGAACATCATATTCCTGAAACTGAATTACTTTGTATAACCCGTTGTAAAGTTAAAACAACGTAAGTCTCGATTATCTGACGAAACAGATTACCGTATTTCCTCTATTAGACGCCGGGCCTCTAATAGAAACCGGGTCAACTGTTCAGTGCAAAAAATAGAAGCCGGGCCTCTAATAGACGCCGGGTCGATCAATTGATACAATTAATGATCCCTTTTTGGGACCTAAAATCCATAATGAGGACTCAAAATATTTCAATTTCGTGACGATTCGGGACATTCGTGGTCATAGTGAAATGGGGGTATTCATAGAAGCCGGGCCTCCAATAGACGCCGGGCCTCTAATTGACGCCGGGTCAAAGTCTTGTACGAAATAAATAGAATCCCGGGCGTCTAATAGAGGAAATACGGTACACTGGGGATAAAAGCCTAAATAGTGGTTAACCTTATGATTGGAAGTCTGAAAAGCACTTGCTAGCGAAAAGGGTAATCGTGTAAGCATAGAATACTTAGAACTGTAATTATTATTGAAGCAAATTTCAAAAGTATTTTTCCTCAAAGCAAAATGGCTATAACGTAACAATATGTTTACATCTTAGTGAACAATTATCTATCTTTCACTAATATAAAATACCATAGTAAATTGTATCGAAAGGGTACCCATCACACGTAATGAACAATCGATGCCCATATAAAATCAGCTTGAGAATCATTTTCAGCTGCCAATAATATTATAATATATTCAAATGAAAACAAAACCTTATAATATTATTATTACGGAAAAATACAAAGTATCAAATCACAAAGATATACCTTTAAATATGACCTACCTCTCTGCAATGTAAACCCCAGAATATATCACGCCTGTGCAAGACCTGAGTTGTACGCCACTGACATCGCCTGTTGGTGCACACGCAGTACTTGCAACCTACCCTCAGTCTGTTATTTCTGTTGCCCGGGGGTAGGCTGGACCTGCGCTTCCCCCCAGCCATGACAGTCTACCCCACGGAAAATAGACCCTTTGTTGTGTCCGCCATATTTACCTCCCGATAAGACATGTACCATATCCCCCTTATCTGATGAAACGGCCCTGGGCAGCGGTTGACCTTACGTAATATTAGCTGTATAAACAACGACATGAGTCCTTCATTAACCACCTGGATCTGAAAAAAGTCTACCAGAATACAACACTAAATGTATAAGCTATGTATTCAAAATTTAATTATTGTTTTGTACACAACAATAACATTAATCTCATTTATTATAAATGTATTCAACATTTATTAATGTGATAGTTACACAGCAAATTATATGCAACAAAAGTGGTGGTAGGCCAACTATTTATAAGGATTGACGTTTTGTACTCTCTGACATGATAGTAGATTTTTATGTACTCGTGAACTTTTTAGAGGAATGTATTAATTAAAATAAAAGCGACAAAGCCCTTTCCATATTCAGTTACCCCTCCAAAAACAGAGTCGTTTGTACGATTCCGACTATATCATGAGCATGTGTTTATAAATCATTATAAGACAGTAAAATAAGTTTTAACCTCATCGGTTTAAATTTATTCGTATTTACCGCATCACGAATATGTTTTGAGATTCAGATTGGTCGCACACGTATAGTCTGTCATACAGACCCTGAAACAAATATATCCAATACAGCCCATCCAGGTCTATAATGTTTGGCAAGTCTAGATTACTGTCGTATCTGAAAATGAAGAAAGTCTCTGGGCTCATGTTTATTGTATTTTATAACTATAATTTAACAACTGTTTTTTTCTGTAAAATATGTTCAATTCAGAGACTAGATGTTAGTCTAGCACACGTATAGCTATAGTCCCTACTACAGACCAAGAAACAGCTTGATTGTTGGAATGGTGGTACACTCAAGTCATTAATATTGCATCTGCATCACAGTGGACTGTTAAAGGACCCTAATCAGTGTCATTGTGAAATCAAAAATACCCCTCAAAGCCTAAGCAAGTCTACATCAGTTTGGGAAATTTGAATTTCATGACATTCTGAAAGTAGAGATACACTCAGGGCTCTTTCTATTATCTATTTAAAGACGATTGTAACAAAATAATCTGAAATTATTTTTATTTCAGACTACATGTATAATATTACGTACATTAGCATCAAGTAGCAGTTTCTAGGGCAGCACGCTTTGTGGGTCGTGTGAACAATTTTCTGTTGTTTTCGTTATCGTCCAGAGACTTCCATGTGTGAAGAAATCTTGCCACACGCACTCGTCATATGTGTCGTTTCGATAAAGCTAGATTCTACACAATTTTATGGCGGTGTTTTACACACTCGTGTACAGCAGTGACCTCGCTGTAACCCCCGGCTATGTACCGACACGCATGGGTGAGCCAGTTGTCTCAGGGATGTGATACTGTCAAACGTCGTCACGTGACGTGCATTAAGACGACGCACTGAGTGAATAACCGGTTTATTCATCCTGGGCTTTCTCACTGTTTGAAGAAAATTAAAAAAGCTCTATAACTAATATATTTTACTGTTAGGGCATATCATTGTCTATATATATTTTATTTTATTTCATTTTATATTATTTTATATTATTTTATTCTCTATTATATTATATTATATTGTATTATATTATTTTTTTTATTTCTTTTTATATTTTATTTTATTTTATATCATATCATATCATATCATATCATATCATATCATATCATATCATATCATATCATTTCATTTCATTTTATATATTTTCATTTAAATATTTTATTTTATTTTAGAATTTAAAACTCGCTCATCGATGCATAGTAAATGTTCACTATACATCCACGATATCTAAAATCCAGTGGTTAAACATGTACAAGCTAGGCCGACATTAATTCAAGTCAACCAACCAAAAACTCCGTATGTTATTCGATGGTGATATGTTTGATACGGGGATCATAGTTGAGTTCTGGACCTTGCAGTGTTTCCACGCCTGTTTCCAGCCTAGTAACGTTTTGATGACGTTCGTAATTTTATTGTCAAATCCAGTTCAGAAGTGTATACTTTCTTTTTCTCGACATTTTTCATACTTAGACAGAAACAAGACAATTGTATTTCAGAATTTGCTTTGTTCTTATTCTTTATTATCTAAACAAAATAGAGCCTCGCCATTATCAGTATTATTACAGTAAACTACGGTTATAACGAACACGCTTATAACGAACTGACGGATATAACGAACTAACTTTTTAGTCCCGACTATTTGCTGTAGTTATGCTGTATATATGCTTATAACGAACTACGGTTATAACGAACTAAAAATAGTAGTCCCTTTGAATTCGTTATAACCGTAGTTTACTGAACGTGTCAGAAGAAATGTCGAAAGCTTTCATGTTAAACCGACGTACTTGTTTGTATCTCTGACATGCCTATCGTGATGAAAATCCGACGTTCACTTGCTGAATAAGCCGAAAGGGTAATAGGTAGAGCTTGTTGTAAATCACGAATTGTCTAGGCTTGCTTGTGAAGTACATATATGTTATAGGGGTAAACGTGCTAGTATATGTACCACGTGAACGCCAGTATATGTATGTATATCCATGCTCCCGTTCTCCCTATTGAAACAAACTTAATGACTGCGATAGTACACGTAGTTGTCCAATTTTTTATCACGAACGTATATACTACCTAATTTCGTTTATCCGACATACTCGTTGATCAGACGTAATCATATGCAACCAACAATGTCGGATTAATGGGACTTGACTGTATATGAAGGGCTGCATTTATCAAGTACTCGTATAGAGGAATCGATTGGGGATTAAATATTCACCTGTCTTGAATGTGAGTGGTGGGTAGTCGGACATGTTTACCCCTTTCGCGAACACCTGGTGTCATTGATATTCAGCGATCCGTTCATATAATTTTCACCACTATTTTCCCGATAACGTCCACTGGAATTTATTTCGGAAGATAATCGAGATTAAATATTGTCTGGCATTGACTTTTAGAATTAAATACCTTTCACGATGAATATCCTATGGTATACATATGTATTACCTACGTGTATGATTTATATATTGTTGATACAGTGTCATGTATCACTATAAATAAGTAATATATACATTGACATCATTACGCTTGAATAAATTCACAAATCGTATGTGCTGTGGTATACATCTTTCCTGTTAGTGAATATGGATGAATAATTCATGGCTAAAGTGTATTTTTTTATATTCTATTTAATTCCATATATCCAGAACAAAAGTCTTGAATACGTTTTGCACGCTTAATGTAAGGAGATATTAACGGGGTTTAAAGTTGTTGCATTACCTGCGCATGAGTGTAAATTAATATATTATTGTTAAAGTGTTTTATACAGGGTACATTTTCTTGAAGTTAACTGTCGGTGACCGCTTGCAGCAGATATCCGTCTGAATATACCACATAACAGCTGACCTGATTCAGCGTGACCCAGGGCATTGCTTGCCTTACGGTCACGTGGTGTCGGGGAAACATCCCCCCTCACTGTCACCGAGCACCTGAGTGCCACTATTCAATGCATGCACCCAGCTCACAGTACGACACATGGAGTTAATAGGAATGGTGAATTGAACAATGTCACTTACTGGTGCGAATGTAGAGTTGTCTCCTCTTACGTCTTTAGCCGCATGTGAATCCGCTCAGGTGAAATGTACAACAGTGACTCCTCTCGCTTGCGGTGAGCGCCCCGTACCGTGACGAGGCGAACCAGTGGGGCCCTGTTTAGGTTCTTTCACGGGTGTCCTTGAATCGCGCTTCGGGGACAAACCAATGAAATAAGAGTGAGTGAGTATGGTTTTACGCCGCTTTTAGCAATATTCCAGCAATATCACGGCGGGGGACATCAGAAGTGGGCAATGAAATAGGAGAAATGTGTGGAGTGGAAAGACGTGGGTTCTGTATCATCAAGTGAATAAATTGGTACCTGGTGTTTTGTATTTATTATCACCGGAGGCCCTGTATAGGTTTTATCATAAGTGTCAAGATTGTTTATGACTGGTTTCAAGGGTTGGCAAATACAATTAACAACTTAAAGGGTGTGTCATAAGGTTGAGTGGTAGAGCGTATATGCACATGCTGATACTGTGGGATGTTTTACCATCGGGATAATATAATGTCCACACGATACATGCTGAGAGCGAGTGAAGGGTTTTAAAGGGGGTAGGGTGGAGGTGGGGGAGGGGAGATACGTGTGGCCCCGTCGTCCGAGGCGTCGATATTTGCTGTACAGAGTTGCGTCCCTTGGGAACGACAGAAACCTACGATCGTGCGCTTCAACCCGAGTCGCCCCAATTATATTTCTAGGTTTATCAGCTCCATACCCGGGTTTCACCAAAATGGTAAACGTCTAGGACTTGCATCACTACGTGTCGTAGACGTGTAACACGTTAAACACCTTGAGCACTGACAAGTTGCTGACAAATCAATGTTTAGCGTGGACACGAGGACACACTTATTTACTCCTTGCATGCCGAAGTGCCGCACCTCAGTACAGCAAATTGCGTCTCAATCAGGGGACATTGGTACCTTGATGTGAGCAACAATCCACGTTAGGACATTCATATATCCCAGGTTGGGACATTGACATCATGAGTAACGATCAACGTTGGGACATTAATATCACGAGTAACGATCCATGTTGGGACATTTATATCATGAGTAACGATCCATGTTGGGACATTTATATCATGAGTAACGATCAACGTTGGGACATTAATATCACGAGTAACGATCCAGGTTGGGACATTTATATCACGAGTAACAATCCAGGTTGGGACATTAATATCACGAGTAACAATCCAGGTTGGGACATTTATATCACGAGTAACAATCCAGGTTGGGACATTAATATCACGAGTAACAATCCAGGTTGGGACATTTATATCATGAGAAACGATCCACGTTGGGACATTTATATCACGAGTAACAATCCAGGTTGGGACATTTATATCATGAGTAACGATCCAGGTTGGGACATTTATATCACGAGTAACAATCCAGGTTGGGACATTTATATCACGAGTAACAATCCAGGTTGGGACATTTATATCATGAGTAACGATCCAGGTTGGGACATTTATATCACGAGTAACTATCCAGGTTGGGACATTTATATCATGAGTAACGATCCATGTTGGGACATTGATATCATGAGTAACGATCTAGGTTGGGACATTTATATCACGAGTAACGATCAACGTTGGGACATTAATATCACGAGCAACAATCCAGGTTGGGACATTAATATCACGAGTAACAATCCACGTTGGGACATTGATATCATGAGTAACGATCCACGTTGGGACATTAATATCACGAGTAACAATCCAGGTTGGGACATTTATATCACGAGTAGCGATCCAGGTTGGGACATTTATATCATGAGTAACGATCCACGTTGATACATTTATATAATTAATAACGACCCACGATGGGACAGTAATATCATTAATAACGACCCACGATGGGACAGTAATATGATTAATAACGACCCACGTTGATACATTAATATAATTAATAACGACCCACGATGGGACAGTAATATCATGAGTACCTATCCACGTTGGGACATTGGGACATGAAGATAAGTAACGATCCACACTGATATTATAAGTGATGAACTTCTTTGGGACATCCATATCTTGAGTTGTTATATATGTTGGTTCACTGATTTCATCAGTAGCAGGGGAGGTCGGGTAGCCTAGTGGTTAAAGCGTTTGCTCGTCACGCCGAAGACCCGGGTTCTATTCCCGACATGGGTACAATGTGTGAAGCCTATTTCTGATGTCCCCCGCCGTGATATTGCTGGAATATTGCTGAACGCGGCGTAAAACTATACTCACTCACTCATCAGTAGCGACCCATGTCTGGACATTGATATCATAACTAAATACATTCGCTGGGCCGTTGATATGAGTTATGATCCACGTTGACACACAGATGACCATTTTCTCCTCGTAACAGTCGGATTCTGCTACAAAATGCCAAAGTTATCGAGTTGCATCGCCACAGGATGAGATAATCAGGAGTTCAAAGAACTGAATGTTTCGCAAGATACGTGTCAAGTAAGCATGTCTTTATAAAATAATATCGCAAACCATTATTTGACATACTTGTATTCAAATCTAACGTATGTTTTCTTTCCACGAAAACCTACATTTTCATTAGTGTACATTTCCTACTTCCATTGGGTACAAAAAAGTCGAAGAAGACTATTATTGTTTTGTTCCTTTCAATGTATTTTTAAAATTACAAAAAAGTAGAACATGATCAAAAGTAGATATAGGCAGCTACGGTGTTTCAAGGTGGAATATAGACATAGATTTTCTGTACATTCAAGAGTAGGTCATTAGCGTACACATACTTCACACAAAGAATTAAGTAGCTTGTACAAAGACCGAGGGTACAGAAAGACCACATATATATATGTAGTTGGTGGAGGACAATCCGTGTTTTGCCTTCAGTATATATCCATGTATATTCACGTTGACACGTTAATAAAGAAAATGTTGTCTATGTTAGTGAATGAAATTTAGTCCATGCTTGTTCTAATGGCGTAATGTTAACAGTTTGTGACATGTTGAATGATATGAAGCGACAACAATTCATCTAAAAAAGATAATTAAGTTTGAGGATCGCTTCAATGAAAAATCGATCTATTGTTTTTTAATATTCAGATGTCACAGATGAAGCAAAGCTAGATGTGAAGAAAAAAACACGTCTTATATAGTTGAAGATTACACATAGAGCTTTGAGGTTAAAAAAGGCTTTAAAGTGAGACACTATTTCTAACCAGATTATTCCCACGTAAGTAAATAAGTATATAAGTATAAATATATAAGTAGTATAATTCTGTCTATTTCATGTGTAACTCGTCTTCTGGTTACTTGTGAACATCACATGTGGTAGGCCGTCTTTTCACATATCACACCAGTCTGTTTTTGATGACAACCTTATAGCGCTTAGGCAAACAGGTGAAGCTTCCTTGTGGTTCAAGGTCAGGGGTCACCCCGTCCGGCAGACGAATCTCAAAAGATCTCATGAAAGACGCCAAGAGAAGATGTAGTTCCGGTTTGGCCAACGCCTCCGCCATACACGATCTCTTGCCGACGGAGAATGGCATCCAACTTTCTGGCTTTGGTGCAAACCTTCCAGAATCATCCAGGAAACGTTCTGGATTAAAGACTTCTGGTTCTTTCCAGTGTCTTGGATCATGATGGATAGCGAAGAGGTTGGCCATCACCATTGTCCCTTTGGGAATCTCGTAGTCACCTGAAAGAATGTGAGTGAGTGAGTGAATGAGTGAGCTGGGTTTGACGTCGCTTTGAACAGTATTCCAGTCATATCACAACGTGTCAGCTTAATGAGAGAGGGAATCTCGAAGTGATGCAGGTCTCAGATGTTTTCCACTTGGTAAAACCCTCGAGAACGGGTATGGTGCTGACAAACCTAGAAATATAACCGGGAGTCGAACCTAGGTTTCGCGCAAAAGGAGAATGTTATAAAAACAAACACAGATGCAAAAAGAGGAACAGTGAGTGAGTTGGGTTTAACGCCGCTTTGAACAGTGCGAAATGACACAGGTCAAGTATTGAAACCCGCGCTTATAGGACGGGCAGAGCAACGGGTCACACGCGACGACTCCGGGATTCGATCCCACGGTCTGCGGATTCTTGTACAGTTCATCGATGCATTTTTGCAAATTTAATCGTGGTGCCCTGGGCCACTGGGCCCTCCGTGCCCCCAAATAAGAAGATATTAATATAAATATGTAAGATAAGTAAAAATCATCGCAAGTTGTTGCCCATGTATACAGACACGAATATCAAGACCAACCATGAACTTTTTGAGTGAGTGAGTGAGTATGGTTTTACGCCGCTGTTAACAATATTCCAGCATTATCACGGCGGGGCACATACGGAATACGCTGCACTCATGTGGGAAATTGTACCCGGGTCTTCGGCGTGACGAGCGATTGCTTTAACCACAAGGCTTTCACACCGCCCCTTAACTTTTGGAAACACACTGATATTAATCGTAGCCATGACGTTAATGATAAACATAAATTTCTGAACTGCGCCCGTCTTACCGAGCGTTGTATCACAAGTGGTTGAGTGGGGGAGGCTGAGAGGTGCAACAGTCGCCATCCGCATACTCTCATATAACACGGCCTCGGTGTACGGCAGCTTGTGTCGCTCGGACAACATCGGCACTCGGCGCTGACCTGTGAATTCACGTGTTTCATGAACAATCCATACCAACAATTATACTTACAACCCAGTAGGAGGCTACTGGAACATCCTTGTTATTAATATTACATCCATATCCCGGTTTCTTGTTACAGTTGAACTCATGAGTCTTACGGACCGACAATTTGATATTCTTGGGGGGGGATTTTTAAATTTTGATTATGGGCCTGAATTGTAAAAATGAAAAACACCTTGCAAAAATGTAATTTTACGGCGGCAATGTCTTGTTTTTTCAACAATCTGAAGCATCATTATTTTGAGTCTTTGAGCCCACTTTGAGCCTTAGGAATATAGCATTAGAAAAAATAGAATAGAAAAATAAGAACACCCGTACTTTACATAGATGTTCTGCTTCACCCAAGAAAAAGAAATCTTATTTCAAACCCTCAGAAACTATTAACGTACTTCAGGCTCTTTGGTGTCTAAATTTCAGGATACATAAGTTGAAATGTCAAGATAATGATCTTGATATTTCAATATACTAAGTTGAAATTTCAAGATACTAAGTTGAAATTTCAACTTATTATCTTGATATTTCAACTTATTATCTTGATATTTCAAGTTAATATCTTGAAATTTCAACTAAGTATCTTGAAATTATAACTAAGTATCTTGAAATTTCAAGAAAAAAAACCAAAAACATAAATGGCCCTAAAAAGGTTCCGTACAGCGGGGTATACAGTACAGATCGAGCAATACATATCGTGTAATTGTTGGACCTTCCTGGGAAGACACTGTCTAAATGCCTGTGTTTAACTTCGTAATCATCACCTTGTTAAAGTCACTGACAGAGAACAATTTGAATTCCAAAGGTGTTTCTTACCTATCACGCTGTCCACTTCCGCATGGAGTTTCGCCTGCACTTCTGGGTGTGCAGCTAAGTACAGGATTGTCCAGTGAAGAGTCTGTCGGGACGTGTCCACCCCCGCTGCGAGGAGAAAGCTCACAACGTAAATTCCGCTGCAGAATTTTCAACGAATACTCATGTCACCTAAAGGTGTCATTTACAATCGCGAGAAACGATTTTGGATTCCATCTCAAGGGGAATTGATAATGTCGTTGTTATCGTTACTCGTTATACATAAAAAACAAGTGATTTCATCAGGTGCTTAAGTATTAAATATAGAAAAAACAGAGTCCAGATATTCGTGCTTGTCAAAATTACACCTGAAGAGCCGTTGAACGGCGAAAGATCTTGTGTGGATAAAGGAGTTTTGACAAGCACGTGCAGGAATATCTGGACTATATATATATATATATATATATATATATATATATATATATATATATATATATATATATATAATAACTTTAATTTAAAATCGAAATGCAAACACAATTCAAAATTTTCAAATTCAGAATCTAAACGTTTCTGTTTACATTCACGTTGAAATGAGATAGACATTAGTATTGACCAACTTCAACTTCATTGCAATAATTTTCAGATATCAACATAATAATATGATCTCTGTTTCAAGTAGTAGCTTCCTTCCCAGCTTTTAACAAGGTTATACATTTTATTACCTTGAAAAACATCCGATACGGTCTGGCCGAGATGCGTGTTGGTAATCTGCGCAAGTAGTTCCGGGTTCTCTTCCGCCTCTGCTTCCTTCTGGGCAATCAACATGGCGTCTGTGAAGTCACGTTGTGTATCTGAAAATCAGAGTGAGTGAGTGCGAGTGAGTTGGGTTTAACGCCGCTTTTAACTTTATTCCAGTTACATCACGGCGTGTCAGCTTAATGTGGGAGGAAAGCCCGAAGTGATGCAGGTCTCAGACGTTTACCACTTCGGTGAAACCCACGAGCACGGGTATAATGCTGACAAACCTAGAAACATAATCGGGGCGAACCGGGATTCGAACCCACAATCATAGGTTTCTGGCGTGCCCAAGGGACGCAACTCTGCACAGCGAATCGCGACGCCTTAGACGACTGGGCCAACCGTGCCCCCCTGGAAATCAGAACTCATCGTCACATGTAAGTAATACTTTCGCCGTCACACTTTTCGCATGTTCTTAAAGATGGAATTCACCAAAGGTGTTTGAAAGTATTTTCAGTCCAAGCAGATAATTTCCAGACCAAGAGTGAGTGAGTGAGCTGGGTTTAACGCCGCTTTTAACAGTATTCCAGTTATATCACAACGTGTCAGCTTAATGAGGGAGGAAAACCCGAAGTGATGCAGGTCTCAGACGTTTACCACTTCGGTGAAACCCACGAGCACGGGTATAATGCTGACAAACCTAGAAACATAATCGGGGCGAACTCGGATTCGAACCCACAATCATAGGTTTCTGCACAGCGAATCGCAGTGCCTTAGACGACTGGGCTACCCGTGTCCCCTCCAGACCAAGACCTTAATCTTGACAACTTATTAACATCCATCGATTACCAAGTCTCAGGACTGTTAAAGTAAAACTACAAACCAGAATGATACAACCATGTTCCTAAACTCTTAAATGATCTTGAACTTTGACATAACGGGACTAACGGGATCTGGTGGTCAAGCTCGCTGACTTGGTTGATGCATGTCATCGTATCCCAATTGTGTGTATCGATGCTCATGATGTCAATCACTTGATTGTCTGGTCCAGACTCGATTATTTACAGATCGTCGTCATATAGCTGGAATATTGCTGAGTGCGACGTTAAACGACAAACAAACAAACAAACAAACAAACAAAACAAACAAAACATTGGTTCAGGGTATCTATCGTATACTGGATAATCGAGATGGTTTACAAAAAATAGGTACGTAATAACTTGTTGCACTTTTTACAAAATACTCACCCGATGAAAACGTTTCTTTATGTACGTTGATCCTTTTGTAAATGAATCCCAGCATAGAGTCTTGTATCTTCATAAACTTCCTGAATTTAGCTGTTGGATAAAGTCTTATCGGAGGAAAAACATCTTCCAGGAACCCATTCCCTACCTCTTCCGAGAACGTGTCAAGTCCTTTACAGAATTCCAGAAACTCTTCATTATCCGATGAAAACCTAAAACAAAATATTGTTTGGGGGTTTTTTTTGTTTAACGCCGCACTCGGCACTATTCCAACTACATCACGGCGGTTCGTAAATAATCCAGGATGGACCAGACAATCCAGTGATTGATATTAGAAGCATTGGGATACGATGACATGCATTAATATAACGCGCCTGATCGCCCGATCTCGTTCGCCGCCTCTTACTACAAGAAAGGGTTGCTGAAGATCAATTCTAACCCGGATCAGGGGCGGTCGGGTAGCCTAGTGGTTAAAGCGTTCGCTCGTCACGCCGAAGACCCGGGTTCGATTCCCGACATGGGTACAATGTGTGAAGCCCATTTCTGGTGCCCCCCGCCGTGATATTGCTGGAATATTGCTAAAAGCGGAGTAAAACCAAACTCACTCACTCACTCACTCTAACCCGGATCAACCAGATCGTTGAACAGTTCATATGAGCCGGTTGAGTTAGGGTGAAACTAGTATTTTTTCATTATCCTGAATCAACTTCTTTCATCGGAAAGAAGGGGCGGTCAGGTAGCCTAGTGGTTAAGCGTTCGCTCGTCACGCCGAAAACCCGGGTTCGATTCCCGACATGGGTACAATGTGTGAAGTCCATTTCTGGTGTCCCCCGCCGTGATATTGCTGGAATATTGCTAAAAGCGGCGTAAACTCATACTCACTCACTCATCGGAAAGAAAGATCACATAGACCAACTGTAAATGATATGAAGTAATATTTATGTTGCTCACTTCTCATCGAAGCAGATCTTGCTGATGATGTTGAAGATGGCGAGGTTGATGTAGCGGTAGATGTCGAACGGTTCTGTCTCTGTTTCCATCTCTGCTGCAACCGCTTCCATGACTTCAACTATCGTGTCCTGAAACTTCTCGCCCTTCATGTAGTACCTACATGTGCATTACAAGCCATCCTTTAATACTATTTTATACCGATGTTACTAACCTCAATAGTTTCTCTAGTTTCAATGTATTAACATTACAGTTTGTACTCTATGTATGTTTGTTTGTTTGTTGTTAAAAGCCGCACTAAGTAATATTCCAGCTATATGACGGCGGTCTTTAAATAATCGAATCTGGACCAAACAATCCAGTGATTGACATCATGGGCATTGATCCACGCAATTGGGATCGATGACATGCATCAACCAAGTCAGCGAGCCTGACCACCCGGTCCCGTTAGTCGCCTCTGACGACAAGCATGGTCGCCTTTTACGGCAAGCATGGGTTGCTGAAGACTTATTCTACCCGAATCTTCACGGGTCGTACTCTTTGCAGGACATGTAGGACATGTTGAACGATAAAAGTGATACTATTTTTGGTCACAAAGAATGTAGTAAAATAACCCTTTCCATAATTAAAACAAATTTCTGCAAAAAGGCGATTGTACGATACAGACTATATCATGAGCATGTGTTCATGAATCACTATCAAATGGGGATGACTTACCTTAAACCTTCAAATGATACCAAAAAAATGTGTAAAATACTCAAATTTTGACATGTACATTACTTTTATTCCAGTTGGACCTTGAATATGACTGATTGCTGATCATGAAGAAGTTCAACATAATCTGAAAATACCATAAGACGGTTTTTTCGACTATATTTCGTGATAATATAACACGAGTAGGTAGTTCGTAACTGTATGAAATAGCTCAGACACAAAGGTTTATCAGTATTCAAACACACAAATCTATATGATACATTTCTCAGTGTAAGGGTGACATTGTGACCTGTTGCAGAATAAATGCATACATAGTTATCTTTTCTTACATAAAGATACTAGCTTCTGATTGTTAAGGAGCGGACAACTCTCTTCCCATTCGTCACCACTCGCCCCTTTCCGTAACCTGCAAGCTATACGGCTGGTCCCGGAATAACACGAATTGGTCACGAATGCACCCATCCCATCCATGACCAACTCGTGTTATTTCGGGTCTTCTTGTAGGTTACGGAAAGGGGCGAGTGGTGACGAATGGCTCTCTCCCATGCAGCCCGCTCTCATGTGAGGTACAAATTTCATGTTACCCGCTGGGAAATCAGTCGGAACACATCGTAGCTTGCTTATCTCGCACAAGCAGAAGAATCGTTCGGTTTCTGAAATAAACCGATGTCTATCCGAACGCATTGTTTAAAGCGAAGTAACTCGGTCCGTTTGCGTCGTCTACTACGAGTTTTGCCAAGTCGTGTAACTGCGAGCATGTATTCCGGACCTGCATGAAAGAATGTCGGTGAGATATGTTCGCATTCGTGACCAACTCGTGTTATTCCGGGACAAGCCGAATAGCGACTCGTTTCCCTCCCATGGCCATTTTTGCGACCGGTTTCCGTCTTAGCGCAAATGGGCATACCTAAAATAATTGTCAACACATTGCATAATGGTTCACATAGATTTCCCTATATATCATATATAATTCAGATGCAACTTAAAGCACATCGGGACGTGCGGAATTATACAGTATGATTGAACACATTTAACTGTATGTAGGGTATATTTTTAGATGCAGGACATATGTCAAATCAAAAATGATTTCTGTGGGATTCTTTGACGAAGAACTTGAAATCATACGCGCATTCTGATTGGTTTGTCGTTTTGACATTCATCGATAGGGGACGAGTCTTCTTGCAGGTTCCGGAAAGGGGCGAGTGGTGACGAATGGATATATTCGTTGTAAACCGATCCCTCGGGGCATATGTGATGTACCCTGTGTGTGAGCCTCGCCCGACGGTTCGGGGTACATACGCTCACACACAGGGTACATTACACGATATACCCCTCGAGATCGGTTGACAACTTTGTAAACACAAAAGAATTAGTCACTACCACACAGTTGTTTCTAGACTTACTTGAGGGCTCTCAATGCCAGCTTCCGATGGAGTTGCCATGTTGCTCCATAATCTGTGAAGGCAATGTCCTTCCCTCCCTCCGTGAAAGCCTTTCCTGAAATTTATGTTTTGTTCGTTTGTTAGTTTGTTGTTTAACGCCGCACTCAGCAATATTCCAGCTATATGACGGCGGTCTGTAAATAATCGAGCCTGGACCAGACAATCCAGTGATTGATATCACGAGCATCGATCCACGCAGTTGGGATACGATGACATGCATCAAACCAAGTCAGCGAGCCTGACCACCCCCTCCCGTTAGTCGCCTCTTAATAATGATCAAAGCATCACTTGTTGAATGGTAAATATACGTTGTGAATACAGGATTTCAATGTTGTTCGTGTATTATATAGTAGTTATTTATTGACCATACCCGAGAACGTCATCGGCCGACCAGCAAAGGCGACAGCTTTCTGCACGAACGCTTCCTGCACCGCCTCCACGTTGTTGAGAAACACACAGCTTACAGGACCTACACAGAACAAGTCATGTTTACAGTCGCTAGTTTTATATATCCAACTGTTTACTTTGTACGGAGTTCGTACCACGAGCCGTAGCGCTACAACTGTCGGAAGTCTATGTTAAAGTATGGGAGTGACATCTTCCCAAGGCAAGAGAGTTAACTGACTTTAAAAGTCCAGTTTCCACGAAACTGGACTTTTATAGTCAGTTAACTCACTTGCCTCTGGAAGATGGGGAGTGAGGGTCGTCTTAGCTGCACGATCGTTTTGTGGATGGGGCCCCTGCATATCAGTGGTAGACAGCACAATCGCCTTGAGTGAGTGAATGAGTGAGTGTGGTTTTACCACCTTTTCAGCAATATTCCCGCAATATCACTGTGGAGACACCATAAATTGGCTTCAGAAATCGAACCATGTGGGGAAACGAACCCGGCCCTTCGGCAACAGTATATGCCAACGTTCACGGCACATGTCGCGGGGCATTGTTCATAGTCGCCGAGGTTCACTGTACATATCGTCGGCATTAGTCACAGCAAACAAAATATACTTGAAGATGACGATGTTGTTGATGATGATGGGTCATGTTGATGATGGTGATCATTACAATTATAGCAAACATGTCAGACTTGATTTTTAATACCCCCTCCCCTACATGTAAGGGTCCGTCCGTAAAAATATTTTCCGGAGCATATCTCGAACGCTATTCAATCTAGCCTTACGAAACCGAAAACACTTATTGGTCACACTGAGCGCTGGTGCCTGTTGCTGTTTTGACATTTTCCAACATTGTATTTTGGACAGTTTCCATGGAAACGTGATGAACTTTGAACCTTGGCGGGTAGTGTCATTTCCGGAACATGTATATCTAAATATATACAACCTAGCATCTCTCTTAAAATTACTTTCAGAAAACTTTCTGCTCTTGTCATGTCAGTATTGATGCCTTTGAAATACTTATAGCTCTTTCTGGGCGTTATCCAAAACACAAGAAGTGTCGGCCTACACGAAAACTTTATGAGCTTGTGATAGATGCAGGTTAGGTATACATGCCTGTTGATTCAGTGATGTAAATCCCAATTTTTATTGTTTGAATTTGGAAATTAACAGAAAATATTATAGAGTAGAATTTTGTTGAGGTAAAATGTATTTGTATTCAGAAAATATATAAGTATATAGAGGCTTCTTCATGCTTTTTGTCGAATACGATTTATATTTCGTCGAGTGAAGCCTCAAACCCCATATTGTTTCGAGATCGGTATACAATGGGAAGAGAATGGTAGGAATGACAAGGGGTATGATATGGAAACTGACATTTATCATCCGACACTGGCTCCCACAGAAGATATCGCTTGGATTAGATCAAGCGATATCTACACTGTAGATATCGCTGCAATGAAATTACATCACAATGCTTTGCAGACCATTGTGACGTCACTGGTTACCATGACGTCACAATCAAATGACATCAATAATGGCTCTGCTACTGAAGCTGTTAACAGTACTTTTTCCACTGAAGACACTGCAGACACTACAAATTGAACAAGTTTGAAAAATGGTGTTGGATGATAAATAAAATCTCACCCTCGTGTCTTTTGATATCAAATATATCAACACTCGTTGATAAAAGTGGCAAAAATCCTCGGCAAGCCTCGGAGTTTTTCCACTTTTATCAACTCGTGTTGATATATTTGATATCAAAAGACACTCGGGTGAGATTCTCTATATATCCTTTTTATCATATACCATAACATCAAATTGTAAAATGATTCTATTTGCAAGTGAATGCAATTCATTTTCACCTTGTTTGAAGGAAATGGCCGCTGGAAAGCTAGCCGAGCCGACGAGCAGACGACGCACTAAGGGAAGTAACTCCAATTTCTTACCATCCGGGCTGCTGTCAATCGCCCATTCAACATGCATTGCCAAGCCATATAATGAGTGAGTGAGTATGGTTTTACGCCGCTTTAAGCAATATTCCAGCAATATCACGGAGGGGGACATCAAAAATAGGCTTCACACATTGTACCCCTGTCTGGAATAGAACCCGGGTTTTCGGCGTGACGAGCGAACGCTTTAACCACTAGGCTACCCGGACCGCCCCGCCAAGCCATATCAGCCTGGCAGGGGTGGAATACAGGTCTGGTTTTTACACCCCCTGTGATATGACCGTCCCTATGCTGGTTATATTGCTCATGCAAAATGCCTCACATCATTGATAGGTATGTGATAATTTGTCATAGCAGGGAGTCTCTAAAAGCCATTGTTTATGTGTAATTGTATTACAGATTAATGTACTCTGTACGCCGAAAAGGAAGGTACGGAGAAATGTCAGACTTCTGTTCCCCTGTGTATTTATAGGACCGCCTCCGTGGTCTAGTGGTAGAGCGTCCGCCCGGAGAGCGGAAGGTCCGGGGTTCGTTCCCCGGCCGCGTCATACCAAAGACGTTAAAATATAGTACTTGTTGTTTCCCTGTCTGGCGCACGGCATTAAGGGGCTAAAACAAGGACTGGTCGGCTCGGAGTCAGTATACTGTGTCTGAGTGGGGTATTCATGTTAAACTGCGGCATGGTATCTCAGTGTGCTAGCACTATAAATCGGCATCAGTCCGGACTGGTACAAGCAGCCACACAAACACACACACGTACATGCACGTCGCTATATAAGTGCAATAATCTTAGACGCGACGTTAAACCCCATTTCACCTCACCTCACCTGTGTATTTATATGGATCATTGGTGATATCCCTATACTCAAGAACAATATAAGCCTATATAACAAAACTGCGCATGCTTTACCAAGGTGAAGGGTCATCACCGGGCCGAACTGCTTCTCCCACTGTGACAGCTTCCGGTAGAGCGACACGTTTTGTATAGCTGCAATTGATTGTATTAAAATCCACTGATTATTTTTGTACGTATCAGAGCTGGGATACACTTAACATTGCCAAGCAGAAGAAGGATGTAAATTAAAAAAAGGAAATTGATTAGTTTCAAAGTTTAAATATAATATCCATCCCAACGTAAAATCAGGACAGTTTTTAGGTGAGGAGATTTCGTATTTATAAACTATTTATAAACTTGCATAACTGTCTAACTTACCTAGAATGTTGCCAAGCAACGGGAGACCACGTGGTCCCGGTGGAAGTTTGTGTCGCTTCCGGTTCATCAGATACACCATCACCGCCAAGCCCAGACCCAGAATTAGCGTTGTTCGGTACTCCAAAACGATGGCACTGAGCGATTCCAAAGTCCCACCCATGGTGTTTGACTACACTGAAAATATGAGAAACCTATTCAAGTCGACATAATTTATATTAATTGAATCGGAGAAAACATTAGTGAGTGAGTATGGCTTTACGCCGCTTTTAGCAATATTCCAACAATGTCACAGCATGGGACACCAGAATCGGGCTTCACACATTGTACCCATGTCGGGAATCGAACCCTGGTCTTCGGCGTGACGAGTGAACGCTTTAACCACTAGGCTACCCGACCGCCCGGAGAAAAAATTACGATATTATATCCTGGTTATATCATCGTATCCCAAATGCGTGGATCGATGCTCATGATATCAGTCACTGGATTGTCTGGTCCAGACTCGATTATTTACAGACCGCCGTCATACAGCTGGAATATTGTTGAGTGCGGCGTGAAACAACAAACAACAAAATCTTTTAAACAGGATTTTCAATGTTTTCGAAACACACCAGTGGCATATACTGTAAACTACGTTTATAACGAACACGCGTATAACGAATTGACGGATATAAGGAAATGTTTAAAATCACCGTGCATTTGCTGTATATTTGCTGTATGTATGATGTATATTTGCTTATAACGAACTAGGGTTATAGTGATCTAAACTTAGTGGTCCCTTTGAGTTACCCGTAGTTAACTGTACTTAGGATTCGTGACAATACTGAGGCAACAGGGACTTCCTCCAGTGTGCGTTTACGAACTATCATCTGAATATTATATCCCTCATATGTTATTTTTGAAACAGGCTGCTTCTAAATCCACTAATGCTATCTTGTATAACTTCATTCATCAATGTGAAAAAAAAAGATCAAACCCTTAACCAAATGAAGTAAGACGAGTTCTATGGATGATCAACTTCTTTATTACAATTAGTGCGACGTCGCACTAATTGTAATAAAGAAGTTGTTCATCCATAGAACTCGTTTTACTTCATCACACCAACTTCTAAATGCCACTGAAAGAAGCCTTGACCAACTGTTTGTCCTTAGTGTTATAATGTGACGTGTCATGCTTTAGGTAACAATGACAATAATGCCACATTAGCCACCCGTATGGACCCTCACGCACACAATTCACATCGAGGTCACATCGACAGCGGGGTATGTCGGTCCACGGACCTATATAACAAGTTGTACAAGTCCGTGGTCAGTCTGAACCACACCGTGTGACATTCTGTGAGTGGGAAACACCACGGGCCGTGTCGAATTTACATTAAAACGTAATAATCTATTATGTAGACATGACGATCCAAAGTCAAAACTGTTGACAAGAGGATGTGTCAGTGCATAGAAAATAGCCCTGATGTAATATTTATACGTCGAAAGTAGCGACAGAAGACTTGCCACTAGCTATGCTTGGTGTTATTGTGTCAATGCTAATCGAATAATTCAGTAAAGACGGGTACTTACGGTTATGAAGATTGATCCGGTGCTATGTTGCAAGATCTGCTTCAAGATATATGTCTCAAGATGTCTGTTATGCCGAGACACTGACAACCAAAACACACACGGGGTTATTAGGATGTCTGATTGTTTGATCACGTGACATGCTTGTTTACAATAGCTCACGAGGGGGCGAGTCACACGCAGGCTCGAGACAGATCAGAGGGCAGTTCAAATTCAGAAGCCATTTAAGGGCATCAAATATTTCGGTGTTTTATATAATAGCTATGACCGTCATGCAACAATAGGCGACCTATATATACCGGATCGGGTGGTCAGGCTTGCTGACTTGGTTGATTGATGTCATTGTATCCCAACTGCGTGGATCGATACCTATGACATAGAGAATCGTTTAAGAATAGGTTTTCAACAACCCTTGCTTGCCGTAAAAGATGACTACGCTTGTCGTAAAAGGCGACTAACGGGATCGGGTGGTCAGGCTCGCTAAGTTGGTTGATGCATGTCATCGTATCCCAAATGCGTGGATCGATGCTCATGATATCAGTCACTGGATTGCCTGGTCCAGACTCGATTATTTACAGACCGCCGTCATACAGCTGGAATATTGTTGAGTGCGGCGTTAAACAACAAACAACAAAATCTTTTAAACAGGATTTTCAATGTATTCGAAACACACCATTGACGATGGAAGACATATATAGTAAACTACGTTTATAACGAACACGCTTATAACGAATTGACGGATATAACGAAATGTTTATAATCCCCGTGCATTTGCTGTATGCATGATCTATATATGCCTATAACGAACTAGGGTTATAGTGATCTAAACTTAGTGGTCCCTTTGAGTTATTTATACCCGTAATTAACTGTACTTAGGATTCGTGACAATACTAAGGCAACAGGGACTTCGCCCAGTGTGCGTTTACGAAATATCATCTGAATATTATATCCCTCATATGTTATTTTTGAAACAGGCTGCTTCTAAATCCACTAATGCTAACTGGTACAACTTCATTCATCAATGTGAAAAACCCTTAGATCAAACCCTTAACCAAATGAAGTAAGACGAGTTCTATGGATGAACAACTTCTTTATTACAATTAGTGCGACGTTCGGTGTAGATCCTAACACCTTTATCAAGCAAGTGATCACTAATTGTAATAAAGAAGTTGTTCATCCATAGAACTCGTCTTACTTCATCACACCAACTTCTAAATGCCACTGAAAGAAGCCTTGACCAACTGTTTGTCCTTAGTGTTATAATGTGACGTGTCATGCTTTAGGTAACAATGACAATAATGCCACACTAGCCACCCGTACAGACCCTCACGCACACAATTCACATCGAGGTCACATCGACAGCGGGGTATGTCGGTCCACGGACCTATATAACAAGTAATGTCAGTCTGAACTAAACCGTCACCGTGTGACATTCTGTGTATGGGAAACACCACGGGCCGTGTAGAATTTACATGAAACGTAATAATCTATTATGTAGACATGACGATCCAAAGTCAAAAGTGTTGACAAGAGGATGTGTCAGTGCATAGAAAATAGCCCTGATGTAATATTTATGCGTCGAAAAAGGCGACAAAAGACTTGCCACTAGCTATGCTTGGTGTTATTGTGTCAATGCTAATCGAATAATTCAGTAAAGACGGGTACTTACGGTTATGAAGATTGATCCGGTGCTCTGTTACAAGATCTGCTTCAAGATATATGTGTCAAGATGTCTGGTACGCCGATACACTGACAACCAAAACACACAGGAGGATATTGGGAATTCTGATTGTTGATCACGTGACATGCTTGTTTACGATAGCTCACGAGGGGGGCGAGTCACACGCAGGCTCGAGACAGATCAGAGGGCAGTTCAAATTCAGACGCCATTTAAGGGCATCAAATATCTCAGTGTTTTAAATAATAGCTGTGACCGTCATGTTACAATAGGCGACCTACGGGATCGGGTGGTCAGGCTCGCTGACTTGGTTGATTGATGTCATTGTATCCCCATTGCGTGGATCGATACGTATGACATCAATGATTGGATTGTCTGGTCCAGACCCGATTATATATTTACAGACCGATGTGTTTTAGCACCATGAAGAAAGTTTTGACTTCTATTATAAACGTAGGTTTTACTACTTTAGTGAAGAAGCTGTGATTGAATGTTTTTGTGTAAGATTTTTATGTTCTTTTAAACGTACACATCCCTCCCGAAATAATAATATGTTTTTCAATATTTGGTGGTGTCTCTTGATGACTTTTGCTGAATGTAACCACGGATATTTTCAAGCAGGTGACATTTGGTGCGGGACTGGGGTTTGTGTGTTTAGTTTAGCTTCTTGTACTCAGAAAAGGAACTGGGTAAGCTAGCCACATTAGCTAGCCCTTTGTTTACAGAGTTTTGTGGGATAATTTATTTTTTGCGGTAACGTACAGGCGTCCTCTCACAAAGAATATCTCATGGTCGGCCCCTAAGTAACTGAGAGTACGTTTTTTACTGCGCCCCCAATCGTTTCTTTATGTACATTGTACATGTATTCCACGAAATCAACGCAAGTGAAAGTTATGCAGTTTAAACTGTGTTGAAACGGAATACCACTTTATATTTATCCGTGTTTGATAACTTAAGACAAACTTATATTAAAACAAGTTTTATCTCCCTCCAAAGTATCACAAATTCAACCTCCTTTTATCATCTGTAGTATACACTGTATACATTTATTATACTTATGATGCTTATATTGAAAGAAACGTATTATCCAATGTTATTATTCTATTCTGTACACAAAGGCCCGTGGCCTATACGTATTTGGTAAATCAAATGGAAGTTGAAATTGTGGTACGGATGGTCATCAACTGTATTCCCTGGTTTAAATTGACCACGGAGCGTCTATCCAGTTAACCGCCCTTCTCATTCTGTCATCTTCCCGAGGCAAGAGAGTTAACTGACTATAAAAGTCCAGTTTCCACCCTTGCCGAACTAGGCTGGTATTATGGAGTTACATTTTGGCTGGACTAAGGAGTCTATGCATAGTCCAATCAAAATTACGCTCCGAAATCGAAATCCAGTTCGTAAATTGTCATGCAGATTTCAGTCGATTGCAGGATTTGCAAAGCATGTGCCGCGCTTATTCGTTGTCAACAGATATTTTCTAAATCTTAGCATGTTTTTAATCAAGGTGCTCACGTGATTTGATGCACTTCGCAATGTAAGACCTTTTATCACAAGTTATGGATCTTGATTATCGATCAGATTGTCTTGACTGGGCGCCGCCGTTTTGTTTGAAGCAAATGCAAGTGATACGAGAGGTGGAATCTGATTGGTCTATAGGAAAGGAATAGAAGGGACATAACTCGCAACAGCCACTGGTGGCGCTACGATCGAGCCCAGGAATTCCAGCCTAGTTCGGCAGGGGTGGAAACTGGACTTTTTAAGTCAGTTAAGTCCCTTGCCTCGGGAAGATGCATTCTGTTTGATATTGCAGTAATTCAAAGGAGGTCACTCTGCACGTGCACTGAACAGTCTGAAAGGAATGCTGGGTAATCTCATGTCTACAACTATTATCCTTAGAATGTTATTTTTGCTAGAACAGGTGAAAATCTGATTTCCACCAGAAACTTTACAATTAACATCGTATGACATTAATCAACCACAGAGAGTAAAAGAATATATGTATACAGTATCCATAGTTAGGTCCCAATCGTGGTCGAATACAATACATAAATACAGTACTGCGACGTCGGTGTATGTATAGTCAGGGTTTGTGTCAAGGTCAAGACTGCTGCACTTCAATGTCACATTCACTTGCGTTCATTTCATGGAACGAGCTTGTACACATCACCGAGTGTATAGAAGTAGCCCCATTTTCCCTACCGCCCAGCCTTACTGTACTGCAAAAGCCCTAACTGAAGGAGCTGCTTTTCCTCAGGTTGTGAATCTCTCATCTCACTGGGGCTCCTTTTCAATTTGAATGGAGTTGTTTGTTTCCATCAATTATATTTGTTCAGTGACTACACATCAGTATACGATGCAGTAGACTCGCAGCGGAGCCAATATTGGACTTATAGGACTTATAGGGTAGAGCTGGACTCTATAGGGTAGAGTTCGTTTCCGGAGCATAACTCAAAACCCATTCAATACATTCTAAAACTTTGTACGACAACATGTGATTATCGAGCTCCAATATTTCATATTTGTATCTATGATATTAAATTAAATATAACGACTTTATTAGGTACAATTAATTTCACAAAAATCTACCTGTGCGTTTCTTTTTTTGAAGAGTGTATATATTAAAGTTACTTTAGAAGTCTGTAGGAAAACATTTGGTCTTTACGTAAACCAAAAACGCGTCCGCCGGTTCGGGCTCGACACATTATGAATTTTTCTGAACGAACTCCTTTTTATTCTAACAAATTACAATTAATTACGTTAAACAATCAAATCAACAAGTGAATACAATGTTTGAAGATTTGTCTTGTATCCGGAACTCAAAATGACGAGATCACAATTTGAAACACTATTCCTCGGACGCTGTATTTTGGAAAAGGGACTTCTTCCTATCTAGGTCCACGAATATCAACTGCGTAACGTACCTTCATTTTAGTATTACTCATTAAACCTGTTTTTGAAACGAACTGCTTCAAGTCTAACCACTCATGTCATCTTATTTAATTTCCGTATTTTTATTTTCTCGGGGGAATGTCGGTGTAGGGGACTATCGGTTTTGGGGAGTGTCACTGTAGGTGAGCGTCGGTGACATGTACTACGTAGAGGGCATCGCGAGTCAGGTGCAAGATTTATATGACCATCATATGATTATCGTAAACCCGTCATTGAATGACAAATTAACTACAGTCATGTGAAAGAGTCGTATGTTCTGAAACTTCTGTTGAGTGTGCTTGAGCCATGGACTGTTTCGATGCGTCATTCGTGCCTCCTCTTGTTTTATATGGTTAGTGCCTTTCTCTCATACACTGTGGGTTCTTTCACGATGCACGTTAGAAAGATATAATACGTTAAAAATATGTTTTCGTGGTTTTAATATATATTAATTGTAATCAAGTAAACGTAATTTTTTTAATAAGTAGTCATTTCTTTGGGGATGAACGTAAGTAAATACATTGTTACAGAAATACTTGAGTGGTACACTCGCAACCAAGTTTGTAACGGAACTCGGTGTCAAGAGGTTGGTATCTTGTTAACAAACACTGTCAGAGGTTGGTATCTTGTTATCCAAACACTGTGTCACCGGGTTCGTGTCTTGCATCCAAACACTCTGTCACCTAGTTCGTGTCTTACAACCAAACACTGTGTCATCGGGTTCATGTCTTGCAACCAAACACTGCGCCACCGGGTTCGTGTCTTGCAACCAAACACTGCGCGACCGGGTTCGTGTCTTGCAACCAAACACTGCGCGACTGGGTTCGTGTCTTGCAACCAAACACTGTGTCACCGGGTTCGTGTCTTGCAACCAAACACTGCGCGACTGGGTTCGTGTCTTGCAACCAAACACTGCGTCACCTGGTTCGTGTCTTACAACCAAACACTGTGTCATCGGGTTCATGTCTTGCAACCAAACACTGCGTCACCTGGTTCGTGTCTTACACCCAAACACTGTCACCGGGTTCGTGTCTTACAACCAAACACTGTGTCATCGGGTTCATGTCTTACAACCAAACACTGTGTCACCTGGTTCGTGTCTTGCATCCAAACACTGTGTCATCGGGTTCATGTCTTGCAACCAAACACTGCGCGACCGGGTTCGTGTCTTGCAACCAAACACTGCGCGACTGGGTTCGTGTCTTGCAACCAAACACTGTGTCACCGGGTTCGTATCTTGCAACCAAACACTGCGCGACGGGGTTCGTGTCTTGCAACCAAACACTGCGTCACCTGGTTCGTGTCTTACAACCAAACACTGTGTCATCGGGTTCATGTCTTGCAACCAAAACCTGTGTCACCTGGTTCGTGTCTTGCAACCAAACACTGTGTCACCTGGTTCTTGTCTTACCACCTAACACTGTGTCATCGGGTTCATGTCTTACAACCAAAAACTGCGTCACCTGGTTCGTGTCTTACACCAAAACACTGTCACCGGGTTCTTGTCTTACAATCAAACACTGTGTCACCTGGTTCGTGTCTTGCAACCAAACACTTCGTCACCTGGTTCGTGTCTTACAACCAAACACTGTGTCATCGGGTTCATGCTTTGCAACCAAACACTGTGTCACCTGGTTTGTGTCTTGCAACCAAACAGTGTGTCACCTGGTTCGTGTCTTACAACCTAACACTGTGTCATCGGGTAAATGTCTTGCAACCAAACACTGCGTCACCTGGTTCGTGTCTTACACCAAAACACTGTCACCGGGTTCTTGTCTTACAACCAAACACTGTGTCACCTGGTTCGTGTCTTGCAACCAAACACTGCGTCACCTGGTTCGTGTCTTACAACCAAACACTGTGTCATCGGGTTCGTGTCTTACAACCAAACACTGTGTCATCGGGTTCATGTCTTGCAACCTAACACTGTGTCACCGGGTTCTTGTCTTACAACCAAACACTGTGTCACCGGGTTCGTGTCTTACAACCAAACACTGTCACCGGGTTCTTGTCTTGCAACCAAACACTGTGTCATCGGGTTCATGTCTTACAACCAAACACTTGCATCAGGTGGTGGCTGTTTTGTTAAGAAACAATGTATTACCGGATTGGTGTCTTGTTACCAAACACTGTGCAATAAAGTGGTGTCTTGTTACTAAACACTGTCATCAGGTGGATGTCTTGTTACCAAACACTGTCATTAGCGGGATGACTTGTTACCAAACACTGTCATTAGCGGGATGACTTGTTACCAAACACTGTCATCAGGTGGATGTTTTGTCACCAAACACTGTCATCAGGTGGATGTCTTGTTACCAAACACTGTCATCAGGTGGGTATCTTGTTACCAAACACTGTCATCAGGTGGGTGTCTTGTTACCAAACACTGTCATCAGGTGGATGTCTTGTTACCAAACACTGTCATCAGGTGGGTGTCTTGTTACCAAACACTGTCATCAGTTGGATGTCTTGTTACCAAACACTGTCACCAGGTGGGTGTCTTGTTAACAAATTGTGTAATCAGCTGCAGGTGGGTGTCATCAAATCAACCACTGCCTTGAAAACAAAGGGGAAATGGGGGCCCAGCCGTTTAAAGCGCCTCCATTCGCCCTCTGAGTTGCATCCCATGAGCATGCAATAAACCTCAAATTATGGGTTCGAATCCCGATTCGCCCCGATAAAGTTTCTCGGCTTGTCAACACTATAGCCGTACTCGTGAGTGGTAAACGTCTGAGACCTGCATCACTTCGGGTTTTCCTCCCCACATTAAGCTGCCACGCCGTGACACCGGAATAATGTTCAAAGCGGCGTTAAACCGAACTCATTCAGCAATCGGTTGTTGCCCATGTAAGATATACAGGGATGTTTTAATTGTCATTGCCAATGCCACACAAAATCCAATGTAGAATTGCACACGAATCTTATCAACTTTATAAATGAAACACCTTAAATACTTTTTCAACCACAACAAACCATAGCCGTAATATTATATACCTTATACGAAATTTTTATCCTGTATTGGTTCAGTTTTTTTTATAAATAATAGAGTCTGGACCAGACAATCCAGTGATTTGCAATTGGGATAAGATTACATGCATCAACCAAGTCAGCGAGCCTGACCACCCGATCCGGTGAGTGAGTTAATCTCTTTATCAATTGACCTGCTATGTGTATCGTTATGCCAGGCATTGGACACAAAACCCAACATATCAGGGAGGCATCCCTTTTGACAGAAGACGTTTAAGTTAACTGACGGCTAACCACGAGCCTTGCCATTAGTATCCATGGACAGCCATGTTGTTGGAATATAAATCAAACGCGAACGGAAGAGTAAAAGCTTCTTTATTTTAATAGTGAACCCGTACACATGATACATAACATGACAGGAGGTCAGCGTCCCTCTCAGCAACGTTCTAGCAACATCACTGCGGGGGAATCGAATGTCCCGAAGATTTACAATCGAACCACAAGGCTGCACAGTCTCTCCTTATATTGTCTATACGTCAACGTCAAGTACTCTTAGTCTGTTGCTAATAATGATTTTGCTGAGATTACACCTCCGCAACTGTGAAGGGAAACCGTAACGCCGTCACAAAACACGGGAGAAGCTGTGGAACATAAAAGTGTCACGCTTTCAAATATTGAATTCTACACTTACCACAGATAACCATTTTGAACATGCTATGCTAACACACTCTCTGCACAGACAAGTTGTCTACAAACCATCTAAATCATGTTAGTTTATCAAGTTATATATATTTGTATTGTATGTTATTGCAATTAAATGTTGCAGTATATTAAACCTGTAATATTAAAGAAAACTAAAAATGTTTAAATTGTGTAAATCTCGGCTATGAGTGAGTGAGTGAGTTTGGTTTTACGCCGCTTTTAGCAATATTCCAGCAATATCACGGCGGGGGACACCAGAAATGGGCTTCACACATTGTACCCATGTCGGGATTCGAACCCGGGTCTTCGGCGTGACGAGCGAACGCTTTAACCACTAGGCTACCCGACCGCCCCATCTCGGCTATGATTTAATTTATTTAAATCTAGGTTTTTGTAATTAGTAATGTACAATGTTTCCATCTCTTTATTCGTGTATGAGACAAGAATCTAAGTGTTGTTTTCCGGAATAGGTTATGTTATAAACATGATTAGTTCCGTGTAGTATCCTGTATGTAGACAGTATAGCTGTATTACTCTTGGTTATAAAAGTATATGTTACTTAAGAAATAAACGACTCTGCAAGGAAAACAAATATGAGGGGCGCAGCATGAATGAATTTTGTAAGATCCCTAATTTTATTACACAGAATATTTATACATCTTCCTGTACACAGTACACAGTTAATGTAACTGTAAAACTATTTACCAAGTTCTACCGATGTGTACTATTTATTTTACTTATTGTTCCTTTTCAAATGTTTCAGGGTCTTACAATAAAATAACTCCCATGTTCTATTGCTGGAACAAACGTTAAAACACCTGCAGCGTGTGTTTGTAAAAAATTCACTTTTTACTGCCCAGCTACACAGTAACGACTTACGATGAAAGAAACTGCTACACTGCTTCTTTACATTAGTAAAGACAAAAAAAACAAACACCCGCCATCAATAACCAGTCTCGATTATCCGCCGAAACAGATTCCGTTGGGCGTAAAAGGCAACATGGTGGTGACAATTCAATGAATGACTCATTGAAAATCAATGATGACACCAGGCGTTCGCAAAGAAATATCATATTTGTTTAACATTGATGCACAGGAGTTCGGACATTTCTTTCAGCTTACTGAGCTGTGCGCCTTCGAAAAGAAAGACGCACGTATGCCTTCAATGTTTTAAACGCTTTCTAAAGGTAAACAATCTCATTAAAATCAGATCTTAGTTCTCGCTACTGCAAAACAAAGATCTGAGGACATCCCATTAGGGGTCACGTCAGAACGACCTTTCATCCGACCAATCAGGGCGTCGCTTACCAGATTATGAAAGTGACAGTCGGACTGGGATTTCTAATCCTGCAACCTCGAAAACTTTAACACGGGGTATTCCGAACGATAGTTACAGGCTTAACGACTGAATCCATACAATCTAGACCATATACTTGCCATTTCAGAATATTTTATTGTTCAGGTTTCAATATTTTAATCGAGAATTTGTCCAAATATGTTTCGAAGCGTAGTCGCCAATTTGAAATTAGTGCCGTAAAGCACGAGAAAGCTGCCTTCTGATTGGCTAATGTCGACTTCTTGTCAGTCCTTCCATTAGTCGGTCAAAATTCGCGCAAGGTCGGTCTGACGTGACCCGTAATGGGATGTTCTCAGATCTTTGTTTAGCGATAGCGAGAACTAAGATCTGATTTTAATGAGATTGAAAGGTAAAGTACAGACACCTAAATCCTTGCTTCAACTGTAATTTCGTATTCATTAGGAATGCTCTGAAATGACCCCCCTCTTTGTTCAAAGTTCAGTTTGGTTCCCGGTGGGAGAGACACTTTCAAATGTCTCATAATGCCAGCCAACAAGAGGTGAAGCTCGGGTTTGGCCACGCTCTCTCCGAGACACACTCTCCTTCCGGCGGAGAACGGAAGCCAACCTTCTGGTTTAGCGGCCATCTTGCCAGTCTGGTCCAGAAACCTCTCTGGTTTGAATACTTCCGGGTCACGCCACTGTTCCGGGTCATGGTGCAGAGCGTGGTGGTTAATCATGACCAATGTTCCTTTTGGGACTTCGAAGCCTCCTGTAAACGTAATCATCAAAATATGTTCCACTGAATCAACGACATGCGACATGAAAACACGACCGTAACATCAATGCTTTTGGTCAAGGTTCTTGATGCTGCAGGGGGCAAGGGTGGCCCAGTCGTCTAAGGCGCCGCGATTCGCTGTGCACAGCTGCGTCCCTTGGGCACGCCAGAAACCTATGATTGTGGGTTCGAATCCCGGTTGGCCCCGATTATGTTTTTAGGTTTGTCAGCACCATACCCGTGCTCGTGAGTTTCACCGAAGTGGTAAACGTCTGAGACCTGCACCAACATTAAGCTGACACGCCGTGATATAACTGGAATACTGTTAAAAGCGGCGTTAAACCCAACTCACTCACTCACTCTTGATGCTGCAAAAAAACCATAAAAATCCTTATTTTTGAAACAAATGCTCATTATTACTCTGCTGACCCTTGTAACGTCATTTTGAGAAAATGTCACTTTATGTAATTCACTATGGTGACTTAGTCGAATGGTGATTGACAAGATTACGTGAGTGAGTGAGTATGGTTTTACGCCGCTTTTAGCAATATTCCAGCAATATCACGGCGGGGGTCACCAGAAATGGGCTTCATACATTGTACCCATTTGGGGATTCGAACCCGGATCTTCGGCGTGACAAACGAACGCTTTAGCGTTACAACGACAATATTTCAGCCATATCGTGATCACATATACACAGAGGAATCATGGTATATGCTAAGTATATTTTATTGCTAAGTATAACTCTTCAAGATAATGCTGATTATCATTCCCCGGTAGTGGGAGGAAAGGAATAACGTAGCGTTGTGACATCAACATATTCAGATGTTACGAGTGCTACGAGCTCATGTACAAGTTCTACTTTAAAGATACAACGTAGAGTAAATATTGTTGTTTGTTTGTTTATTGGTTGTTTAACGCTGCACTCAGCAGTATTCCAGCTATATGGGGGCGGTCGGGTAGCCTAGTGGTTAAAGCGTTTGCTCGTCACGCCGAAGACCCGGGTTCGATTCCCGACATGGGTACAATGTGTGAAGCCCATTTGCGTGTACCCCTCCGTGATATTGCTGGAATATTGCTAAAAGCGGCGTAAAGTCAAAACACTCACTCACTCCAGCTATATGACGGCGGTCTGTAAATAATCGAGTCTGGACCAGACAATCCAGTGATTGACATCATGAGCATCGATCCACACTATTGGATCCACATGCATCAACCAAGTCAGCGAGCCTGACCACCCTATCCGTCAGTCGCCTCTCATATTACGACAAGCATAGTCACCTTTCACGGCAAGGTTGCTGAAGACCTTTTCTACCCCGGATCTTCACGGGTAGTAAACATTATTGAATAGATCCTACATATCGGTAACTGTAACCTACCAACGTGTGTGTCACACAGGGACATATGTGGAAGACCAAGAGGCACCACAGTGGCGATCCTCATACTCTCGTACAGCACGGCCTCGATGAAGGGGAGATTACTCCTGTCTGAAACCTTGGGGAAGTGACGGGGACCTGTGGGTTTGTAATGAAGTGAAAAATGCTTAACACCGTACCAGAAATATTGCAATTATTCGAGGCGAGTAATGAATTAGACAAAGACAATTAATACGTCTCCAGCTAATATTTTCATGACATATTATCTTTAAGATCATCATATCAAGGCGATCAGGTGATATTTGCAAGAAAATGTAACGTGGCACTATGAAGACAACGTTGAGTGGTGTGCCAAAGTCAAAGATTGTTTGTTTGTTTGTTGTTTAACGCCGCACTCAGGAATATTACAGCTATATGACGGCGGTCTGTAAGTAATCGAGTCTGGACCAGACAATCCAGTTTATTGACATCATGAGCATCGATCTGCCCAACTAGGATACGGTGACATGCATCAACCAAGTCAGGGAGCCTGACCACTCGATTCTATTAGTCGCCTTTTACGACAAGCACAGACACCTTTCACGGCAGACATGGGTTGCTGAAGACCTTTTCTACCTTTGACCCACAGACGTGGAATTTCAATATTCGGATAAATCCTAAATTTCTTTTTTCAATTGTTTGTTTGTTGTTTTACGCCGCACTCAACAATATTACAGCTATATGACGGCGGTCTGTAAATAATCGAGTCTGGACCAGACAATTCAGTTTATTGACATCAAGAGCATCGATCTACGCAACTAGGATACGGTGACATGCATCAACCAAGTCAGGGAGCCTGACCACCCGATCCCGTTAGTCGCCTTTTACGACAAGCACAGCCACCTTTTACGGCAAGCATGGGCTGCTGAAGACCTATTCTACCTTGGACCTTTGGCCCTAATTGTGTGCGTATATAATGGAATATTTGGTGTCCAATTATATGCTTTTATATGTAATATTTTGTATCCAGTTGTAAGTTTAAGGGATGACATATTTTGTATCCAAATGTTTGCGTATTTGAAGCAATCTAGGTAGGAAATAGTTTAATACGACAGTAGCATCTTTTTAAAAGGAAGAAAAACAGACACAGGATGGCTTAGCAGATAACGTTCTTGTAAAACCTATTTCTGATATCACAATAACAAAGGCATACAGAAGTGAAGCGGATTTCATAATTGGCACAACCTCCGTTTAGCGGAAAAGTCCTGCTGGTCGGGTTTGAACAGTACTTGAGTTATGTTACTGCATGTCAGATTAATATGATGCCAAATGTGTCTGAAGCGATGCAGGTCCTAGATGCTAAATAATCTCACCTAGGGCCTTGTCGACCTCCTCGTGCACCTTGTCCTGGATGTCAGGGTGCATGGCCAGGTACAACAGCGTCCACAACAGGGTCAAGCGGGACGTGTCCAACCCAGCTGTAATGGGTGAGTGAGTGAGTGAGTGAGTGATTTGGCCCTACTTTCACGCTGTCTAGAACAGGAATGCACAATGGGATGCAGGCTAAAGGTTACAAAATGTATCGAAACCCACGAGCAGGGACTCCACAACAGGGTGAAGCGGGACGTGTTCAAACCAGCTGTAATGAGTGAGTGAGTGAGTGAGTGATTTGGCCCTACTTTCACGCTGTCTAGAACAGGAATGCACAATGGGATGCAGGCTAAAGGTTACAAAATGTATCGAAACCCACGAGCAGGGGCACGACCGAGAAACATAATCAGGGCGAATCTGGAATTAAAATGCACGATTCTCGGATCCCAGCGAGACGAAGGAACGAAAGTTTTCTCGCTGGCATCATGTTTGTTTGTTGTTTTACACCACATTCAGCAATATTCCAGCTATATTTCGGCGATCTATAAATAATCGTATCTGGAACAGGCAATCCAGTGATTGACATCATGAGCATCGATCTACGCAATTGGGACACAATGACATGCATCAACCAAGCCTCACCACGCCTCTTACGACAAGCATGGGTTGCTGAAGACCAATCCATTCTAACCCGGAATCTTCAATGGACGGCACCTCAGAGGAAAGAGCCATTCGTGCCACCCAGCATAATACTTATTATGATAATGACAAGCGTGTCGATGACCATGTTCTGCTTTGAAAGGTTGGTTGGTTGCTTGGTTTGTTGTTTAACGCCACACTCAGGAATATTCCAGCTATATGACGGCGGTCTGTAAATAATCGAGTCTGGACCAGACAATCCAGTGATTGATATCGTGAGCATCGATCCACGCAAATGGGATCGATGACATGCTTCAAAAATGTCAGCGAGTCTGACCACCCGATCCCGTTAGTCGCCTTTTACGACAAGCATAGTCGCCTTTTACGGCAAGCATGGTTTGCTGAAGACCAATTCTACCCCGGAATCTTCACGGGTCCTGACACCAAGTGTTCAGAGGTACTTTCTATGTTTTAAGTGCGTGATTTCACTGCAGTGATACGTGTTCCATTCAGAACATATCTGTGGCCTTAATATTTCCTCTGTGGAATTTTACCTCCAAGTATGTCTGCTAATGTCCGAAGGATGTGTCTGTCTGACAGCTGTGACATCAGATCGGGGTCTTCCTCTTCACGTGCCTCATCTTGGGCCTCAAGCAGAGCATCACAAAAATCACGGGTAGTACCTGTCGATAAAACACTCATACAGCTACTGACGAGAAGGATTAAAAACATTAACAATACTCAAAAACGTCAACGGCAGACAATGTCTGCAGAAACAGATTCCACTGGGCGTAAAAGGCGAAATAATGGTGAAAATTATATGAATGAATCGCTGAAACTCAGTGATGATCCAGACCCGTGAAGATCCGGGGTAGAATAGGTCTTCAGCAACCCATGCTTGCCGTAAAATGCGACTATGCTTGTCGTAAAAGGCGACTAACGGGATCGGGTGGTCTGGCTCGCTGACTTGGTTGATGCATGTCATCGATCCCAATTGCGTGGATCGATGTTCATGATGTAAATCACTGGATTGTCTGGTCCAGACTCGATTATTTACAGACCGCCCTCATATAGCTGGAATATTGCTGAGTGCGGCGTTAAACAACAAACCAACCAACAGTGATGATCCAGGTGTTCGCGAAAAGGGTGAGCATGTTCTGCTCTTCCGGAAGCTCCAGCCACTCGCACAATTTGCATGAGGAAGTTGGTTGGTTGGTTGGTTGTTTAACGCCGCACTCAGCAATATTCCAGCTATATGACGGGGGTCTGTAAATAATCGAGTCTAGACCAGTTAATATCATGAGCATCGATCCACGCAATTGGGATCGATGGCATGCATCAAACCAAGTCAGCGAGCTTGACCACCCGATCCCGTTAGTCGCCTTTTACGACAAGCATAGTCGCCTTTTACGGCAAGCATGGGTTCTGAAGACCTATTCTACCCCGGATCTTCACGGGTCCTGAAACTCAGTGATGATCCAGGTGTTCGCGAAAAGGGTGAGGATGTCCTGCTCTTCCGGAAGCTCCAGCCACTCACACAATTTGCATAAGAAAGTAAAAGGGTCTGTTTGTTGCATGACGCCGCACACCTGTACTCCTGCCATACGACGGCGGCCTGTAATCATTCGAGTCTGGACCCGTGAAGATTCCGGGGTAGAATAGGTCTTCAGCAACCCATGCTTCCCGTAAAAGGCGACTATGCTTGCGGTAAAAGGCGACTATGACCCACGAAGATCCGGGGCAGAATAGGTCTTCAGCATCCCATGCTTCCCGTAAAAGGCGACTATGACCCGTGAAGATCCGGAGTAGAATAGGTCTACAGCAACCCATGCTTGCCGTAAAAGGCGTCTATGAACCGTAAAGATCCGGGGTAGAATAGGTCTTCAGCAACCCATGCTTGCCGTAAAAGGCGACTATGCTTGTCGTAAAAGGCGACTAACGGGATCGGGTGGTCAGGCTTGCTGACTTGGTTGATGCATGTCATCGATCCCAATTGCGTGGATCGATGCTCATGATATCAATCACTGGATTGTCTGGTCCAGACTCTATTATTTACAGACCGCCGTCATATAGCTGGAATACTGCTGAGTGCGGCGTTAAACAACAAACCAACCAACCTGATCATATATACAATCGAGTGACAGTGGACCAGACAATCCAGTGACACTACAGCGCAGTACAGATTTACTTGAACGAAGACGATATGCTATTTTGAATTACGTCTGCTGCGTACAAGTGCAGAGAAACAGTTACAATGTATATTCGTTTTGCAACACAGTGGGAGCAGATTTAATGTCGCAGCAGCACGACATAATTGATGACTGAATTTCACGACCATTGTATATATTTTGTTGGGGTGGGAAAGGAGCTGTATACGAAAATGAAGGAAAACAAATAGCTTGTCAACTTGTTTAGATGAAAAATATAGATCGTTCACTTGCTCAATATTGTAAAAAAGTAATATGATGTGAGTAATAGTATGTTTTTTTTAAGTACGTACCAAAATACCAAAAAGTCACCTTTTGATTGTGTTTGCTTGTGTTTGTTCAATCGCTCCCGCAAGTACCCATCGAATTTGTCAGCCAGTTTCAACATACGCCTCATTTTCCCTGTAGGGAAGAGCCGGAGTGGGGGAATGACATCCTCGAGAAAGCCGTTGCCGACTTCATTCGTGAAGGTATCTGATATACTTATCATATCCTTGAAGTACTTGTCGTTGACATCACATCTGAAAGGAAGAGAGTAAGTGAGTGAGTTTTTCACAGTTAGTTTGTTTGTTGTTTAACGCGAATCTGGACCAGACAATCCAGTGATTGACATCATGAGCATCGATCTACACAAGTCGGATACGATGACATACATCAACCAATCCCACTCGATCCCGTTAGTCGCCTCTTTCAACAAGCATATTCGCCTTTTGCGGCATACATTGTTGGTTGCTGAAGACCTATCATAACCCACCTTCCTGAGGCAAGAGAGTTAACTGACCATAAAAGTCCAGTTTCCACCCTTGCCGAACTAGGCTGGTATAATGGAGTTAGATTGTGGCTGGACTAACGAGTCAATGCATAGTCCAATCAAAATCGCGCACCGAAATCGAAATCCGGTTCGTAAACTGTCATGCAGAATTCGGTCGATTGCAGGATTTGCACAGCATCTGCACCGCCAACTCGTTGTCAACAGATATTTCTGAAATCTGTTCATGTCTTTTATCATGATGCTCACGTGATTTGATGCACTTCGCGATGTAAGACCCGTTTTATCACAATGTAGATCTTGATTATCGATCAGAGCGTCTTGACTTGGCGCCGCCATTTTGTTTGACGCAAATGCAAGTGATACGAGAGGTGGAATCTGATTGGTCTATAGGAGAGGCATAGAAGGGGCATAACTCGTAATAGCCAATAGTTGCGCAACGATCGAGTCCAGGAATTCCAGCCAAGTTCGGCAGGGGTGGAAACTGGACTTTTAAAGTCAGTAAACTCTCTTGCCTCGGAAAGATGATCATAATCCGGATCGTCACGGGTTGTTTTGAACAAAATTCAAGTCACATCACGGCGTGTCAGCTTTACGTGATGGGGGGGGGGGGGGGGGGGGGTGTCATCTAGACAAAAAACTCGGTTATCATCTCTATATAGCTCAACATACTTACGTCTCATTATAGCAGATGTTGTTGATGATGTTAAAAACGATCAGGGAGATGATGTCATGTGGGTTAAACGGCCCTTTCTTCTCTTTCATCAGCTGTATGCCCTGGGTGAGGGAACGTTCTATTCCACCCTCAAGTTGGTTTCCCGTCATGTAGTGTCTGTGGGGGTAAAATGAGTATCATGGTTGGTTGGTTGGTTGGTTTGATGTTTAACGCCGCACTCAGCAATATTACAGCTACATGACGGCGGCTGTAAATAATCGAGTCTGGACCAGACAATCCAGTGACTGACATCACGAGTATCGATCCATACAATTGGGTTGGTTGGTTGGTTTGTTGTCTAACGCCGCACTCAGCAATATTCCAGCTTTATGACGGCGGTCTGTAAATAATCGAGTATGGACCAGACAATCCAGTGATTAATATCATGAACATCGATCCACGCACTTGGGATCGATGACATGCATCAACCAAGTCAGCGAGCCTGACCACCCGATCCAGGTAGTCGCCACCTAAGCATTGTCGCCTTTTACAGCAAGCATGGGTTGCTGAAGACCTATTCTACCCCGGATCTTCACGGATCTGTAGTAATGTGAACGCAATGCAATACATTTAGATTTAAAGAGTGTTTCCAGCAAATGGTCAAGTGACACCTTCCTGGTACGTTGATATGCATTATGCTGAAAACGTAGTGCAATTGGTGGGATGGTTGGAGCTGCTATTTTATTGATATCAACAGTGAAAACAGTATAACTATTTGCTTAAAAGGTGTCGGTCTAATGTTTTACTTCAGAGCCTTTGTAGCTAACTTCCTGTGCAGTTTCCACGTGGGGCTGTAGTGCCCAAGGGCGATACTGCGTCCTCCGTCGCTGAACAAGTCCGCTGGAAACACACAAAATTAAGTCCTTGTAGCTATCAGTGCTACATAAATCAATACTATTAAACACGGATGCCAGTTACAACGTGGTTGAGTTTGTTTGTTTGTTTGTTTGCTTGTTGTTTAACGCCGCGCTACAGCTTTTTGACTGCGGTCTGTAACTAATCGCGTCTTGACCACCCGATCCCGTTAGTAGCATCTTGCGACAAGCATAGTCGCCTTTTACGGCAAGCATGGGTTGCTGAAGACCTATTCAACCCCGGATCTTCACGGGTTTACTAATGTTGTTGCATTAAGGGTTGCATTAAGGGTTTAAGAGGTCACCTTCTCCCTAAGCAATTTCGGCTGACCTGGAGTTTCTTAAACTATGTGGTATCCTAATGTAATGTAAGAAATTAGCTGTAGCTGGTTCGTGTACATATTGAGCGGCTCAGCTCCTTTTACAAAACCCTACCCCTAAGACCAGGCCCGCTCTAAGTTCGAGTAGCTCAGCGGTGAAAGTGTTCGCTGGGGTGGGGTTTCCATGTTAAACTGCGCTGTAGACACCACATATAACTCCGATTTCATCTCAGTAACGATGCGAATTTTCCAAATGTTTATGCACATAACTGGCTATAGAGTTATGTACTACTACTACTACTACTACTACTACTACTACTACAACAACGATGCTCATGATATCAATCATTGGATTGTCTGGTCCAGACTCGATTATTTTACAGACCGCCGTCATAAAGCTTGAATATTGCTGAGTGCGGCGTAAACAACAAACAAGCAAACTACAATTACATATTTCAAGATGTAACAACAATAAAAACGACGATGATGATGATGATGACGGTGATGATGATAATTACTTGAGTACGACTGTGGCCTCCCAGCAAAGTCCGCCTGCCGTTTCACCAGTGCTTCCAAGACAACGTCTATTCTGTTTAGTGTCACCGCTCTCAGAGGCCCTGTATCGAAAAAAGATGCGTTATAAGAAAAATATATCATGTACATCAGTTGAACTGATATTGAAATGTATACATATGATGAAATAAAAGAAAAGCATTCACTTTAAAATTGAAGCAATATCGTAAATCCATAACCGATGTTAACATTAACGGAGGCTGTCCATGTCTTCCTACCCATATTGACTGTGATAACGGGTCCGTACTTTGTCTGCCATTCAATCAGCTTCTCAAAGATGGTGGCGTTCCTGAACTCTGCAACAGATGTAGAAACGTTGGTACTGAGTTATGGCTAAAAATTGTGCCAGCAGCACGTAAATACTCTCAAGTAATGAACGCTCTGTATGTTATAGACCGCCTCCGTGGTCTAGTGGTAGAGCGTCCGCCCGTAGAGCGGAAGGTCCGGGGTTCGATCCCCAGCCGCGTCATACCAAAAGACGTTAAAAGATGGTACTTGTTGATACCCTGTCTGGCGCTCGGCATTACGGGGCTAAAACAAGGACTTGTCGGCTCGGAGTCAGTATACTGTGTCTTAGTGGGGTATTCATGTTAAACTGCGGCATGGTATCTCAGTGTGCTAGCACTATAAATCACCATCAGTCCGGACTAGTACAAGCAGCCACACACACACACACACACACGTGCATGCACGTCGCTATATAAGTGCAATAATCTTGGACGCGACGTTAAACCCAATTTCACCTCACCTCACCTGTATGTTATACAACAGTACTGAATATATCTTGTGAATATACATTTGTAATATCAGCTACATTGAAACCTAGAACTCCATTATTCCACTGTGTCCTAATCATGACTTGCCTCATATTTGTACTTGTCTATATGTAAGTCAGAATATGGAAACTTCACGGGTCTACATAACGTAAAAGGTGTAAAGAAACTAATTAAATTTAATCTATCATAAGAATATTGTGTAACGAAAACCTTTGTAAATAAAAGCGAAAAACCCCTTAAATCCGGGGTAGAATAGGTCTTCAGCAACCCATACTTGCCGTAAAAGGCGACTATGCTTGTCGTAAAAGGCCCATAACGGAATCGGGTGGTCAGGCTCGCTGACTTGGTTGATGCATGTCATCGATCCAAATTGCGTGGATCTATGCTCATTATATCAATCACTGGATTGTCCGGTCCAGACTCGATTATTTACAGACCGCCGTCATAAAGCTGATTATTGCTGAGTGCGGCGTTAAACAACAAACCAACCAACGTTATGTGCTTCGAATTCAACCTTCAAATAGTCTAAGGAACGTTCTTTTAAGAACATGTAAACCATCACAAAGTATCCCCGGAGTCTTTTTTATATAGAGATGATCGTTTGCTTGTGGGTGAGTGAGGTGGCTTTAACGCCGCTTTGAACAGTATTCCAGTCCTATTCCGGCGTCTCTGCTTAATGTGGGAGGAAAGCCCGAAGTGATGCAGGTCTCAGACGTTTACCACTTTGGTGAAACCCACGAGCACGGTTATGGTGCTGACAAACCTAGAAACATAATCGGGGCGAACTGGGATTCGAACCCACACTCATAGGTTTCTGGCGCATAGTGGCGCCTAAGTCGACTGGGCCACCCGTCTCCCCTTAAGTGTTTGTTTGTTTGTTTGTTGTTTAACGCCGCACTCAGCAATATTCCAGCTATATGACGGCGGTCTGTAAAATAATCGAGTCTGGACCAGACAATCCAGTGATTGACATCATGAGCATCGATTCTAGCAATTGGGTTGGTTGGTTGGTTTGTTTTCTATGTTTTGTGTATTTCATTTACCCATTCCCGGATTCATATTGGATTACTATGAAGCATTAAATACAAGTTATAAATAAGGTACGTACTTCAACTGCGCCTTCTAATCTTTGTATCAGCTAATCATTTAACTTTATTGTTTTATAAACTGAATACTTCTGAATACATTTTTTGTATGTAAATACTAAATACTCAGTAATACACAAGAAATGTTCTATTATAATCCACGTCCCATAAAGTTCAAGTTTGTTGGTAGGCTTCCTTTCAAATATACATTCGAAAGCACTTAACTCATAACTCATAACTAGCATAACTCTAGAATTAATATCAGCTAACTGTGTTTCTGATCGCATCAATCAACCTTGCCTTCAATCGGTTGGTTTGTAGTTTTACGCCGCACTAAGCAATATTCCAGCTATATGACGGCGGTCTGTTAATAATCGAGTCTGGACCACCCGATCCCGTTAGTCACCTTTTACGACAAGCATAGTCGCCTTTTACGAAAGCCTTTTATAGGTTTACTGAAGACCTATTCTATCCCGGAATCTTCACGGGGCCCACGCAATTGGGATACGATGACATGCGCGCAATTGGGATACGATGACATGCATCAACCAAGTCAGCGAGCCTGACCACCCGATCCCGTTAGTCGCCTTTTACGACAAGCATAGTCGCCTTTTACGGCAAGTATGGGTCGCTGAAGACCTATTCTACCCCGGATCTTCACGGGTCCTCCCCTTAAGTGAAAAAGGGTGAATGTACAATGTATATTGAACTTTATCTATTGGGCATGACTAATTGAGAAAATTACGCGTTACCTAGCAGGTTCCCGAGTAGGGGCCAGCCTCGGGGCCCCGGGGGTAGCTTGTACCTCTTCTTGGTGACCAGATAGACCGCCACCCCCACGGCCGTCCCTACCAGAACAGCCCGGCCGGTGAGGCTCCCTGGTAGCCACTTCTCACACCGCCTGACCAGGTCAAGGAGCTGGTCCGAGTAGGGCAGTCTCTGCAGCAACTCCACGTCCAGCATGGTCAACCTGTGGGTCAGTGGACAATGATTTAGTGAACGAGTTTGGTTTAACGCCGCTTACAGCATTTCAGTCATGGCACCGAGGGTTAGCTTTATACTGGCTCAAAACCCAAGGTTGCGCAGGTCCTAGACGTTAACCACGGATGTATGGCACTGAAAAACCTAGAATCATAATCGCGGCAAATCTCGGATGCGAACTCAGGATCATAGCATCCTGACATGCCTAAGGGACATAACTCTTGGTAGGTGCACTCGTTGGAAGGGACGATGCTCACAGGGGAGGATTGTACACACTCCGCTTTGTAAAAAATCCACCCGATCCTCAGTTTATTTACCTCTTACGACTAAGTACTGCTGCCATATTTATGACGCATTCATCCCCATGATAGTAACGTTGTTTCTGTCGGCTGCAAATACTTAATTAATGCTTTTTGTTTATTGTTTAACGCCGCACTCCGCAATATTCCAGCTATATAACGGCGGTCTGTAAACAATCGAGTCTTGGACAGACAATCCTGTGATTGATATCATGAGCATCGGTCCACGCAACTGGGAGCTGGAATATAGCATAATTCCAGCATAATTATATTAACCACAAATAACACAACGCTGTTGTGGGAAAAAATATTATTTATTTTGAGTATTTGGCAATACAGTTGATACATTTGTATAGGGTAGGTCTATTTAAAATTAGTTTCTTGTTTAACGCCGCACTCAGCAGTATTCCAACCATATGACGGCGTGAGTCTGGACCAGATAATCCAGTGATTGACACCAAGCGCATCGAATATGATGTTATGCATCGACCAAATCGGCGAGCCTGACTACCCAGTCCTGTTCGTCGCCTCTTACATGGGTTGCTGAAACCTGGGTCTTTATTTAAAATGTAGAAAATCGAAGGAAATGGAAGCAATTTCTGGCACAAATGTAAACATGTGGAAATAGTATCAAAACTGCCAACAACATTGGCAGATGAACTTACTCAAATAATAGATCACATTCTTTTTACACTTGGCATTTGGTTATAATAATGTAAATGAAAATACTAAGGGCTCCATATGGCAAAAAAGTCATACTAGATAAGGTCTTTTTGTCACAACCACAGATGCACATACTCAAAATATTATCACGTAGTTTGAGAACATTTCAATACCGGGACTAATCAATAACAGAGATTCCTCGTCTCTTGTTTTACGTTTTTTGGTCAGTTTCCTTTTTGTATTTCTTTCTTTCAAAGAATAGTAATTGTGATCATGATGAGTTGAGTTACTTTTTTTCTATGTACTGTTTTTTTATCCAGTGTCAGTAACTGTTGTGGAATGTGGTTTACTTGTAACATTGACTGGTTTGAGTTCATATGATGATGATTGATTAGTTTGTCGTTTAACGCCGCACTCAGCAATTTTCCAGCTATATAACGGCGTTCTGTAAATAATCGAGTCTGGACCTGACAATCCAGTGATTAATATCATGAGCATCGATCCACGCAATTGGGATCGATGCCATGCATCAACCAAAGCCTGACCACCCGATCCCATTAGTCGCCTCTTACGAGAAGCATAGTCGACTGTTGTGATGTAACATGACAATTCATCCATACTACTAAACAGAAGTAAACTGCTTGTCCATTCGGATCAGTCTGACCCAAACCATTCCGCTGATGAGAGTCAAATAATGCATACGAATCAAAATCCGTAAAAATTGCAATAGAGACATCATTAAAAGTTACCAAAAGTGACTGGGATATCAATATTGCTTGTTGAACTGATTCTATAACATTTGTTTTCCCTGCTTCAATATTTGGAGCACATGTGACGGGGCTATAAAACTGATTATGACCTAAATACCCCTCATACCCTTCGGTGTTAACTACAGTCTGTATGTGACTGTAGAGAGCTGTGCCTTCATCAAACAAGATTATCGAGGTCAGTGGAACACGGTACAGACGCAAACAGATTTGAGCCATGGGACACAAAATGATAGTGACCAGAGCTACGGCTGTACATTGAATTCCATTAAACGAATGAAAAATACTACAGCCTTGATGCAAATTCGCCGACACACTACTCCGATTTTGCTTTGACTTTGCTACCAAACGTTTCACATGTGGCTATGTGCGGTGCACTGATTAACGCCGCACACGGGGGACTGGGTTAATTCAAAATACGGAATATAACTATTCCAAATATTTCCAGTGAACATGAGCATCCAAGCAATCAAAAGTGTGGTATGTAGAATGTAGAATTCAGCCATATTACATTTAAATTGAAATGTCGTCGTTGTTCATGAATAAGCATATTCAGAACATATTTTATATTATGCTGTTATTTACGATCTCCGGAGCACAGTTCTTCTTTTGTATGCACCGTGAAAAATCAGAAAATTAGTCCTTGAGGAAAAAAGGACATCGGATTACACATGAATGGTTTAACAATGTCAGCTAATGACCAGAAACGGTCAGATGCATCATTTAACTACATACAGACGATTTTGAAGTATCTCTTATTGCTGGAAAAGAATAGCATCAACATTCGACATTTAATCATTTGTTTCCGTAAATGCGTGGCTTGAAATTTCAAATAAACCAACATGTCGACATACATGCTACAAAATGAACGTTTCCCGTATACTTCCCCGCCCTTAAGGGCGGGGAAGAATGACTGGTCCCTCAGACAGTGTAAACAGTCCAGAAAACACTGCGCCGATCGATTCGTTACTTTCGTAATGTATTAACAGGTGAATATAAGACAGAAACAAGCATGTTGGTCCACTATATATAATCTGTTAGAATGGTTGAAGCAACCAGAGACTTACTTGAACAGAAAAACAGTTGGGACCTGAACAATAGCTGGTGCAGCCTGTTCGAACAAGCTTGATAGGCTGGTGTGACCTTCACCTTGTGAAATTGCGGTTCCACGAGGGAGTCCCCTGTGAACGTGAAATTGAATTGTTAAGGTGTCCAGTGTGGCGGGTCCTACCTGCAGGACAGAACATACTTGCCCTTTTCGCGAACTCCTGGTGTCATCACTGATCCATTGATATTATGTTCACCGCTATTCTGCCCTATAGCCCAATATGATCTCTCTCGGCGGATAATCGAGACTGGTTATTCTCTGGCCTTGACAATTTATTTTTCACTGTACACTGTATTTGATTTATGTGCCATTCACATATAAATTAGGTTTGCGACTAGGGTTTACTTTACAAGTAAATTGAATAGACTCAATACCTTTGACAAAATTTAATTTGCCTCTGACAGCCCATTCTCAGTGAGTGAGTGAGTTAAGATTTAACGTCACATCGGCAGTATTTCAGCCATATCGTGACGAGAAGTACATTAATAATACACATATTTATACGAAATAAAAACCTGTCAACGAAGGACAGTAAAATAACTAGATTTATCACAGATTATATCTAAAACTAGTAGTTAGCCATAAAAATATAACATCATACGAAACAATACAAGATAAAAATGCAGCCCATTCTGAAATTTGGTCCAGGTCATTATTGAGATTATTACCAACTATATCCGGATCATCTATGATCACATACAGAGATGTGTCATAAGCTTTGTTTGTTGTTTAACGCCGCACTCGGCAATATTCCAGCTATATGACGGCGGTCTGAAAATAATCGAGTCTGGACCAGACAATCCAGTGATTAACAACATGGGCATCGATCCACGCAATTGGGATCAACCAAGTCAGAGAGCCTGACCACCCGATCCCTTTAGTCGCCTCTTACGACAAGCATAGCCGCCTGTTACGGCAAGTATGGGTTGCTGAAGACCTATTCTATACCCGGATCTTCACGGGTCTGTGTCATAAGCAAAACGTCTTTTATTACTATTTCTTCCTTCAGCAATATGATTGATATAAAAAATAGACAACATAGTGATCCCAAGACCATATTCATATAGCGACGTGCTTGTACGTGTGTGTGTGTGGCTGCTTATTCTGGTAGTGTGGCGGGTTTAAGGCACTAGCCCACTCACATGACATACTAGTCTCAGGACTAGACCACTAAAACACGAGGTGGTCATTGCAATATTTAACACTATCCTCAAAGTAAATGTCCAACCTGTGTCTGTATTTATATCAATTACAGTAAACTACGGTTATGACGAACTCAAAGGGACCACTGTGGCGAGTTTATGGCGCTAGCCAAATCACATGACATACTAGTCTCCGGACTAGACCACTAGAACACGAGGTGGTCATTGCAATATTTAACACTATCCTCAAAGTAAATGTCCAACCTGTGTCTGTATATATCAATTACAGTAAACTACGGTTATGACGAACTCAAAGGGACCACTAATTTTAGTTCGAAATAACCGTAGTTCGTTATAAGCATATCTACAACACAATCACATACAAATGGCCGGGACTGAAAAATAAGTTCGTTATAGCGGTCAGTTCGTTATAAATGTAGTTTACTGTTTTTCAGGATTCGACTGTATAAGCAGGGTCCATCGTGTTTTAGCTGAACTAGTGCTAACTGCAGCGAAATACGCACGAACAGACATATGGGAAATAGAAAACACCACCCTGGTGAGTTCATGAGATTACCTTACCAATACGAATTGACAAAAATTCGTTCACCCAGCTCTATTTGGTTGTTGGTTGGTTTGTTGTTTAACGCCGCACTCAGTAATATTCCAGCTACATGACGGCGGTCTGTAAATAATCGAGTCTGGACCAGACAACCCAGTGATTAATATCATGAGCATCGATCCACGCAATTGGGATCGATGACATGCATCAATCATGTCAGCGAGCCTGACCACCCGATCCCGTTAGTCGCCTTTTACGGAAGCATGGGTTGCTGAAGACCTATTCTACTCCGGATCTTCACAGGTATCAGCTCTGAGGTCTGTTTAAAACTATTTATCTATCCCGCTGCACATTGAAACAAATATTCATAAGGAAAGATAAAAAAGAGTAATCAATTATATTTATTTACACGTATCACCATCCATGCACATTTGGCAAATCCAATTAATAATTAATTCAGTACCCGTGTACAGAATGACAGACCTATGGTAGAAGCTATGACCTTGATTCTGCAACGATATCAAAGCCACGAGGCACATTTGCAAAGGATCCCCCATATGGCGCAAAGTTCAATTTGGTTCCAGGTGGGAGAGACACTTTAAAATGTCTCATAATGCCAGCCAACAAGAGGTGAAGCTCGGGTTTGGCCACGCTCTCTCCGAGACACACTCTCCTTCCGGCGGAGAACGGAAGCCAACTTTCTGGTTTAGCGGCCATCTTGCCAGTTTGGTCCAGAAACCTCTCTGGGCTGAATACTTCCGGTTCACGCCACTGTTCCGGGTCATGGTGCAGAGCGTAATGGTTTATGATTACCATGGTGCCTTTTGGAATATCGTAGTTCCCTGAAGACAGGTTGAAATATATAATTGCATATACATCTATATATAGTAGTATGCTGCTTATACATGATAATAGACATGTATGCGTACAACTCTAATCGGGTAGTTTAACGTAAGTTCGAATAAGAAGGGACAACGCTTAGGGACCAGTATAAAGGTTCGACGTTGGATACAAAAATTGATTACTTAAGTTTTGAGACACCGAAAACACTTATTTTTGAAAATGTTTAATTTAGAAGTTGAGTGTCGACTTTTGTCATGCATTCTCTTTTGCCCTGCTTTTTTCAGAATGTTTATAGACTGAAGTTTATTTACTTGGGTGTTGAGGCCCGTGAAGATTCCGGGGTAGAATAGGTCTTCAGCAACCCATGCTTGCCGTAAATGGTGACTATGCTTGTCGTAAAAGGCGACTCATAGGATAGGGTGGTCAGACTCGCTGACTTGGTTGATGCATGTCATCGATCCCACTTTGTTAATGTGGACATTGGAGTTAATAGTACTGTACTGTCGAATAGGTGCCTCACTTAGAGAGTCTTGGTTCGAATCCCGGATCCCGAACCCAAAAGTGCAAGAATTTGAATTTCTAAGAAAGTGTTATCAAAAATATAACATTTGTTACATTTGACCACATTCTTAAAGGCGTTGTGTATTTATAGCTTTCGGCCGGGGGGGGGGGGGGGGGGGGGGCGTGCCAATTTACACTTATCAGGGGGGTATACAAAATACGTGACCTCGACTGCCAGTTGTGTGACAATGTGCGCTGGAGACTAGGCGCCTCACTCTGAGAGTGTGGTTCGAATCCCGGTCGGAACTCAACCCCAAAAGTACTCACGTCATTTGATGCACTTCGCGATGTATAACCCGTTTTATCACAATATAGATCTTGATTATCGACCAGATCGTCTTGACTGGGCGCCGCCATTTTGATTTTGTTTGAAGCAAGTGCAAGTGATACGAGAGGTGGAATCTGATTGGTCTATAGGAGGGACATAACTCGTAATAGCCACTGGTGGCGCTAAGATCGAGCCCAGGAATTCCAGCCAAGTTCGACAAGGGTGGAAACTGGACTTTTGAAGGAGTATGATGACACTCCCTCAACCAAATCACCGAGCCTTATCACACGATCCATTTGGCTGCTTGTTACGACTGGCATTGGTTGATTGGGACCAGTTATAACTTGTAATCTGTCAGAGGCAGAGACGCATGCAAACTTTTCCCAGTATCCACAAGGTGGGGTATACCGACTTACCGACTTTGGTATCGCACAGTGTGGTATGCGGAAGGCCAAGAGGAGGGACTGTAGAAATTCTCATACTCTCATGTAGCACCGCGTCGGTGTAGGGGAGATCACTCCTGTCGGACACTCGGGGAAATCGACGTTGACCTGAACAACACATCATAATGTAATGGCGAGTACAGGTTAGTATCCTTAATTTTGTACAACTTTGATTTAAGGAAATATTTTGCGTTTGCCTTTCGTATTAGGGAACAGTTGTCATTGAGTGATTTTTTTCCCGCCACATTCAGCAATATTACGGCTACATCTCGACAGACTGTCAGTGATCGAGTCTGGACCAGGCAAACCGGTGAGTGAAAGCATGAGCACGTCCAGCGCAACAGGGGCGCCATGACACAAATTTAGAAATCACAGCAAGTCCGATCGCCTCATCTATTGTTTTAGTTCACAGACTTCAAGAACAGCGGCTTCTATTGTTGGAATGCGCTTGGTGTTATGATCACTTTAGTGAGTGAGTGAGTGAGTGAGTGAGTGAGTGAGTGAGTGAGTGAGGTGGGTTTGAGACCGTTTTAACAGTATTCCAACAATATCACGGCGGGGGACACCAGGAATGGGCTTCACACATTGTACCCATGTGAGGAATCGAACCCGGGTCTCAAGTGCAACGAGCGAATGCTTTAACCACAACTCTCTATCCAACCGCCCCTTATCACAATATGATAGTGCTCAATAAACACATGCTCATGACATAATCAGAATGGTACAAGCGACCCTGCTTTGCAAAATGTTCTAATATTTGTGGAATATGGCGCTGGTGAACTCCTTACACCTGATCAAGTACATCCAGTTGTAAACGTCTAGACAGATTGTGTAAGTAATTCGCTGTTGAAAATGTCTCCGCTCTCCCTGTTAATTATGAACGTGTATCATAGTATTGCAAGATAAATGTTACTTGAATCACTGTTTGTTGTTTTACGCCGCACTCTGCAATATTCCAGCTATATGACGGCGGTCTGAAAATAATCGAGTCTGGACCAGACAATCCAGTGATTGACATCATGAGCATCGATCCACGCAATTGGAATACGATGACATGCATCAACCAAGTCAGCTAGCCTGACCACCCGATCTCGTTCGCCTCTTACGACAAGCATATTTGCCTTTTACGGCAAGAATGGGTAGCTGAAGACCAATTCTTCCTCGGATCTTCACGGGTCCTTAAATGATTGCATTTGTTTGATGCGACCTCACCTAGGGTCTGATCCACCTCCTCGTGCACCTTCTTCTGGATGTCAGGGTGCATGGCCAGGTACAAGAGCGTCCACAGTAGGGTGTAGCGGGACGTATCAACCCCGGCTATAGAGGATACAGGGTACGTATTGTATGTCAGCATAAACAATATCCACATGACTTCCTTGTTGTATTCAGTGTAAACTGTCACTCTCGCTACCAATCTCAAATTTATGATATTAATATGATCAGTAAGTACTTAAATAAACGTATTTCAGTTACCACCGAGCACGTCAGGTTTATGGGACAGGACAACGTAAAGTTAACTCGACTCTTAGACGATAAACGGTTTAAAGAAACCAACGGGAATGGGCTGGCGATTTGTCTGTTTGTTGTTTAACGCCGCACTCAGCAATATTCCAGCTGTATGACGGCGGTCTGTACATAATCGAGTCTGGACCAGACAATCCAGTGATTGATATCAGCATCGATCCACGCAATTGGGATATGATGACATGCCTCAACCAAGTCAGCGAGACTGACCACCCGATCCCATAAGTCGCCTCTTACGGCAAGAATGGGTTGCTGAAGACCAATTCTGACCCGAATCTTCACGGGTTGGTCTGACTGACAAACCTGGGGTCATAATCGGGGACATTACAGATGCCCTTACCTTCCATAATGTCGCCCATTGTCATGGTCACGTGAGAGTCTGTTATTTGTGACATCACTTCCGGGTCCTCTTCTTCTTGCGCTTCTTCCTGGGCTAATAGCATAGCGTCACAGAAGTCGCGAATGTTATCTGTTAAAAAAGCATAAGATCATTCTGGAAACATGGACATTTTGGCTTTTGAATCGTCGTACATAAGAATAGAAGATGAGGTGAAATTGGGTTTAACGTCGCAGCCAAAATTATTGCACTTACATAGCGACGTGCATGCACGTGTGTGTGTGTGTGCTTGTACTAGTCCTGACTGATGACGATTTATAGTGCTAGCTCACTGAGATACCATACCGCAGTTTAACATGACAACCCCACTCAGACATAGTATACTGACTCCGAGCCGACCAGTCCTTGTTTTAGCCCCTTAATGCCGAGCGCCAGCCAGGGTCACAACAAGTACCATCTTTTAACGCCTTTTGGTATGACGCGGCCGGGGATCGAACCCCGGACCTACCACTCTCCGGGCGGACGCTCGAACAAGAATCGAAAATCAGGATATAACTGCATTGTACCTGTTCTTGTGGTTCTATGCATGACACGTTGGTCAAGCATGAGGTGCCGGTATTTGCCTCACCAAGCAATGTATTGGTACCCGGTAAAAAGAGAGACTGTGAAGTTAACTCTTTTTGCTCCTGCCAGCACCCCTGAAGGCTGTGAAAGATCTGAGAAAGTCTGATTGTAATCTTGCGGTTCATAATTGACCTTATATATTATAACAAATATTTGTGTGACGTTGAACGATGTTCTATTTACAATACTACCCAAAACGTAAATATATATTCCCATTTCCCAAATGCGTGGATCGATGCCCATGATGTCAATCACTGGATTGTCTGGTCCAGATTAGATTATTTACAGACCGCCACCATATGGCTGGAATATTGCTGAGTGTGGCGTTAAAGAACAAACAAACAAAAACAAACACAATGCTTTGCAGGCCATTGTGACGCCACAGGTTACCATGACGACACATTCAAATGATTGTCACCAGAAATGGGCTTCACACTTTGTACCCATGTGGGGAATCGAACCCGGGTCTTCGGCATGGCGAGCGAGCGCTTTAACCACTAGCCTACCCCACCGTCCAAAAATCATCTGGTAAGATTTAACGTCAATATCTAGTACAACGTTGTTTCCAACAACATGATCAAAGAATTCCATGTTTGTATAAACACCAGTTTACGTGCACCAGTGAAAACATTGCCGTTTCCGGTTATCTAATTTGTTTACATATGTCATTGGGGTATGACATACATGTTTTATGTCATAGCCTTATGTCATGGACAAATGTCTAAGTTAAATGATAAATTCAATAAACTATCCGACCAAACATCCGACCATAAACTTTTACAACTGACCAAGTCACTGTTTCTCGACAGATCTAAATGGAGAACGGAGTGAGTGAGTGAGCAGGATTTTTACGCTGCTTTTAGCAATATTCCAGAAATATCACGGCGGGGAACACCAGAAATGGGCTTCACACATTGTACCCATGTGGGGAATCGAACCCGGGCCTTCGGCGAGACGAGCAAACGCTTTAACCACTGGTCTACCACTACGCCCCGGGACCCGTGAAGATCCAGGGTAGTATAGGTCTTCAGCAACCCATGCTTGCCGTAAAAGACGACTATGCTTGTCATAAAAGGCGACAAATTGGATCGGGTGGTCAGGCTTGCTGACTTGTTTGATGCATGTCATCGATCCCAATTGCGTGGATCGTACTCATGATATTATTCACTGGATTGTTTGGTCAAGACTCGATTATTTACAGACCGCTGTCATATAGCTGGAATATTGCTGAGTGCGGCGTAAAACAACAAACCAACCAACCAACCAACTTCTGTATCGTACCCTTTGAGAAGGTCCGCCTATGTTTTTCGATATCCCGCCTGATGTAACCGAAGAACTGATCAGCCAGCTTCATCAACCGCTTCAGCTGCTGCGTGGGGAAGAGGCGGAGAGGCGGGATGACATCCTCGAGGACGCCGCTGCCGAATTCGTGCAGGAAGGCGTCTAGGCCAGATATCATGTCCTTAAAATACGTGTCTTCCAGGTCACACCTGGAATGCAAGATGAGAAGAATTTTGGCGTTGCATTCAGTTTGATCTATTGTTAGTACATAAACTGAGGAACAAACGAAGGTAGGGGGAAATGGGGTTTAACGTCGCGTTCAAGATTATTGCACTGATATAGCGCGCGTGCGTACGTGCGTGTTTGTGAGTGTGTGTTAAAAAGAAAATTTGATTTTAATCTTTTAAAAATTAAAAAAAAAAACATTCCGCATAGTACACAACTGCTAATGGGTATCTTAGACATTTTATCTTTGAAAATCAATATATTTGCTTTTTTCAAGCATATTAGGGGTCACGTGATTGCAAATTATATTCTTATCCTTGTCTTCATAAGAACCATTTTTTTTCATAAACGTACCTAGCCACGGATTATCTTTTATAAAAAAAAACATTTGCGTGAATGGACATAATCAAATTTAATAATTCTTACAATTTTTAATTACATGTACTGATTATAAAAAAACAAACCTCCCTATACTTTCTTTTGCCCCTCAGTTTATTACGCTGTCTTCATGTTGTGAATCACTGGATTGTCTGGTCCAGACTTGATTATGTACAGACCGCCGTCATATAGCTGGAATATTGCTGAGTGCGGCGCTAAACAACAAACCAAACCAACAATATTAAGCTGTCAAGTCTAAATACATGTCGGAATGGTACAGTGGACTCGTTCTTCGCAGATATTTCTCATGATTATGAAATGTATTGTTTATGATTGCATTTTGACAGTGGCTGAACATCTCTATGAAATCCTTGACAGGAATGGTCTAGATTGTCTATAATAAGAGAAGTTGGGATTCCGAGTTAGAAAACGTCGCCAACAACCAATGCTGGTCGTAACCGGCGACCAAATGGATCGGGCCGCCAGGCTCGGTGACCCCACTGTACCATTGTACCCCGAGACCCGTGAAGATTCCGGGGTAGAATAGGTCTTCAGCAACCCATGGCCATACTTGCCGTAAAGGCGACTATGCTTGTCGTAAGAGGCGACTAACGGGATCGGGTGGTCAGGCTCGCTGACTTGGTTGATACATGTCATCGGTCCCAATTGCGTAGATCGATGCTCATGATGTCAATCACTGGATTGTCTGGTCCAGACTCGATTATTTTACAGACCGCCGTCATATAGCTGGAATATTGCTGAGTGCGGCGTTAAACAACAAACAAACAAAAATTGAACCCCCAGGGTTTCGATCGTTGTTCACAATATGAATGACTGGATTGCCTGATCGAGACGTGATTATTTACAGCCACCGTCATAAAGCTGGTACGTTGCTGTGTGTGACGTTAAACAACAAAGATATAAAACCTAGGGGTTCCTTTAAAGCGATGATCGATTTGAAAATGTAATTATTTTATTTAGAATATGATCACGTACTTACGTTTCATTAAAGCACATATTGTTGATGATGTTGAAGACAACTAGAGATATAATATTGTGGGGGTTGAATGGTCCCGTTTGTTGTTTCATCAGCTCGATGCCTTTACTGAGGGATCGCTCCAGGCCAACCTCGAGTCTGCTTCCTGTCATGAAGTGTCTGAAACAGTTTTATCATACTTCGATGTCAGAATGAACGGATCTGATTGGTCCACGTGATCTTGATAAAATACTATATATCCCACCTTGGGGGAAATTAAATTTATCACCCGGAATAAAATCCCTCATACCCCGCCACGAGCAAGACAGGCTGCACGTGGATTTCTGAGAGGAAGAAGCCAAAAGCCTCACTCTTCCCCCCATTCACTGGATTGTCTGGTTCAGATACGATTATTTACAGACGCGCTCACATATAGCTGTCTGTTTTATTGACCCAAGAAACCGATATTGACCGAAGGCCGCTACTAGATGTACACTTGTATTCGTTTGATAGTAGTGAGTGAGTGAGGTTTTTACGCCGCTTTTAGCAATATTCCAGCAATATCACGGCGGGGAACACCAGAAATGGGCTTCACACATTGTACCCATGTCGGGAATCGAACCCGGGTCTTCGGCGTGACGAGCGAACGCTTTAACCACTAGGCTACCCGACCGCCCCTCGTTTGATAGTATGCTAGCATACGTACCTTAAGGCTTTCGTGGCCAACTTTCTGTGCAGTTTCCACGTGGGACTGTAGTTGCCAAGCACAATGTTCCTTCCCCCATCGCTCAAAAGTAAGGCTGATCAGAAACAACATAATATTGATTACCAGCGAGTGCGTAAGTTGTAATAGAAATGTTAATCTAAACCTCTTTGACTTGTATTTTTAAGCGAGTGAGTGAGTATTGTTTTACGCCGCTTTTAGCAATATTCCAGCAAAATCACGGCGGGGGACACCAGAAATGGGCTTTACACATTGTACTCATGTCGGGAATCGAACCCGGGTTTTCGACGTGACGAGCGAACGATTTTACCACTGGGCCACCCGACCGCCCTTTATTTTCAAATGAAAGAGCGTATGTCCCAAATGCTAAACTCAACAAGCGTTCTTTTGTTAGAGCCGTCATATAGCTGGAATTGTGCTGAGTGCGGCGTAAAACAACAAACAAACAAACAAACAACAACATCTTAAGTTAGAAACCTATAGAAACATGCTTGAATATGTATTAAAGATATGAGCATAACTTTTGCATCGTTATAGTAATGAGCCCCTGTAATTCTATCACGTGTCACATGACCAGTACTACTAACGTGAAAAGGAATGGGTATATAATTCACTTTACCAACAGTTAACAATTAAATCATAAAACGTTAGTTAAAAATATCTTCAAATATTACAGACACGAGTAGGACTGTGGTCTCCCAGCAAAGTCGGCCTGTCGTTTGACGAGCGCCTCCATCACAACGTCAATACTGTTAAGGGATACCATCCGTTCAGGGCCTACAGATACAGGTGCAATAAATTAGCTTATCAGTATCTGAAGAAGTACGTTGTGATATATGATTGCTGGAGTACATGTCTTCAACGTGATAGGGCGCAACTCGCTGTTTACTTATCCGAATAACAGGATCGGGTGATCCGGCTCAGTGACCTGGTTGTGAGTGTCATCGTAGCTAAATAATGTAGATCGATGAGCATGTTGTCAATCACTGGATTATCTGGTGATTTTTTACAGACCGCCATCATACAACTGGAATATTGCCGAGTGCGGCGTTAAACAAAGAACAAACAAATAAAAATCATCCGAATATCGACATGATCAAGATTATATGGTTATAAGACGAACTATTGTTTATGCCTTTCGAAATTTATGTTTTGAGTTTTGGTTTGTTGTTTAATGCCGCACTCGCACCCGCAATTTTCCAGCTATATGACGGCGGTCTGTAAATAATCGAGTCTGGACCAGACAATCCAGTGTTCGATATCATAAGCATCGATCCACGCAATTGGGATACGATGACATGCATCAACCAAGTCAGCGAGCCTGACCACCCGATCCCGTTAGTCGCCTTTTACGACAAGCATAATCGCCTTTTACGGCAAGCATGGGTTGTTGAATAGCTATTCTAGCCCGGCTCTTCACGGGCCTCGAAATTTATGTATTTCAATAAGATTGAATGACTGAAAGTCAGGCAGCGTTATTTCAGAAATATCATAGCCAAATGTAAATAACGAGAAAAAACAGTGGTTGATAGCAAGAGCACACATTGAAAACACCCGATCCTCATTTTAGTCCGCATGGATTGCATGGGAGTTTGTCCACACAAGGCTGACTTCTTAAGAGTTTAATTATATAAGGAATAATACGTACTCTAATATACATATGTTCATGACAATGTCGTTTCTAAGGAACTAATATCCATATTACCCATGGTGAGATGAGAATGGTCTTCATGTTCTAAACATGGTGAATTATAAAGCTAATCATTTTAATATCAAAAATGGTGAGGCAATCAATTTAATATGAACAAGATACAAGATAAACATGTCATAGTAATATGAAATATGATGAGGTAATCAAGTTGTACCAAATGAAACGTTCTGCAATATTCCAGCAATATCACGGCGGGGGACACAAGAAATTGGCTTCACACATTGCACCCATGTCGGGAATCGAACCCGGGTTTTCGGCGAACGCTTAAACCACTAGGCTACCCGACCGCCCCCATAGTAGCATTAAACAGTACATACCAGCTGGGGATACGAGTTTCCTAGTTTCTAGGTTTGTCAGCGCCATACCCGTGCTCGTGGGTTTCACCGAAGTGGTGATCAAAGACCTGTATCACTTCGTGTTTTCTTCCCACATTAAGCTGACACGCCGTGGTATCACTAGAATACTGTTAAAAGTGGCGTTGAACCCAACCCACTCACTCACTACATACCAGTTTCTTTTACCAATAAGCCATTTATAAGTTATTCACACTTACAAGAAAAACAAGGTAAGATAAGTTTCATATTGGTATGAAACATAATAACATTAAGTTTGTTTTGTTTTTTTTATCTCCGCCACGAAGTGGAAGAGGGACAAAGGAATGAGCGCCGACCGTCCGTCCGTGAGTGAGTGAGTGAACATGGTTTTACGCCGCTTTAAGCAATATTCCAGCAATATCACGGCTGGGGATACCATAAATGGGCTTCACACATTGTACCCATGTCGGGAATCGAACCCGTGACGAGCGAACGCTTTAACCACTAGGCTACCCGACCTCCCCCGTCCGTCATGTTTCGTTTCCGGAGCAGAACTAAAAAACCATGAGAGATATCTTCACCAAACTTGGCACATAGATAGGTCTAGTGGTGAACGAGTACCTTTTGATAATTTGGGATTTTTTTACAAATATATTGTACGAGTTTCCACGAAAACGACTTTGACTAAGTTTTAAAATGGGGGTAGTGCTCCACACAACCGGACATGACATGTTGGCGGGAGATATGAGTATTTCATGTTTGTTACACATATCCTGAGATTAATTTCTTGTACACATGAAACGTGCTAAGATAAGCGTCTTACCCATATGAAACATGCTAAGATAAGCGTCTTACCCATATGAAACATGCTAAGATAAGCGTCTTACCCATATGAAACATGCTAAGATAAGCGTCTTACCCATATGAAACATGCTAACATAAGCGTCTTACCCATATGAAACATGCTGAGATAAGCGTCTTACCCATATGAAACATGCTAAGATAAGCCTCTTACCCATATGAAACATGCTAAGATAAGCGTCTTACCCATATGAAACATGCTAAGATAAGCGTCTTACCCATATGAAACATGCTAAGATAAGCGTCTTACCCATATGAAACATGCTAACATAAGCGTCTTACCCATATGAAACATGCTGAGATAAGCGTCTTACCCATATGAAACATGCTAAGATAAGCGTCTTACCCATATGAAACATGCTAAGATAAGCGTCTTACCCATATGAAACATTATAACTGGTCCGTACTTCGTCTTCCATTGGTTCATCTTCTCATACATGGTCGTATTTTGGAAATCTAGGAGATAAACGTACATGTATATATACGAATCATTCAGTTAACACCTTGGTCTTTCAACGAAACAGGCAGACTTATTTTTCTGGATGATAAAATCCTGGGAAATTTGCAAAGTACGAAAACACCTAGTTGCTGAAATACTGCCCATGTGACTATTCAATTTCACTCACTCACTCTGACGGTCTCAGTTTAACGTTGAGTGACTGATTGAGTATGGTTTTACGCCGCTTTTGGTAAGATTCCAGCAATATTACGACGGGGGCACAATAAATGGGCTTCACACATTGTACCTATGTAGGGACTCGAACCCGGGTCTTCGGCGTGATGAGCGAACGCTTTAACCACTAGGCTTCCCCCACCGTCCAAGTTCAATGTGGAAGCCAAAGTCGAAACATGGTTTTAAACTTTAAAAATATTAGGTTACCTAGCATATTCCCGAGTAGGGGCCAGCCTCGGGGCCCCGGGGGTAGCTTGTACCTCTTCTTGGTGACCAGATAGACCGCCACCCCCACGGCCGTCCCTACCAGAACAGCCCGGCCGGTGAGGCTCCCTGGTAGCCACTTCTCACACCGCCTGGCCAGGTCAAGGAGCTGGTCCGAGTAGGGCAGTCTCTGCAGCAACTCCACGTCCAGCATGGTCAACCTGTGGGTCAGGCTGAATAAAATAACCATCTTTGTCAAATGCAGGTTTATGCGACATTAAACTGAAGAATATGATAATAAAACTAGTTTACACCACACTGTATGCTACACCGTATAAAGGACCCCCGACACAGACTGAGTAAAGGACCCCTGACACAGACTGAGTAAAGGACCCCTGACACAGTATGACTAAAGGATCTCTGACACAGATTGACTAAAGGACCCCCGACACACACTGACTAAAGGACCCCCGACACAGACTGACTAAAGGACCCCCGATATAGATTTGACTAAAGGACCCCCGACACAGACTGACTAAAGGACCTCCGACACAGACTGACTAAAGGACCCCCGACACAGATTGACTAAAGGACCCCCGACACAGATTGACTAAAGGACCCCCGACACAGACTGACTTAAGGATCTCCGACACAGACTGACTAAAGGACTCCCGACACAGATTGACTAAAGGACCCCCGACACACACTGACTAAAGGACCCCCGACACAGACTGACTAAAGGACTCCCGACACAGACTGACTAAAGGACTCCCGACACAGACAGACTAAAGGACCTCCGATATAGATTTGACTAAAGGACCCCCGACACAGACTGACTAAAGGACCTCCGACATAGACTGACTAAAGGACCCCCGACACAGATTGAATAAAGGACCCCCGACACAGACTGACTTAAGGATCTCCGACACAGACTGACTAAAGGACCCCCGACACAGACTGACTTAAGGATCTCCGACACAGACTGACTAAAGGACTCCCGACACAGATTGACTAAAGGACCCCCGACACAGACTGACTAAAGGACCCTCGACACAGACTGACTAAAGACCCCCGACACAGACTGACTAAAGGACCTCCGACACAGACTGACTAAAGGACCCCCGACACAGACTGACTAAAGACCCCCGACACAGACTGACTAAAGGCCCCCCGACACAGACTGACTAAAGACCCCCGACACAGACTGACTAAAGACCCCCGACACAGACTGACTAAAGGCCCCCCGACACAGACTGACTAAAGACCCCCGACACAGACTGACTAAAGACCCCCGACACAGACTGACTAAAGGACCCCCGACACAGACTGACTAAAGGACCCCCGACACAGACTGACTAAAGGACCCCCGACACAGACTGACTAAAGGACCCCCGACACAGACTGACTAAAGGACTCCCGATAAAGACTGACTAAAGGACCTCCGACACAGACTGACTAAAGGACTCCCGATAAAGACTGACTAAAGGACTCCCGACACAGACTGACTAAAGGACCCTCGATATAGACTGACTAAAGGACCCCCGACACAGACTGACTAAAGGACCCCCGACACAGACTGACTAAAGGACTCCCGATAAAGACTGACTAAAGGACCTCCGACACAGACTGACTAAAGGACTCCCGATAAAGACTGACTAAAGGACTCCCGACACAGACTGACTAAAGGACCCCCGACACAGACTGACTAAAGACCCCCGACACAGACTGACTAAAGGACCCCCGATATAGACTGACTAAAGGACCTCCGACACAGTCTGACTAAAGGACTCCCGACACAGACTGACTAAAGGACCCCCGACACAGACTGACTAAAGGACTCCCGATAACGACTGACTAAAGGACCTCCGACACAGACTGACTAAAGGACTCCCGATAAAGACTGACTAAAGGATCTCCGACACAGATTGACTAAAGGACCCCCGACACAGACTGACTACAGGACTCCGGACACAGACTGACTAAAGGACCCCCGACACAGACTGACTAAAGGCCCCCCGACACAGACTGACTAAAGACCCCCGACACAGACTGACTAAAGGACTCCCGACACAGACTGACTAAAGACCCCCGACACAGACTGACAAAAGGACTCCCGACACAGACTGACTAAAGACTCCCGACACAGACTGACTAAAGACCCCCGACACAGACTGACTAAAGACCCCCGACATAGACTGACTAAAGACTCCCGACACAGACTGACTAAAGACTCCCGACACAGACTGACTAAAGGACTCCCGACATAGACTGACTAAAGGACCCTCGACACAGACTGACTAAAGGACTCCCGACACAGACTGACTAAAGGACTCCCGACATAGACTGACTAAAGGACCCCCGACACAGACTGACTAAAGGACTCCCGACACAGACTGACTAAAGGACCCCCGACACAGACTGACTAAAGGACTCCCGACATAGACTGACCAAAGGACCCCCGACACAGACTGACTAAAGGACCCCCGACACAGACTGACTAAAGGACTCCCGACATAGACTGACTAAAGGACCCCCGACACAGACTGACTAAAGGACCCCCGACACAGACTGACTATAGGACTCCCGACATAGACTGACTAAAGGACCCCCGACACAGACTGACTCAAGGACTCCCGACACAGACTGACTAAAGGACCCCCGACACAGACTGACTAAAGGACCCTCGACACAGACTGACTAAAGGACTCCCGACACAGACTGACTAAAGGACCCCCGACACAGACTGACTAAAGGACTCCCGACACAGACTGACTAAAGGACTCCCGACACAGACTGACTAAAGGACCCCCGACACAGGACAGTTGGAGCTGAGTGATGGACACACAAGCCTACCTGCAGACATCCAGGAACGAACTGCTACCATGTGATGTGTTTGCGAGATTATGTCCCCATGTTTCAAGTACTGGCGCAATGATGTTGTGCAATACAAAGTCGTTCAAAGCCCGAGTTGTATCATTTGGATCAGTTGTAGCAGTAGTAGCGAGATAAGTGTCAGTCACTGATTTGTCATTGATGTTCTCAGCCTGAAACGTCTTGATACTCGTTATCTGACCCTGTTTACCATTGACCTTGACCTTGACCTGTACGTCCACCTTTCTACCCAAACTACAGATAAATACTTTGTTTTACTGTGGAGACAAATATCACATCTTTATGGGTTGAATCGGTTAATTCTGTGCCAGTGGACGTGGGGTATTTAAAGACAACAACTCCAACTCAACATTTACGCGTTCATCTTCAGCGACCCGTGAAGATCCGGGGTAGAATAGGTCTTCAGCAACCCATGCTTGCCGTAAAAGGCGACTATGCTTGTCGTAAAAGGTGACTAACGGGATCGGGTGGTCAGGCTCGCTGACTTGGTTGATGCATGTCATCGATCCCAATTGCGTGGATCGATGCTCATGATATTAATCACTGGATTGTCTGGTCCAGACTCGATTATTTACAGACCGCCGTCATATAGCTGGAATATTGCTGAGTGCGGCGTTAAACAACAAACCAACCAACCAATCATCTTCAGCATATATTCCTAATTACCCCGGGTCTTCACGGGCCCTAACGCCCAATGGAATCGGTTTCAGTAGAAAATCGAGACTGATTTTTTTCTGGCTTTGACGGGGTTTTTCCACCTGCACATGAACGTAGCAAATGCATTCTTTATTTAAAATTACAATGAAAAATATTCGGCACATAGAAGTTTATCTATCGTGGCAGTCAACTCGTGTTGACGACGGCACAAACAAACAATAAAAATACATCGATGCTAAGCTCGCCCATTGCGTGAAGATTACCGTTTGTTTGTTTGTTTGTTGTTTAACGCCGCATTTAGCAATATTCCAGTTGTATGACGGCGGTCTGTAAATAATCGAGTCTGGACCAGGCAATCCAGTGATTGACATCATGAGCATCGATCTACGTCATTGGGATACGATGATATGCATCAACCAAGTCAGCGAGCTTGACCACCCGATCCCGTTAGTCGCCTGTTACGTCTTTCTAGTGAGTTGGATTTAACGCCGCTTTAAACACTATTCAAGTTATATCGCGGCGTGTCAGCTTAATGTGGGAGCAAAGCCCGAAGTGATGCAGGTCTCAGACGTTTACCACTTCGGTGAAACCCACGAGCACGGGTATTGTGCTGGCAAACCTAGAAACATAATCGGGGCGAACCGGGATTCGAACCCACAATCATAGGGGGCCCTAGGGACGCAATTCTGCACAGCGAATCGCGGCACCTTAGACGACTGGTCATGGGTTGCTGAAGATCTATTCTAACCCGGATCTGCACGGGGCGTAGATAATTAAAACCAATGAGTTTCATTGATGGTCAAACATTGAAAAAATTGTTGCAGCACTGTACCTTGTGGACGCACTCGCACTCCGTACAGAGTGTACCTTGTGGACGCACTCGCACTCCGCACAGAGCTCAAGCTACATGAGGCACAGCTGTAGAACACAGAAAGGAGACCGCGCCAGTTCATCTTGACCTAGATCCAGGACAGCCGAGGCTCCAGACGGGGAGGCGTATTATACGTGTAATAAATTTGATCAAGTGATGTGAGGTGAAAATGGGTTTTACGTCGCGTCCAAGATTGTTGCCATTATGTGTGTGTCTGGCTGCTTGTACTAGTCCGGACCGATGCCGATTTATAGTGCCAGCTCACTGAGATACCATGCCGCAGTTTAACATGAATACCCAACTCAGACACAGTAGACTGACTCCGAGCCGACCAGTCCTTGTTTTAGCCCCTTAGTGCCGAGCGCCAGACAGGGTCACAACAAGTACCATGTTTTAACATCTTTCGGTATGACGCGTCTGGGGATCGAACCCCGGACCTTCCGCTCTCCTGGCGGACGCTCTACCACTAGACCACGAAGGCGGTATTCGTACATTAGAATCTAATTTTAGCATAAATAGTCTGTGATTATGGAAAGGGATTTGTCTGATTCATTGGAAAACAAAATCACCAGTGGATCTATTACGAATTGATGCCAAATGCAAGGAAGATATCAGTATGACATAAAGCGTACACATCAGTCTCATTTTGAAAGCGTATGCATGATAATAAGATTAAGATGTTGGCGGTTATTCTTTGGCCAAAATATACCACCTGTTTCTGCTTGTCCGCACTGTTGATTAGTCCCCGCTGTATTCCGCGATTGCGGAATATTTTGCAGAAAATTCCTTTATGTGCAGAATTTTGCATTTTTCTGCCGCAGAATTCATCAAATATTCTCCAGAACTTTAACATGTGAGTTGACAGCTGTTAAAAAGAGTAAACGGGTTTTTTAAATGAACGGTCGATATTTGAATTGTGCAGTGTATTAATTAAATCATTCCAAATACGTATTTGAACAATCATTCAAGGACCCGTGAAAATCCGGGGTAGAATTGGTCTTCAGCAACCCATTCTTGCCGTAAAAGGCGACTATGCTTGTCGTAAGAGGCCACGAACGGGATCGGGTGGTCAGGCTCGCTGACTTGGTTGATGCATGTCATCGATCCCAATTGCGTGGATCGATGCTCTTGATGTCAATCACTGGATTGTCTGGTCCAGATTCGATTATTTACAGACCGCCGTCACATAGTGCGGTGTTAAACAAATAACAAACAAACATCAAGATGAAGCTGGAAGCAGAAGTTGAGGAGGCGGTTGTGGACGTAGCCAGACGGGCAATCACCCGAGACAGACAAAGGCAGTAAAATATCGGTATTTACATATATTAATTCCTCGAACTGACAGATACCATCCTACACACTAACAGGAAGAGGCATATTAAAAACGTATGAGGATCTTGGTGATAAATAGTAATATCATAATACTGTCTGACATTTGTAAAGTGCAGCTCATATCGATGTTTTTGTTTGTTTGTTGTTTAACGCCGCACTCAGCAATATTCTAGCTATATGACGGCGGTCTGTAAATAATCGAGTCTGGACCAGACAATCCTGTGATTAATATCATAAGCATCGATCCACGCAATTGGGACCGATGACATGCATCAACCAAGTCAGCAAGCCTGACCACCCGATCCCGTTAGTCGCCTTTTACGACAAGCATAGTCACCTTTTACGGCAAGCATGGGTTGCTGAAGACCTATTCTACCACGGAATCTTCACGGGTCGAATGAATGAATGAACTCTGTTGCCTTTGTTTTTATTACACTTGTGAAGAATATAAATTAAAAATACTGCAAATCGATCTCTAAAACTTAATAGATGCTTAAATAGCACTAAATACACAATGCCTTCATTTCAATTACCAAATTATCTGCATTCAATCAATAAGAGACACCGCGACAAGTATCCCTTAATGATATGTCTGATGGCAGTGTATTGTATTGTTGAACAATGATTGTAACAGTGTTGCATTGTTTCTGTTGAGATTCGATAGGCGCTCATTACATTGTATTTGGACAATGATTTGTCGCCAGGAATTTAGTCCCATTTGATGTAAGCAATCGTCAGATGCAAGAGTGGATTTGTAACTTCAGGAAACGGCGGGACTCGCCTAGCATTGTATATAGCCTTACATCACTGTGTAGAAAGTTCTGGAAACTAGTTACTGTCATCAAATTATATATTGTCATTGAATATTGTACTACCACTCTATTGTGTACTGTAATTGTAATTGTGGACTAAAATCACAAAGATGGAAGCTTTTCAGTAAACGTCAATACTTTAACAGAATGTTCAAACGTTCTTCGTGGCGACCGACGCGTTGCTCTCTTGTCTCCCTAATGAGTCATGTGTGTCTGTATTGTACAGACGGGGCAACGTCGATGGTTTCAACTGTATGGTGTGTTGTATTATGACCCTGCAAGATGGATACCGTGGCAAATCATCGAAAGAGCCCAACTGTCAACAGTGAGTGAGTGAGTGAGTTTGCATTTAACGTCACATCGGCAATATTTCAGCCATATAGTGACGAGATCGATTTATACATTAATAATAAATACATTTTGACTATATAAAAACCTGTCGACAAAAGACACTAAAACAAACTAGACTATCACAGATATGAATATAAAACTAGCATGGAACTGTAATGAGTGAATAATATTATGGTTTTACGCCGCTTTTAGCAATATTCCAGCAATATCACGGCGGGGGACACCAGAAATGGGCTTCACACATTGTACCCATGTCGGGAATCGAACCCGGGTCTTCGGCGTCACGAGCGAACGCTTTAACCACTAGGCTACCCGACCGCCCCTCATGGAACTGTAAAAAGATGTAACAATACACAAGATATGAAAAAACCGGGGTATTGATCGCCAACCACTGAAGATAGATCACCATACTGGGGACCATGGGGACTTACTGTACCTTTGCTACCTGCACTGTCAACAGAAGCCTGACCGCTGTGATATCTTAAAAGCTTTAAAGCTAACATAACGCCATATCTTTTTCTTGCTCCAAAATTTTCTTTTGGTAATACAAGAGAATACATGATGAGTTTACAGTATCAAAGATCCCCAATGTCAGTGGCACTAGTTGTCCCACATGTTAACTATTATCAGTTTAATGATCAGTTTGCATCTTACGCCCCATGGGATTTGTTTCGTCAAATATCCGATTGATTATTCTGTTAAGTCGACGCTTTGTATTGATTATACTTGTAAAAAACTGCAAATAGATCTCTAAATCTTAAAGACACTTCAATACATATGGCTTAACAATACACAGACAAGCACCAGATAAACCACATCTCCTTTTCAATACATTCCCATCACTTTAATCTGCATTGAATCCATAAGTGAAACCACGACACGTGCACGTCTCCCTTGGTGATTGCACAAACATATGTTCATATTGTAAATATTTACCTAAAGTGTATTCAGTTTGAACAATTCATTAGTTAATGAGCGCGAAAAAACACTCTTGTCTCCTCAGATAATATAATACCTTTTAAGTACATTCTCATATTCATTTGCATTGAATCGATAAGTACATCAGCGACATCTGTACATATGCCTTGAATAGGTCTTTAGATGACAGTGACTTCAGTTGTTGATGAGTGCGAGAAAGATGCTGGTAGCTCTGATAATCCTTCTAACGGGTTCCTACACATCAGCCTATATTGGAACTGGACGAGGAACTAAAAGCACAAATATGGCAGACGTTTTAGTAACTATGAATATCCTAATTGAATTTTCAAACGTACTTAGTGGCGTCCGATGCGTTGATCTCTGTCTCCAGAATGAGGCGTGTGTGTCTGTATTCTACAGACGGCAACACCGGCGGTGTCAGCTCCACGACGTGTTGTTCATGTCGCCGCAGGACGGAGAACAGGAGACGGGTACAGTGTACTACAGCGTCACAACAGGTGAGGATATATTCATTATTTCATTGAGGTGTGGGCGAAAATACAACATGTACTTTATTGAATCCAGAGCAACATTGATGGTATGAACTATGCTATGAGTGAGGGAGTGAGTTCCTATATAACGTCACATCGGCAATATTTCAGCCATATCGTGACGAGACAAAATTTGACCTTCATAATATATATGTAAACTGTATAAAGTCCTGTAGATGAAGGACAACAAGGAGATTATCACAGACATATGTTTAATACTAGTATATAACCATAAAATATGACTATTCATAACATTACAACAGATCGAATTGGGCTTTCAAAGTTGGCTATATGCATGGACCCCAGCAGAATTTATACCATCCCTTTAATAGCTGGTGATTATTGACAGGGTTTAGCCGGAGATTTAAAACATACAAATATTCTACGAAAAAAACACTGGTAGACATAAAAATACTTTGATTTATGTGGGCTTACATACCCTTTCAGAGGGACTATAATTTTAATAATACTTCAACCCCCTTCGAGGATATTGCCACTAACTATCTCAGTTAAAATTATATAATACCAATTTATAAAATACATTACTTTCTACATCAAAATTTATTAAATAATTCTATTTCCTTTATAAAAACGATAATTAAATGAGCATGTATTTCATTAAAAAGATCCTTTATAGATGACACTTCAATACAGTCAAACAGGACATGCTTGTCAGTGATATTTTCAGCACAAGGGATACAAAATGGAGGATCCTCACCTTTCAATAAATATTCTTGTGTGTACCTGCTATGGCCAATACGACATCGTCGCATTATGACCTCTTCAAATCTGGACTGTCAACCCAAGTAGGTATAACCGATAGTTGGTTGGTAACATCTAATAACTGGCTTATAATCATTGTATGGGATCAGAAGTGGTGTCACAGATTTGTTGAGTGCTGCTTTTGCAGCAGCATCGGCCATTGTGTCACCAATGATTCCAACATGGCTCGGAAACCAGCATAATACGATGTCGTATTGGCTCGTGGCAAGATCATTATGTAATTCAGCGATTTGGAGTATAAGTGTATGCTTATATGACATATACTGAACAACAAAAGTTCCTGAGACATTGAATAAGTTTTAATGCAAAGTTATGATTTTAACCAAATCTGAAATAATTTCGGTTTGCATCAGATGAAAGACTCCTATAAGTGTTCAAATGGTTTAATTTGCCATACTGACAGAAAATGCGTGCATTTCATAAAAAAACATGAACTTGCCAAAATGTCAATTTACAAATCAATAGCGTGTGTATCCACCTCTGGTTGCGGTGTACATCTTCGTCTCATGGAATGGACCAGGCGTGGCACAAAGTCCTGTGGGATAGATGAAAAATCAATACAGTCAAACAGGACATGCTTGTCAGTGATATTTTCAGCACAAGGGATACAAAATGGAGGATCCTCACCTTTCAGTAAATATTCTTGTGTGTACCTGCTATGGCCAATACGACATCGTCGCATTATGACCTCTTCAAATCTGGACTGTCAACCCAAGTAGGTATAACCGATAGTTGGTTGGTAACATCTAATAACTGGCTTATAATCATTGTATGGGATCAGAAGTGGTGTCACAGATTTGTTGAGTGCTGTTTTTGCAGCAGCATCGGCCATTGTGTCACCAATGATTCCAACATGGCTCGGAAACCAGCATAATACGATGTCGTATTGGCTCGTGGCAAGATCATTATGTAATTCAGCGATTTGGAGTATAAGTGTATGCTTATATGACATATACTGAACAACAAAAGTTCCTGAGACATTGAATAAGTTTTAATGCAAAGTTATGATTTTAACCAAATCTGAAATAATTTCGGTTTGCATCAGATGAAAGACTCCTATAAGTGTTCAAATGGTTTAATTTGCCATACTGACAGAAAATGCGTGCATTTCATAAAAAAAACATGAACTTGCCAAAATGTCAATTTACAAATCAATAGCGTGTGTATCCACCTCTGGTTGCGGTGCACATCTTCGTCTCATGGAATGGACCAGGCGTGGCACAAAGTCCTGTGGGATATCTGTCCATATCTTCTAGGCATGTTTCGAAGTTCCTGGAGTGTCTGTGGAACACGTGGTTGACGTCGAAGGCGCCGAACCATCTCATCCCACATGTGCTCGATTGGTGAGAGATCAGGGGAGCGAGCCGGCCAAGGGATGACATTCACGTTGTTCTGAAGAGAATCCTGAACAAGTCGAGCAATATGAGGCCGGGCTTTGTCATGATGAAAGGTAATGCTTGGGCCATGACGATGCAAAAACGGTAGAACAACACGGCAGATGATCTCGTCGCAATAGCGCCGTCCATTTCCCTCTACCACTATCAAACGGGTCCCCTGTCTTGCGGGAATCCTGGTGTTTCTGTGGACATTAAATTGTCTTGCAACATGACATTAACTGGATCCTGCTTCAAGCATACCAATGGCTCCCAGAGGCTCATTTTCGGACAGGCGTGGCATTTCGTAATGTTGAATAATTGCGTAATTTTGTCGTATTTCTGAGTGGTTGTTGTCAGCACGATGCTAAACAATGCATATGGAATATGCGTTAACGGACATGTTTTTATACCCATTCTTGGGTAGTGAAATGCATGGGGCTTGTATAAAAGTCAACTTTTGCATGGAATGGATGCTTTTATATGGCAGTTGCGTTTATGTGACTTGATTCCATACATGTGCTACAATATTGAAAAAAAACAACTTTACTTGTTTGAAAAATACACTAAAATATTGGTGTCACAGGAACTTCTGTTGTTGAGCATACATTCCCATACAATAACATGCCAGAAGTTCGGACATGGTGTTAACACTTGCCCCCGTGTAGAAAGAGCAACTGGAAATAAACAAAATAAAATTCAAAAGAAACATTAGTTTTGCAGATGCAAAAAAACTTGTCCAAACCACTGAACCAAAAGAATCCTACGCTTCCATCACCAGAACACCCCCTGAATCACACACACACACACACACTAAAGTAACCAATCCGCCAGTCACCATATCCTCAATTACTTGTCAAACCAATTTGACATGTGTAAAAACGGAACAGTCCACACAAACTGAAGATTCACTTCCAAACACATCTCCAATTCAGCCTGAGTCATCTTGCGATCAGGATTCAACAAAGGAACAATCGTCACCTCCGTAAGCTTTACAACATATTTCTCATACAAATGTAAAACAAAGTGTTAAAAGCAAACTGAAACCTAGACCTTCAAAGACCTATCAAAGTGGCAGAGTCCCAAAGGGATCAGAAAATCCAATCAAGATATTCAATAAGTTTGGATCACTTGAAGACATGGATGGGTCTGACAATGACTCTGAATGGTGAAGATTATAATGAAGTTTTTTTCCATTCATGAGCTAAATACTGCCTTGGGACAAGCTCATGACACTGCTACAGGTGCTGATAATATCCACTATCAGTTACTTAAACATTTACCCAACTCCTGTATAGAAACACTATTAAATATATTTGATAATATATGGACAATTGGCAATTTCCCTTCGTCATGGCGGAATGCTGTTATTATTCCAATACGAAAACCTGCCCCGGATCACATTGATCCTTAAAATAAGAGACCAATATTGCTTACTAGCTGTGTTTGTAAGACCATGGAAAGAATGGTCAATAATAGATTATTGATATGGTACTTAGAAACAAATAATCTTAAAACAAATATTCAATGCGGTTTTACGAAAAATAGAAGTACTATTGACCATTTGGTTAGATTAGAATCATTTGTTAAAAATGCTATCATCAATAAACAACACACCTTATCTATATTTTCCGATTTAGTAAACGTATGATACGACCTGGAAACATGGAATTTTAAAGGATCTTAATGAGATGGGGTTGAGAGGTCGTTTGCCTAATTTTATATCACAGTTTTTAACAGATAGGCATTTCCAGGTACGTGATGGATCCATCTTGTCTGAATTCGATCAAGATCAAGGTGTGCCAATAGGTAGCATATTATCAGTTACGTTGTTTAGCATAAAGATTAATAGTTTAGCTAAGGTTTTGAATGACTCTGTTGATGGGTCGTTATTTGTTGACGATCTGAATGTATCATGTCAAGGTAAAAATATGCGCACGATTAAAAGACAGTTGCAACTTTGTTTGAATAAAGTCAATGTTTGGGCAGAGCAGAACGGCTTTAAGTTTTCTAAATCTAAAACTAATTGTATCCATTTCCAATCTCATTCAAAATCAGATCTTAGTTCTTGCTATCCCTAAACAAATATTTGATGACATCCCATTACGGGTCACGTCAGATCGACCAATGGAATGACCCATCAGAAGGCAGCGTTCTCGTGCTTTACGGCACTAATTTCAAATTGGCGGCTTTGCTTCGAAACATATTTTGACAAATTCTTGATTACAAATTTGAAACCTGAACAAAAGAACATTCTTGAATGGCTAACAGATGGTCTAGATTGTATGCATTCAGTCGTTAAAACCGTAGCTATCGTTCGGAATACTCCCGTGTTGAGGTTTTCGAGGTTGTATGATTAGAAATCACATTCTGACTGTCACTTTCACAATCTGGTAAGCGACGCTCTGATTGGTCAGATGAAAGGGCGTTCTGACGTGACCCCTCATGGGATGTCTTCAGATCTTTGTTTAGCGGTAGCGAGAACTAAGGTCTGATTTTGATGAGATTGATCCATTTCTGTCGAAAATATAAACCACATAGTGAACCAGAATTACATCTGGCTGGAACTCCAATTAAAGTAGTAAAAGAAGCTACATTTTTTGGAATAATTTTTTATCATCACCTTACTTTCTTACCACATATTAAAAATATTAAATATTGAAAGCTAAATGTCAGAAGGCACTAGATTTACTAAATGTCGTTTCTAATTCCAAGTGGGGAGGAGATCAGACGACCCTCCTTCACTAATATAGATCATTTGTCCGTTCTAAACTCGACTATGGCTCCATCATCTATGGTGGAGCCTGTAAAGCAATCTTAAACTTTTAGATTCCATCCACCATCAAGGTCTAAGACTGTCTTGGATCTTTTAGAACATCTCCTAATGACAGTTTGAGGCTGAAGAACCTTCATTTGAACAGCGCTGCATAAAACTATCTTTACAATACATAACTAAATTATATTCAAATAAGTCTAATCCAGCTTACCACTGCGTTTTTAATCCTCTTTATGAGGATCTTTTCAATAAAAAAGTCATCCCTTATTCCACCACTTGGAATCAGAATTAAACCTTTCATTTCTGCTGCCAAAATTTAACTTGAAAATATATCTCCTTTCCGCCTGCTTTCTTCTCCTCATTGGCAATTGGTTAAGCTACAGGTGGATCTTACATTATCTAAACTAAACAAATCTGACACTAATCAACTACAGTATCAACAAGAATACAATAAGTTAAGAAGCGAATATAACACTTACAAATAAATACTTACAGATGGATCCAAGGATGGAGGCGCTGTTGCCAGCGCCACCATTATTGGATCCAGAACTATATCAACTAGATAAACAGATGACTCTTCAATTTTACAGCAGAATCAATGGCCATATTAGCTGCTCTAAACTATATCAATAGCCAGTCTAAACATAAGGAATTTATTATTTTTTCAGACTCGTTGTTCTGTCTTCAAGCAATAACAAATTTGTCGTGTCAGCATCCAATTTTACTTGAAATAATCGAATTACACAATAATCTTGCAACTGGCCAATACAACATCGTCTTATGTTGGTTACCCAGCCATGTTGAGATCGTTGGTAACACTTTGGCTGATGCTGATGCTAAGGCAGCACTCAAGAAATCTGTGACACCACTTCTTATACCATACAGTGATTATAAACCTGTCATTAGATGTTACATCAGAGATCTAATGCAGAAGAAGTGGGACACCCAAATGGGTATAAAAAAATTACATGCAATAAAAGCAAATATTGGTTATACCTACTTGGGTTGTCCGTCCAGATTTTGAAGAGCTATGAAGATTTTGAGTCTGTGTCTGTGTGCACATTCAACAGCTACGAAGGCGTGTGACATGTTTTACTACTCTGCAGTTACTTTCAATGCCCTTGGATTGCAAATGGGTTTAATTTAAATGGATTGCCATCAGCAGATGCAATGACTATAAACCGAGGCCAAGAAACAGTATTTGGAGCGGCAGCTTCATCGTCAGACGAAATGCAGTCAATGTGTCTGCGTTCGTTATTCTTTGATGAACCAGATTGTGTTTGTAGAGACATGGTGTAATAATAAAATTCAACACCCCTACTCCCAACCCGCCAAGGAGTGACAAGTACAATGTTGCCAGTCTGCAAACATCAGGGTTACAAAGGTGTCATACTCCAGAAATGATATCTCAAAGATGATTTAAGCAATGATATCTTAAAGAAAAAAGGGCAGGCTGGTTCGGCCCATGAGGCAGTTCCTAAGAGCACAGAATTCAGAGGTCTTTATAACCAGATTAGCCCATGAGCCACCACCTTCTAGGCATAGGACTCTTGGCAAAATTTATAACATCAAAATTATTTTTTTTGCATATTGCAAATATCATTGTTATGATGAACATGTTTTGGAAATCAAACTTCCATGCACAGGGTAAGGCGTGACCAGCTGATCGATAGAATCGGACCCATTCTACCACCCGTCTAGGTGAAGTAAGGAACACTGGTTGCTGGCTCCAGTGCCCTCAACCACCAGAATACCGTCCTCAACCGACACAGGGGCGCAACCCATGGCAAACAGGTTGCCCAATTTGGTCGCCTTTTATGACCAGCAGTGGGATGTTATGGACAAATTCTGCCCCAGGTCCACTCAGGGGAAGAGCTATTAGCGTTACCCAGCACTCACCATGGGGAGGTTGCTCTTCACGCGTGGTGAACTATGCTGTGACGTCCAGCAATGCCATAGCAATATACATTCTTTAGGTATATGTCCTGTTAAATCAGTCTGTTTGACAAAAAACGTGCTTGCTAAAATTTGCTTCATTCATGTGACCTTCCTTCGTAATAGGGATCCATCGTCTTAGAAATCGTCTTATCAATCAGTCTGAAATGTTCGTGCCCAGTCAGTGCCATAACGTTGTGTTCACTGTGGGCTACACTTAATAAATGGCAGACAGTACTATCATACTATTATATTTGTAGGGGCGGTCGGGTAGCCTAGTGGTTAAAGCGTTCGCTCGTCACGCCGAAGTCCCGGGTTCGATTCCCGACATGGGTACAATATGTGAAGCCCATTTCTGGTGTCCCCCGCCGTGATATTGCTGGAATATTGCTAAAAGCGGCGTAAAACCATACTCACTCACTATTATATTTTTACTTATCATCAATACAGTTGTGATACATATCTGTTTCCTAAAACGTTTTTGACATTCTGTAACCAGTCACGATGGTATCATATTTCCAGGATTCGCTTTCTTACATAACGATGATCAGTGCCCTTGTCTGTCTCAGGTGATTGTCCATCTGGCTACGTCCACAACCGCCTCCTCAACTTCTGTTACCAGCTTCATCCTGAGACGATCTTGTATGACGATGGCCTAGCTATCTGTAAATCCAGAGGAGAACACCTTGTTGTCATTGACAGTGAGGACAAGCAGAACCACTTAGTCAAGCAGATCACCTCGTCATCAGGTGTGTATATTTTACTCATACTGTTGTATGCACGTTTACACAAAGACTTCTATCAGACTGATATACACTATAAAAAGAAACGCATAGGTGTTTTGAGAATTCCAATTAGAATTTTTTCCCAGCAATCGTAATAAACACAATGCTTATGTTTGATACCTGTTAATCATGTCATGTTTGTTGTGCATTGCGCGCAAACACATCTCAAAATGGTTTTTGTTGTAAACGTTTATCAGCAAAAATACAAAGGATGCACAGAAATTGCTTTCAGAAAAAGTCTTCAGCACAATGCACATGCAAACAAGAGTAGAGACACTGACTATAAAAGACCGTACAAAATTCATCAGTTCATTCATTACAAATTTTCTGACGTGAACGGAAATCGAAAAATGACAAGATTGACTGCAGCTGACCACAATCGCCATTGGACGTTTGGAAGCAGGGGAGTCCCAGTCTGCCGTTGCAAGACACTTCAGCGTTCACCAAAGCACAATATCTCGACTATGGGATCGATATACCCGCACTCATTCGACTCAAGATCATCCCAGAAGTGGAAGACCAAGAGTGACCACCCCTGCTCAGGATCGGTACATCCGGTTGCATCACCTTCGGAATCGATATGCAACAGCAATGGACACTGCTGAACAAGTGCCTGGTATACGAAGAATTTCTGACCAAACAATCAGAAATCGACTGAGGGAAGTGGGAATTCGAGCGAGACGACCTAAAGTTGGACCTGTCTTGCGACCTCTACACCATCAACAACGTGTCCGGTGGTGCAACAGAGTGCAGGCATGGGATCTCAGGAACTGGCGACGCGTTTGGTTCAGCGATGAGTCACGTTTTCTTCTTCAATGACGGGATGGAAGACAACGTGAATACCAACGTCGACATGAACGTTTTGCGCCGAACTGCGTTCGACAGGTGGACCGATTTGGTGGAGGGAGTGTCATGGTGTGGGGAGTCATATCCTCAAGGTTGGACCACAGTTAGTGGTTGTCCAGGGCAATCTTACAGCAAACCGATTCTTCGTCCTCACCTCCTCCCAACTTTGGACGCCAACATGACAACGCTCGACCCAACACAGCACGTGCAACAGTTAAATTCCTTGTTAATGAGAACATCAATGTCCTTCCATGGCCGTCCAAATCGCCTGATCCCAACACGATTGAACATTTGTTTGACGAACTTGATCGACGCGTCCGTCAACGTCACCAGCGTCCCCACACACTGGCACAAATCGCCAACGCCTTACAGGATGAATGGCGAAGAATTCCCCACGAAAACATCCGACGACTTGTGCAATCTGTGCCAAGGAGGTGTCGAGCAGTGACGGTTGCAAGAGGTGGGGTGGCCAGGTACTGACCATGACGCCCCCTTGTGGCTACACATGTGCAATGACTGAAATGAATTAATGCTGACAATGACGACAATGCTTTTGTCGCTCACTGTGTCTAATTTCATTCTGTGTAGATACGACCGCCTCCTTGGTCTAGTGATAGTGCGTCCGCCCAGAGAGCGGAAGGTCTGGGATTCGATCCCTGACGGCGTCATACCAAAAGACGTTAAAAGATGGTACTTGTTGTTACCCTGTCTGGCGTTCAGCATAAAGGGGCTAAAACAAGGACTGGTCGGCTCGGAGTCAGTATACTGTGTCTGAGTGGGGTATTCATGTTAAACTGCAGCATGGTATCTCAGTGGGCTAGCACTATAAATCGGCATCAGTCTAGTACAAGCAGGCACACACACGCACAGATACACACAGACACATACAGACACACACAGACACACGTGCAATAATCTTTGACGCGACGTTAAAACCCATTTCAGCTCACCTCACCTGTGTAGATACTTTTACATCCGCTTAATAAGTATCCTTATTTTGTAACTATTTATATCGTCCTAGCATTAAACATTAGTTTTAAAAACATTCAGGGATGATTTTTGTTTTTAATAAAAGCGACAGAAATCTATCTGAAATCATTAGAAATACATGTTGTCTATTGTACAATTCTGATTTTTTCATAAGCATGTGTTGGCACGGGTAGCTTAGTCGTCTGAGGCGCATCTTTCAGAGGCAAGAGAGTTAACTGACTATAAAAGTCCAGTTTCCCCCCTTGCAGAACTAGGCTTGTATTATGATGTTATATTTTGGCTGGACTAACGAGTCGATGCACATTCCAATCAAAATCACGCAATGAAATCGAAATCCGGTTGACAAACTGTCATGCAGATTTCGGTCAATTGCAGGATTTCCAAAGCATGTGCACCGCCAACTCGTTGTGAACTGATATTTTCCAAATCTTCTCATGTCTTTAATCATAGTGCTCAAATGATTTGATTCTCTTCGCAATGTAAGACCCGTTTTATCAGAATATAGATCTTGATTATCGATCAGATCGTCTTGACTGGGCGCCGCCATTTGAAGCAAATGCAAGTGATACGAGAGTAGAAATCTGATTGGTCTATAGGAGAGGCATAGAAGGGACATAACTCATAATAGCCACTCGTGGAGCTACGATCAAGCCCAGGCAATCCAGCAAAGTTTGGCAAGGGTGGAAATTGGACTCTCTTGCCTTGGGAAGATGTTTGAGGCGCCGCAATTTGCTGTGCAGAATTGCGTTCCTTGGGCACGCCAAAAACCTAGAATCGTTGGGTTCGTATCCCGATGTTTTAAGGTTTGTCAGCACAATACCCGCCCTTCCTCCCACATTAAGGTGACACGTCATGATACAACTGGAATAATGCTCAAAGTGGCGTAACTCACTCATAAGCATGTGTTTATGAATCCCTATCTTATAGTGATGACAATAGGTGTTCGCCAAAAGTCCAGTGTTAACTAGAACAGACACGGAAACATATCTAAAATATTTTTTTCTGAGCAAGAGTCGTATGACGCTCTTTGAAATCTGAAAAGAAAGGGCATGGTCAATTGTACCGCATACTTTGTGAAATGTAGACACCAAATTCTGGTGCTGCCCGACATGATGGGAATATTGACTATTGTAAAGTTGAAGTCATCCCTTTGTCATAAATCTGTGTAAGGAAATCTACTATCGTTGAACGATATCTTAAGTTGAACTTCTTGGCCTAATACCCGTGTTTTGATTTTGCCAATCCGACCAGAAATTCCGATCCAAGTGGATAGAGAAACAGATCAGTAACGAGGGAAGCACAATTGTGCCCATATCGATGTACGTTTCTTACCCAAATGTGATGACCCCAAATGCCTCAAAGATGTAATATAGGAGGAAGTCTAGCATTTCACATATTGTCACATTATCAGAAGGTCAGGAGGTTTTCAAAAGTTGTTGTAAATAAAGTGACAAAACCCTTTCCATATCCAATAGTAATATCTGCACAAAGCAGAGTCGATTGTACGATTCCGACTATGTCATGGGCATGTTTGGATGATAGCTGGCTGGGATCGAATGGGTTAAGTTATTTCTATTTTAACAACCAAGGTTGCACCAACCACAAACTGTGGCCTGTCTGTGTGATTGCCACTGTCGCAGATTTGTATGCTATGTACTTCTCGTACATCATCAGGGGCGGTCGGGTAGCCTAGTGGTTAAAGCGTTCGCTCGTCACGCTGAAAACACGGGTTCGATTCCCGACATGGGTACCATGTGTGAAGCCCATTTCTGCTGTCCCCCGCCGTGATATTGCTGGGATATTGCTAAAAGCGACGTAAGACCATACTCACTGACTCTCAAACATCAGGACGGCTCCCCGTGTCATATGTGACCTATAATAAAAGTGATTCCTGTATCACATTCAAAACAGATTTTAGTTGTGTAACATTATATTTTTCAAAAAGAGGAATACAAAAACAGACAGACGGTTGATAATTCGGGAATATAAAAATATTTAAATTCTTTCGGCGGGAGGGAAATTTGAATGCACGAGAGATGAGAAACACAACAATAAGTAACTAAGATTGGACGGTTGAACTTAGCAATGCCATATGGATGTGGTGACAAATAAAAGAAAGACGTTAGCAGTCTTTCTAACCAACGAACTGCCAACGTCAATGTTTTGAGCCTGTTTCCAGCATTCCAAAGACGTCAATGAAGCCATGGTCAGAAGAAAGATCAAAGGCCAAATTGACCCATACTTCATCGAGACTGATAGTATTAATTCCGATTCAATCAATCGACTGGTCACGCCATGCCCTGTGCATTGAAAAGTGTCACCTCAGAAATATAAATCAAACCATTTTTTGATGAAATATGATAATATACTTATAGGTAAATATTGCCTGGAGTCCTATACCAGAAGGCGCTGGCTCATCGGCCAATCTGGTGATGTCAACCTCCGAATTCTACATGTCTCCAATGTTCTGTCATGTGCCGAACCAACTGGACATTTCTTTTAGTAGACAAATGTAGCTATTCGTGTTGTATTTGCTGGAGTATACCACACCTGTAGCCCTGGTGTTGCAGCCTGGCTTCCACTGTAGCACCGTCCTTGTGGACACTCGATGGCGGGTGGGGAGCAGGGATGCTGAAACATATTATCTCACCATGTCTTTAAATCTACACTCTGGTTCATCAATAGCATACAAACGTCGGAATGTAGATTCTCTTTCATCTGATGAAGATGTGCCTTCACAAGTTGCTGATTCTTGGCCAAGGTTCAATGTCATCGCATCCGCTGATGACAATCCTCTCAAACTTAATCTGTTTGTTATTTCTAAGGGAATTCAAAGCATCTGTGGGGAAATAAAGAACGTTACCCGTCTTCGTTCTGGTTCATTCCTTGTTGAGTGTGATCGGAAGCAACAATCTGTTAATCTGCTGAGTATCCAGCAATTTGTTAACACAAAGGTTGTTGTTTCTGCACACAAATCACTTAATTCCAGCAAAGGTATTGTCCGAGATCGTGCTCGCTGTCTCGCAGACATGACAGAGGATGAAATAGCTCATGAATGGTCAAACCAAGGTGTTACGTTACCTCAGTTTATCGTTTTACCAGAAAAACACAGGATGGAAGTATTGTCA